ACATCATCTTATTATAATTTTTATTTATCTCTTTTTAGTCTTTTTTTTCTTCTCATTCCATTTTTTCTTCTTTGAATTCTTTTTACTTGTGTTCAAGTTTTCTTCTTCCTCTCGAAGTTTCCCGTATCCTTTTCCATAGTCTTATTTTCTCTTTTTCGTTCTTGTCTACATTTTGTATTTCACTTATCAATTCATTCAATAGTCTAGATTTTGTTAATTCACAAATTCAATTAATATTAGATTAACACATTTTCTTTTTAATTAATTTTCATATTTTTTGATGTGTTTATTTTCCAAGGAAGTAATAGCTTAACATTTTGTTAATTTGATATGAATTTATAAATTGTGAAAACACAAAAAATTAGTTAAATTTTGCAATTGTTGTTTTCTTCTCCCTTATTTTTTTCCAATGATCCCATTTTTTTTCCTTCCGTTTTTATTTATTGTCATCATATTTTTTTTTTGCTTCTTCTTTTTCCAATTTTTTTTCTTTAGTCCTTTCTTTTGTCTTCATATCATCCTCCATCTTACTATTCTTCTTTTTCTTTACATTCTTTTTCCGGTTTTTCTTCTTTCTCATTCCCTCCTCTCTCTATCTTTATCATCTTCCTCTTCTCCGACATCATCTTATTCTAGTTTTTATTTATCTCTTATTCGTCTTCTTTCTCTTCTCATTTCATTTTTTTTTTCTTTTTCCTCTTCAAGTTTTCTTCTTTTTCTCAAAGTTTCTCATCTTCTTATCCACCATCTTCTTTTATTCTACTTGTGCTTTTATTCCTTCCTTTCTACGCTTATATTTCACTTATCAATTCATTCGATAGTGAAACATCCAACATTTTTTTTTTTAATAAATATTAATCAGTTCTAGCGAAGGTCTTAAAAATAAATTAAATAAATAAAATATCAATAACAAATAAATCAGCTCAGCGGAAGCAAATAATAATTAAACAAGTCTAGCAAAATAATGCAAAACAATAAAACAGTAAACATCCTATCATCCCCCTCTTCAGCCTTGATTCCGCGATCACACAAATCTTTTACCTGCAACACATTGGAATGGAGTTGCGTAAGTATTTAATAAATACTTAGTGAGGCAATCACTCTGCCTACGAGCCATTTACGCAATTTACTAGATATTTAATAATATTTATAAACTCAATAATTATTAAATACCATTTTCCAATTATTAAATAATTTTTAATAATTAAAACTCAATTTCTCAATTATTAAATAATTCTCATAATTAAATAATAATTTTCCATATTTTAAAATAATTAAAATAATTATTTTAAACCAATTAATTAAATAAATATTATTTAATTAATTAAATCCGAATTAAATTATTTAATTATTAAACCAATTAATTAATTAAACCAATTAAACCAATTAAATTCAATTAACCAAGATAAATTAGAATCAAATCAATTAAATTCAATTAAACCAATATAAACCAATTAAATTCAATTGAACCAAGATAAACCAGATCAAATCAATTAAATTCAATTAAACCAGATTAAACCACACAAACACACAATTCATCACATAAACAACCAAAATATCATGAAATAACAATTAAACACATAAACTCATCAAGAACAACCACAAACCAAATCTAATCTAGCAAATCGCGGACCCACAGTCATGCACTCACCTTGACAATGATTGAAACTGAAGGAAAAAGGAAAGACGATGAACAGTGCCGAATCGCGGATGAACAGTACCGATGAACAGTACCGATGAACAGTAAAATCGATTTCGAAAATCTCTCCAAAAACTCACTTTTCTCCTCTCTCTGAACTCGAAAATTCTGAGAAGACGGCTGCACTCTTTAAACTTGATTTTAGGGCTTTCTCCACTAAACCGACCCAAACCAATTCACTTAAATTGAACCAAAATCAATTTCAATTTTTGGTTTATGGATGTTACAACTCTCCCCCACTAAACTGGATTCGACCTCGAATCCCAACACAAACGTCACAAAGACCACAAAACCCGACCTCGCAAGGCCGCAACACCGGAGATCCTCACTGATCCCCGAGACAAACGTCAATCTTATGTCATAAGCACGTTCCAAGAAAATTTCACTCCTAACTCATCATCCAAACACACCAAACAACTTGTACTGAGGCCCACTTGCACCCAGACAAGTCCACACCGGTCCGCACTGAGGCCCACTTGCACCCAGACGAACCCGAAACGTCCATACTGAGGCCCACTTGCACCCAGATGAACTAAACTGCTTATACTGAGGCCTACTTGCACCCAGATAAGCTACACTCAACTGAGGCCTACTTGCACCCAGAGAGTCTGCCAGAGAACGAAGTCTCCAAAAACATGATGAGTTATTCAGGATCGCAATCCTTAGAGTAAAAATTCCGGAAAATGTCTATAACCATAAGATTAGACCGTCTCACAACCAAAAACTGGTCAAACATGTGTAACATCCGAATACCATTTCACAACACAAGGCAAAATGAGGAAAAACTGCATCTCATTAAAACTCCAAAATGTATATCGTTACAACGAAAACGAAAATACAATAACACCAAAGCCAAAAATAACAACTGAGGCTACAAAGATGAAATAAGCTCACTCCTCGACCTGCTTGTCGAACCACTTCCTGAACTTCAACTTCATCTTTGCCTCTGGCTCCCAAGTCTCCTCTGTAGAACCACTGCAATCCCACAAAATCCTCAGTAAGGGAATCCTCTTGTTCCTCAGAACCTTTTCCCTCCTCTCTAAAATCCTCACAGGCACTGCCGGCACTGTCAAATCTGGCTGAAGATCCTCTGGAATCCTAGCCACTAACTCCTCTGTAGGGTGAAGACACTTCCTCAGCATCGACACATGAAAAACCTTGTGAAAGGCTTTCATAATCTCAGGCAACTCCAGCCTGTAAGCCAATGGCCCAACTCGCTCCACTACTGGAAACGGACCCATAAAACGCGGACTCAGCTTGTTCTCTGCTATGGATCTGTTAGGACCCCTCAACATAGCCATCTTGAGATAAACTCTATCTCCACCTGAAACTCAAGCTCTCGTCTGCGTCTATCTGCATAACTCTTCTGCCTATCCTGAGCCTCCTTCATGTTCAGCCTCACAACACGAACCTTCTCTGTCGTCTCCTGAACATAAGTAGCTCCATACATGCTGCGCTCCCCCACTTGGGTCCAGCATAGGGGTGTCCTACATGGCCTCCCATACAAAGCCTCAAATGGAGCCATGCCAATACTCGCCTGAAAGCTGTTGTTGTATGCAAACTCAACTAAGCTCAGGTGATCTGCCCAATGGCCACCCCAATCCAACACACACATCCTCAGCAAATCCTCCAAAGTCTGAATAGTCCTCTCTGACTGACCATCTGTCTGCGGATGATAAGCTGTACTCAGATGCACCTTAGTGCCCATCTCTGCCTGAAACGCCCTCCAAAACTCTGAAGTGAATCTGGGATCACGGTCTGACACAATACTAGCTGGCACTCCATGCAGCCTCACAATCTCTCGCACAAACTTCCTAGCCAAGACAGCAGCTCCATCTGTCTTCTTGATGGCCAAGAAATGTGCGGACTTAGTCAACCGATCCACAATCACCCAGATAGCATCGAAAGTCCTCGAAACAGGTAGTCCAACCACGAAATCCATCGTAATCCTGTCCCACTTCCACTCTGGAATGGGTAAACTCTGCAAAAGACCACCCGGAACCTGATGCTCTGCCTTCACCAAGGCACAAGTGTTGCACTTCGCAACCCAGTCTGCTACATCCCTCTTCATCCCGACCCAATGATAGTACCTCTTGAGGTCATGGTACATCTTGGTCGCTCCCGGATGAATGGAAAACTTGCTCGCATGAGCCTCTCCCAAAATCTGATGTCTCAACTCCACATCCTTAGGCACACAAACTCGCCCACGAACCAAGATAGTCCCATTCGCAGAGACCTCATACTCAGAACCAGTCACTCTAGTCGCATCAGCAAACTCTGATCACTCTGCTGAGCAACTCTGATCCTGCTAAGTAGATCCGCCTGATCCACTGCCTCTAAACCCAAAGGCTCCTGCGAAATGGCACACAAACGCAAGGTACTGATCTCGCCAACTAGAGACTCCACATCTCGCTCAACTGCGGAATCATACCTCCGTCTACTCAACGCGTCCGCCACTAGGTTAGCCTTGCCCGGATGGTAGTTAATGCTCACCTGATAGTCCGCCAAGAACTCAACCCAGCGCGTCTGTCTCGCGTTCATCATCGGCTGAGTGAAGATATGCTGCAAACTCTTGTGATCCGTGAAGACCTGTACTGTCTCACCTAGCAAGTAAGACCTCCAAATCTTCAACGCGAAGATCACTGCTCCCAACTCTAAGTCATGTGTAGGACGGTTACGCTCACTGCCCTGCCACTGTCTCGAAGCATATGCTATCACTCTGCCCTCCTGCATCAGCACACAACCAAGACCAATGCCTGAAGCATCTGTATACACCATGTAAGGCTTCCCTGGCTCGGGTAACGCCAACACTGGTGTAGTAGTCAACATCTCCTTGAGCTGACTAAAGCTCTCCTCACACTCAGCTGACCAAACAAACGGGACATCCTTCCCGGTCAACTTCGTCATCGGCTGCGCCATGGTAGCAAACCCCTTGACGAACCTCCTGTAGTATCCTGCCAAACCCAGAAAACTCCTGATCTCGGTGGCACTACTAGGTCTAGGCCAATCTCTGATAGCCTCAATCTTAGCCGGATCCACAGAAACTCCCTCTGCAGAAACAATGTGGCCAAGAAATCCCATCTCTCGCTGCCAGAAACTGCACTTGCTCAACTTAGCAAAAAGCTTCTGCTCCCGAAGCTTCTCCAGAACCAACCTCAAGTGAGTCGCATGCTCCTCCTGACTCCTCGAGTATACCAGAATATCATCAATGAAAATGATGACAAACACGTCCAAATACTCCCTGAACACGTCGTTCATCAATCTCATGAAGGCTGCCGGCGCGTTAGTCAAACCGAAAGGCATAACCACAAACTCAAAATGCCCATAACGCGTCCTGAAAGCAGTCTTCCTGACATCTGCCTCATCTATCGGGATCTGATGATACCCCGATGCCAAGTCAATCTTGGAGAACCAAGTAGCACCCCTCAACTGATCCAACAACTCATCAATCCTCGGGAGTGGGTACCTGTTCTTCACAGTGACTCGGTTAAGACCTCTGTAATCGATACAAAGTCTGAAACTCCATCCTTCTTCTTCACAAACAACACCGGTGCTCCCCACGGTGAAACACTCGGTCGAATGAACCCCTTAGACAAAAGGTCCTCTATCTGCTTCTTCAGCTCTGCCAACTCAGCTGGCGCCATCCTGTAAGGCGTCTTCGATATCGGTGCTGTCCCCGGCTCTAACTCAATCGTGAAAGGATCAGACCGAGATGGTGGTAATCCCTTCAGTGACTGAAAGACATCCTCAAAATCCTGGACAACCTCAATATCTCCCATAACAACTCCAGCTCCTGACTCAGACATAGAAATCGTCGCCAGATACGCCTCACAGCCCCGCTCTAACAACTGCTCGGCCTGAATAGCAGATATCACAATACTCCCGGAAGTCGGTCTCACTCCCTGATAAACCAACCTCCCTGCATCTCGCTCGAAGACCACTCTACCTCTGTAGCAATCCAGATGAACTCTGTAGTGTGACAACCAGTCCATCCCGAGAATAACGTCATACAGCTCCACCGGACTGATGACTAAGTCTGCTGGCATTGACTGCCCCGCAATCTCGATCTCGACTCCTCTAGCACGGCCCAAAGTAGACAAGAATCCACCTCCCGCCACCTTGACCATGCCCGCGCTCTCGCCCGCGCTACTCCGGATGCCACTCTTCTCGGCACGCTCCGGTGTAATGAAGCAATTCGATGCTCCAGAGTCGAATAAAACGTGGGACTCAAAACCGCCCACTAACAAGGTCCCTACACATTCAATTGCGTTGAGAACCTCCACAAGACTATCACAGATAAAAATGACTAACAGACAATAACACAACAACAAATTCTATACTAAGAATTTACAAAGTCTGAGTCGAAGATTTACCTGTGATCTGCCCGGTCTGACTAGTCCCGCCAGTCTCCACTGAAGAGTAACCCCGCGGCGCCGGTGCAATCTGACCCAACGGCTGCACTGCTGCGATCTGACTCACTGGCTGAGCCGCTACTGGCTGAATCGAAGCCACCGACATACTCCGCAACTTAGGACACATGGGCTTGATATGCCCAGGCTCCTTGCAGTAGTAGCACACCCTCGGTGCTGACTCCCTCTTGGGACAACTCGAAACACGATGCTCCGTGCTCCCACACCCAAAACACGAACCACGAGGAAACTGACTAGCACCAGAAAACTCCTCTCTACTCCTCTTCTGACCCTGCGCAGGCAAACCGCCCCTGCCAGAACCAGAACTGAAACTCGAACCACCTCTGCGCTGCTGCTGCTGCTCTGTCGCGGCTGCTGATGCTGACCCCGAGGCTGGGTAGCAGAAGCAACTGCTGACGGCACAGCCACCGGACCAACTGGCCCACCAAGATCCGCCTCACCGACGCGGCCAACTCTACCAGACTCGCCCTCGAAGTGTGCATACTACTCCTGCATAGAGTCCGGATATCTTGCGAAGTCCCTCCAGAAACCTGTTCGTCAACTGATGCTCAGCCTCCATGCCAAAGCCGCATGCACTAACAGACGGCTGAACTCCGCATCATACTCGCGTACAGAACGCGAACCCTGCTCAATGCCCATAAACCGCATCTGAAGACGATCACGAGCCTGCCTCGGGAAATACTTGGCGTTGAACTCCACAAGGAAGTCGCCCCAAGTCCAAAATGCCCTCCGGCCCACCGCGGCCTGCCACCACAAATGAGCATCGCCACTCAAATAGTGGACCGCTAACTCCACCCAGTACTCCATAGGACAACGGATCGAATGAAAGTTCCGCTCCACTCTCTGACGCCACGCGTCTGCCTCCTCGGACCAACTCTGCCCTCGAAGAAAGGCGTACCAATCCTCTGCATGTGGCCCATAAACTCCAAATAACTGGTCACACCCGCACCCACAGCCTCCGGCTGCGCAACGTCTGCAGCAACATGCTGCACCTCTGCCACTGGCGGTACTCCTGGAGCCCCCTGTGGAACCACCGGCGGAAAACGAGCCAATAGCTGCGTCAGCAACCCCACCACTAAGTCATCTAAACCCGGAGCAGCCCCCGCTCCCAAACCAACACTGGCATCACCCGCCAACGGAACTGACTGGGTCACCGACGCAGTATGCACACTCGGTGCCACACTCTCTCCCGACTCCTCCGGAAGTCCACGACCACGACCTCGGCCTGCTCGGCCTCCAGCTCTACCACCAGCTCTGCCGCCACGACCTCTAGCACCGCGCCCTCTCGCGCCACGACCTCTAGGAGCTCCGTCCATCTCACTGCATGGACCCAAACATGAGCAACTAGAAATAACACAAAAACACAAACACCAAAACTCACCGCGGAATCTCCTTTAGCTGAAGGGGATGATACTAAAGCCTAGCAATTCTAACAGTCCTAAAACCGTCTAGGCTCTGATACCAAAATGAAACAACCAACATTTTTTTTTTTTAATAAATATTAATCAATTCTAGCGAAGGTCTTTAAAATAAATTAAATAAATAAAATATCAATAACAAATAAATCAGCTCAGCGGAAGCAAATAATAATTAAACAAGTCTAGCAAAATAATGCAAAACAATAAAACAGTAAACATCCTATCATCCCCCTCTTCAGCCTTGATTCCGCGATCACACAAATCTTTTACCTGCAACACATTGGAATGGAGTTGCGTAAGTATTTAATAAATACTTAGTGAGGCAATCACTCTGCCTACGAGCCATTTACGCAATTTACTAGATATTTAATAATATTTATAAACTCCAATAATTATTAAATACCATTTTCCAATTATTAAATAATTTTTAATAATTAAAACTCAATTTCTCAATTATTAAATAATTCTCATAATTAAATAATAATTTTCCATATTTTAAAATAATTAAAATAATTATTTTAAACCAATTAATTAAATAAATATTATTTAATTAATTAAATCCGAATTAAATCTATTTAATTCCATTAAACCAATTAAATTCAATTAAACCAATATAAATCAATTAAATTCAATTAACCAAGATAAACCAGAATCAAATCAATTAAATTCAATTAAACCAATATAAACCAATTAAATTCAATTGAACCAAGATAAACCAGAATCAAATCAATTAAATTCAATTAAATCAGATTTAACCACACAAACACACAATTCATCACATAAACAACCAAAATATCATGAAATAACAATTAAACACAAAAACTCATCAAGAACAATCATAAACCAAATCTAATCTAGCAAATCGCGGACCCACAGTCATGCACTCACCTTGACAATGATTGAAACTGAAGGAAAAAGGAAAGACGATGAACAGTGCCGAATCGCGGATGAACAGTAACCCGTGAACAGTACCGATGAACAGTAACGTGAACAGTACCGATGAACAGTATCGATGAACAGTAAAATCAGATTTTTCTAGGAACTCTCAAAATCGCCTTTCTCCTTCTCTGCCTCGAAAAACGTGATGAACAGACGGCTGCTTCTCCTTTAAAACGAAAATAAGGGTTTCCAACCCTTAACCGGGCTAAATCGGGCCCAATTTCACTCAAATTGAACCAAAATCAATTATCAATTATTTGGTTTATAGATGTTACAGATAGTTTAGATTTTAAAGGATTCATGAAATATTTTTATCATTATATAGTCGAAATCTTTTAAAAATAATTTTAATTTGTGTTTTTATTTTTGATTATGGATTTGCTTTAATTGTTTTAGTTTTTTTTCTATTTGTAAGTGTATTTTAGAATGGTAAATATAAATTTATAATCAGTGATTTTTAATTTCGATATACTTCTATAATAATTCCAATTTTTAAAGATGCACCAGAAACTAAACACTACACCCATCAATATAAACCCAAACCCCACATGATAAACCCCCCCCCTCCCTCCCCCTAACTAAGGAACCTACACCCTAAATTCAAATCCACATTATAACTCCCCCCTCAACGGCACACATGAACCTCACATTACAAATTAGTTCTGAATTTGTTTCTATTTTTATTTTATATGTAAAAGTTTGTTTTTTTTATTGGTTGTGATTGTTTTCTTTTCCCTTTTATTATTCTCTAGTGATCACATCTTCTTCTTTTTTCTTCCATTTTTTTATGCGATGTCATCATCTTTTTTTATCTGCTTCTTCTTCATATTCCACTTTTGGTTCTTCAATCGTTTCTTGTGTCTTCATATTCTCCAACTCAGTATTCTTATTTTTCTTTCTATTTTATTTATATTCTATTTCCGATTTTTCTTCTTCCTCATTTCCCCTCTCTCTCTATCTTTATCATCTTCGCTCTGACATCATCTTATTATAGTTTTTATTTATCTCTTCTTTGTCTTTTTTTTCTTCACATTCCAATTCGTCTTCTTTGATTTCTTTTTCCTCGTGTTCAAGTTTTCTTCTCTCCCTCTCGAAGTTTCCCATCTTCTTTTCCATCGTCCTCTTTTCTCTTACTCATGTTTTTCATTTTTTTCTACGTTTTGAATTTCACTTATCAATTCATTCGATAGTCTAGATTTTGTTAATTCACGAATTCAATTAATATTAGATTAACACATTTTCTTTTTAATTACTTTTCATATTTTTGTGATGTGTTTATTTTCCAAGGAAGTAATAGCTTAACGTTTTGTTAATTTGATATGAGTTTATAAATTGTGAAAGCACAAAAATTTAGTTAAATTTTGTAATGGTTGTTTTCTTCTCCTCTTATTCTTTTCCAGTGATCCCATATTTTCTTTTTCTTTTCCATTTTTTATTCGTTGTCATCATTTTTTTTTCTTTCTACTTCTTCTTTTTCCAATTTTTGTTATTGTATCCTTTTTTGTGTCTTCATATCCTCCAATTTATCCTAACCCTAACCACCCATACACCCCACCCCACCCGTAAGTTATACCATTAATATTTTGCGTTTTTGTTTAATTCATTGTAATGATTGTCGATCTGCAAATAATGTATTTCATTATTTAAGTTAATGCAGTGTTTTTATAAAATAAGATGTTCGGCACCTATTATCATTATAAACTTATTAAATATGAAATTAACTTTTGGTAACTCTTGTATAAAAATATGTGTCTTTCTAGTTTGTTATTAGGATTGAGTAATCACTCATACCATTAACAACACAAATAATTCTTGTCTCCTTTAAGAATAGGCTATATTATTATCAATTAATTTTCAAGAATTAAGGATATTTTTATATTTAATAATTAGAAACATAATTTTTTTTTAAACGCACAACAAAATAAACCCTAAACCCGCCATTATAAACCCTAAACCCTAACCCAAGAATAACAGACCCCCATCCATACAGTACACCAGAAACCCTAACCCTAACCACCCCATCACCACCCCATCCATACATTAGACCATGACTATATTTCGTACTTGTATAATTTATTGTAATTGTTGTTGTAACATCCATAAACCATTGATAATTGATTTCGTTTTAGCCCGGTTAAGGGTTAGAAACCCTTATTTTCGTTTTAAAGGAGAAGCAGCCGTCTGTTCATCATGTTTTTCAAGGCAGAGAAGGAGAAAGGCGATTTTGAGAGTTCCTGGAAAAATCCGATTCTACTGTTCATCGGGTACTGTTCACCGAGGTACTGTTCATCGGTACTGTTCACGGGTTACTATTCATCGGATACTGTTCATCGGCGATACTGTTCATCGTCTTTCCTTTTTCCTTCAGTTTCAATCAATTGTCAAGGTGAGTGCATGACTGTGGGTCCGTGATTTGCTAGATTAGATTTGGTTTGTGGTTGTTCTTGATGAGTTTATGTTTTTACTTGTTATTTTATGATATTTTAGTTATTTATGTGATGAATTGTGTGTTTGTGTGGTTTAATCTGGTTTAATTGAATTAAAATGTTTTAATTCAAATTGTTTGATTTATTTTCGGATTTAATTAATTAATGGTTAATTTAATTAGTTAATTGATTTAAAATAATTATTTTAATTATTTTAAAATATGGAAAATTATTATTTAATTATGAAAATTATTTAATAATTGAGAAATTGAGTTTTAATTATTAAAAATTATTTAATAATTGGAAAATGGAATTTAATAATTGTTGGAGTTTATAAATATTATTAAATATCTTGTAAATTGCGTAAATGGCTCGTAGGCAGAGTGATTGTCTTACTAAGTATTTATTAAATACTTACGCAACTCCATTCCAATGTGTTGCAGGTAAAAGATTTGTGTGATCGCGGAATCAAGGCTGAAGAGGGGGATGATAGGATGTTTATTGCTTTTATTTATTTTGCATTGTTTTGCTAGACTTGTTTAATTATTATTTGCTTCCGCTGAACTGATTTATTTGTTATTGATATTTATTTATTTAATTTATTTTAAAGACCTTCGCTAGAATTGATTAGTATTTATTTATATTAAAAAAAAATGTTGGTTGTTTCAATTGTGATTCTGCAAATAATGTGTAACATAATTAAAGTTAATCCATTTTTTTATTTTCATGATATTATTGTACAAAAGTTAAACAACTAAGATGTTTTGCTATTTATATCTGATTTCACTTTTCATTAGATATTTTCAAGAATTAAGGATATTTTATATTTTAATAATTAGAAACGTAAAATTTTTAAAATCGCACCAAACACTAAACCCTAGACCCACCATAATAAACCATACCATAAAAACCCAAACCCAATATTAAAAACCACCCCCCCCTCTCGTAACAGTACACCATAAACCATAAATCTAACCACCCCTTCACCACACCAATCTAACCACCCCTTCACCACACCATACGTAAAATACACCATAGCCAATAAATATACAGCTATTTTTATTATAAACTTAATAATTATGAATCCAATTTTTTATAGTCGTTGTTGCATTCTGAGAATTTAGTTTAGGCTCAATATTCTTCGCAAATAATATAGTAGATTTAAATCATGTTTTAAAATGAAAATCTAAATTGTTTAAAAAAGGAACAATAATAATCGAAACATAAAAACTGACTTAGAACCCTAGCTGGTAGTTTTTGACAATGCGACCGCCATCTTAGTCATTGGCCACGATGTCAATCACGATTGTTCAGCATATCATTATATCCTTACATCTGCTTATTGTTTCTGTAAAAAATTATCAAAAGTAAATAAATGATTCAGTTTCTGATTAATGAAGAGATAAGGAGTATCAAGATTGAAGAAAAATAGATAAAAACATACCTTCTCGAACTAATCAACCTCAGGAATCGAAGGATTCAAGGAGAGCATGGATGGAGCAATGCAATAAATTGTAACCTTGCCTGAAATCAGAATTAACGACTTTAACTTTATGTTTACAACACCTAGTATAAAATTTGGCAATCTAAAAATTGTTACCTGCTCGAACTTCTATTAGTCCCCACCTAATGACGCAGATTACAATATTATGTTTCACTCTCATCCATTGCTTACAAAATCTTATTGCATTATTCCCAAAAAATATGCAGTCTAGATGAACATTGCTGTTTAAAAAAAATAAAAAAAAATATATTTTTAGATCATTATCAGAATAAGATATCACTATAAAGATCAAAGAATATAATTACAACCTTGAATTACCTTTGGTCACGGATTTGAAACTTGATGCTAGAATCGATACTATCTGCATCATAACTCTTCGGTTTTTCAATCAAAGCCTCTTTCCAGATAGTAGATTCACTTATATTGACAACCTCTCCTATCAAATCTTGTAAGAAAATAAAACAATAAAAGAGGGGTTAGATACATAAACGGTTTTCGAATATGAGTTTAACTATTCTTGAATATAATATACGTACCTACTAAATAATCATCGCAGTGAGCAGTTTTCGATACCTAGAGGATTTCTTCTTCCTTCTTTTTACAATTTATTTTTCAATTTACTTTGTGTTCTTATTATTCATTTTTTTTATCTTTTGATTTTTTCAACTTCTTTATTGTTCATATTCTTCAATGCTTTTCTTTTGTTTTATTTCTTTTGTTTTTTCTATCTTCGTCTTCCAACTTTCGTTTTTCTCTTCCTCTCTGCACTCCTTCTTAATCATTGTAGTAACTCAAGAAAAAAAAAAGAGCAAATATATGATGCATCAGATTTTGAATGTAAGAGCTCAAACATATGCGTGATATTAGTTTTCTTTCATGCACGTGCGTGTATCTCATGAATCGGTTAAAACGATTTATCCGTAAGCTTGAAGAAATCTAGACAAACATTAGTAATTCAAAAGGTTATATGTCATATTATGAGTTTTCAATACTGATCATGTCTATCAGAGATATCTCTTTCTTTTTGTCACTCTTAATTAGCATCTGTAACTCCGAAATGATATAGCAAAAAAAACAATCTCTTAGTACATAGATTCTTTCGGTTATCCTTTTCGAGAGCTTTCAGCTATCCATTTTTGGGTTCTTCTATGGTGAGCTATTTTGAATCAGAAGCTCTTTTGGTTTCATGTTCGGATATGGCTCCAGAATCCGAAGTTGAGTGCCTTCTCGCTTAGATCTTTCTTATCCTCAGAAATCATTTCCCTTCCGCTAAGAGATCACTGACCACATCATAAGTACATGAGCTTCTTGCTTCTCCAGATCTGAAGGATAAAAACAAACTTGCAACTAATTAATATTGGTCTAATGGTAAGGGAAAAACAATTACCCCACAGCAAGACAAAAGAAACCTTGTGTTTATGTTATATGCTTTGCAGATTACATAAGAACAATTTCTATGCAAATTTACCTTTACTTGTTTAGACTATACGTATAAAAACTATATCAAGATATACACATAAAATATGGTGTTAATGTTGACGTTGAGGTTATGGAGTCAACACCTTTTCAGGTGGGATATTTAGAAATTCAGCCAACATTGTCACTTACTGGAAAGTGTTTCAACATTCTTGTCCATCCCTTCATGATTGTTCGTTATATGTCTCAAAGCCATTTTGTATGCTTCGTCCTCATAATGAAATCGCTTTGAGCTGAAGAATCCATTATCGACCATGGTCTGATTTCAGACATTCCAAATATTATAACCATCTTAAAGTAAACAACCAACCAAATATTATAATTTTATTCGATATTTTAGGCTAGTAGAAAAAAACGATACTCTGTGGCAGTCATAACTGCGCCAGTAATCATCTCGGGCTCACCAAAAAAGGCTTCTTCAACATCTACCACCAAGTCCACTGACAACTCATGGAAAGAGTTGCTATTTGGAGATTAGATTTGGGTCATCGGAGTTGGCCTCGCGCAATCAATGTGACCTTCTGGGCTGCATCATGTCACATAGGCAATCTCCTGCAAGAACGAAGAAGGAACATCAAACTAAGCTTTTGATAGCACACATCTGCTTATAATCTGATTCTGACTTACCCACAGACGGCGTGGTAAGCTTCATGGTAAGTCACCAAACTTTAGCTCTTCCCAACTGTCATATCAGTTCCTTCCATGACAATTACAAATCTATCAATTGAGTTATCAATCTCTTTTGATGATAGTGTTGTCTTTCCAAGGTGACTTGCCACCATGGTAGCTTCGTTGAAGATGTTTTCAAGATCAGCTCCACTAACTCCAGGCGTTCTCATGGATATTACTATAAGTCAAAGCCCGTTCTCAAAATTTTTGATTATACCTTCTTGGTTAGGGTAATCAGACGATTGCAGGTACAGATCCCAGCATGTTCAAGTTTCTACACATCTTCAGCGTCTATACCTTCAGCGTCCAGTTTCTCTCAGTTTGTTATCGAATGGAATTTGGAATGGATTCCAAACTTTGAGAAAAAGAAAGACTTCTACGTAGAACCAGTTTACGGAAGCATAATCTTAGCCAAGTGAAGAAGAGATTACAAACAACAACCATTCAGTGAGGAAACTGAACCTTATAAACAAATCAATTATCAAACACAAAGCTCCATATATAGTGAATTAATTAGCAGATCGTGGCCTCTTCCATGATTCCATCGACCGCTTTGTGTCACGAAACCAAATATCATAATGAAATCAATATTCCAACACCTACAGATCTGAAGAGTGAACAATAAACAAATTTGGCTTCTTGATCCGATCACATACATCTCTTCTGAGGAGTATATTGTTTGCTTCGTTATGGCTCTGATGAAGCGTGTTTGCTAAGAAGAACAACGTGGTCGACTTAGGTTTTGCCAATTTATATAGAGATTGGTGAATTTAGGGTTTTCAATTATTTTTGCGAGATAAAAAATCGATAAGAAAAAAAGGAATATATCCGCAAATTCTAAAAATATTTAAGTCAATAATCAAATTCGTTTTTAATTAAAAAAGAAAAATTCGAAGATTTAATCGAAAGATTTTCATTAAGGGTATATCGGTAATTCCGAGGCTGAGAGTTAACGTGGTGCCTCCATTCGAAATTCTGACTTCGCAAATAATAGTATGATTAATAATGGGATACAAATCCTAAGAGGAACATTGGAAGCCAATTTTTGTGATGTGTTACTCTCACAATTTTTCTCAGCTTTGTTATTTTTGATTTATTTAACTCTTTATTCTATACCAATTGCAAAACACATTTATTTCCATTATTAATTTTATTATCTATTTGGATATTCTAATTTCTATAACCAAACACATTTATATCTTTCTAAACTTACTAAAACTAATTATTTGTGAAATCTAATATTAAATCTTGCAATTAATTTCGTTTTTATTTTTATTTTTAAAAATCAGTAAACATGTAAACTATTTAATTACATTTTATACAGTTCATTTAAAGGCAATATCTCACAATTTTATGTGATAATGTATATGATTTATTTGTTATTAAACTAAAAAATAAAACTGTTTATTTGAAATTATTAAATAGGTGAAATATATTTTTTAAATACATATAAACAATTTTGGATTTCATATAATAATTCTTACTATGTTGATTTCTTTTAACTTAAACTATAAATCGTTGTGTAGAATTATATCATGGCTGAAACACATTACTTACAAAACAATAAAAGAATATACACAAGTAAATTCCAGTTTCTCAATTTACTTCATAATCATTTCATCCCGCGTATAACATGGACATTATTCTAGTTAAAGTTTTTTTTTTTTTCATCTCAGAACAATACATAGAAGAAGCAATTACAGAGCAAAGAAACACAACAAAAGGATACTAAAAAGGATACAAACAGGAACTGAGAACCAAACAAAGAGCCATCGCTGCAACTAAGCTTGCCACAGCACCCAAAACTGCAAAAAACCAAAGAGAGAAGAAACAAAGGAAGGGATCATCGTGATGAAAGCCTCTGGCCAAACCACCGATATCCGCTTGCTTCCTGCTCCTTCGAGAGAGAAGCTCTCCAAACCACACCAAAAGCTTCATAAACCGCTCTAAAGACTAACTCCCGATCTAGTTAAAGTTAAATGAGCAAAGTTAACATAAAAAAAAATTGAAAATATTAAAAACGACAACTAAGAGAATGAGTGACAACTAGAGAAAAGCCATTGTTTTCTATATAAAGAATATATTTTTTTAGCTTATTAATTAGTTATATTAAACAAAACAGTGTATTGAATAGGGGTAAAACAATAAAATTGATTATTTTCTTAATCTGCGTGAAAAGTTCTAGAAGGATAAGTAAAAAGAAACAGAGAGAGTAGTAGGTTTTGCATTGGAATTTATTGAGGTATGATATATAAAGAGTTTCAATTTGTTTTTTAAAGTTTACAAAGGTAACCAAATCGGTTAGATTTTGATAATAGATATGACCAATGTGATGCAAAGACCATCTCGTGGCCCTAAATCTCTCGATTTCATTGCATCATCTCATAGTTAAGCCCATTTGGTCTTTCGAGTTTAGGTCAAAGATAATGATATATATATATATTGCAATGATCAGATGGTTTCAAAACATTACAGCCAAAAGCCTCAAAATATTACGTCGAATGTATGTTCTTGTTCAGCGAGACGACATACATGTTGTTCTGGAACTCCTCCCCAGGGCCTTAGATAGATTGCAGACCATGACGTGGGGCTCGATGAATGACTGATGCAGACTTCAAGCAAGAAGCGTGTGTGAAGAAGAAACTCAAGAAACATCTCTCCTCTTGTGTCCCCATGTGACTTGAAAACTCAAAAGTTTCAAGACTCCTCAACAAGCATTCAGGAACAGAGCTCTCTTCTTCATTCTTCAAGTCAACCGGTTCATACTCCTCATCATCTCGTCGATAAAACTGCCACATCAAAGAGTCAAGATTACAACACCATAAGAGTGTTGCTTTTAGCTGAAGAAGAGTGAATGAAAGAAACTTACACCGACGTAGAGATTAAGGACTCGAAGTTTAGGAGAGTTTCTTAGCAACCAGATAAGTAACTTGGACCAATCATTCTTGTACACACGCAGCTCCAAATGCTCAAGCTGACTCATGACAATACCAACACTTGGATACACAGACTAACAAAAGTAAACAACCAAAAAAAAAAAAAAAAAAAAAGATTCAATCTCTCTTAAATTGATAATATAAATCAATGCAAGTTGATAACAAAACTTGTGTACCTCTAGTGAGCTTAATGAAAGACGTTTGACAAATGTGACTGATTCCAAAACTTTCTCATTCACTTGAGAGACACGAAACTCTGCCTCTTCAAGCTTTGGCATAGGGAGAGAAACGGTTAAAGGAACAACATCAACAAGAACGTTCTTGCCTTGAAGTTTCAAAGCCATGAGCGAATCGCAAGCATACAAACTAATCGGCAACGATAAGAAGAACTCTTCACTGTGACTAAAATAGCCAACGCTTAGCTCACGCACGGAGCGAGAAACAGCAATCTCTACCCAAAGTTTGAGTTTCTCAGGGTGAGTGATTCTGTTACGAACGAAGCTGATAAGGAAGGTTTCTATGATTGGAGCTCTATGCAATGGGAGATTCTTGTTGATGAATTCTTCATACCTCAACCATGAAGCTGACAATGGAGCGATGACGGAGATTTCATTGTCGTTGTACTCAAGCGTAGGCAGCCACATCCAGAGAAACCGCCATTGTTTGGATAAAATGCTTGTGGAGACTGCAACTTTCGTTGGGAGAAAAGATAATATCTTGATCAGCAGATCATCAGACAAGTTGCTGATTCTCATCAATTCAAGAAACTGTTACCAGAGAGAGAGAGAAAACAAAAAAAGACGTAGTGAAACCCTAGAAAAATCAGTGGAGGCTTAATTTGAGATTGGAGAACGAATTTTGAGGATGAATCAGAGGCCGACGAGTCAACAACACTGGACACTCATTTCAACGACTCTGACTAGGACTGATTCTCTGACTCTGAGCTAACGAATCGAGAAAGTGTAGATCCAAGTAAAGCTTGAATCAATAAAGTGAGGGAAAGTAGAAAAGGAAGAGAGAAGGAGGTAGTTTATCGGATGATATCGGAATTGTAGAGCTTCTTCTTCTCCATCGAAGTTTATCAGTGAGAGGAGGACTAAGCTTCGTTTTCGCCGTTGATATCGATCAGACCGTTCTGCTTCCGTTTTAGCCAATGGTATCTCTTGTAGGCCTGGTATTGGGCCTGGGTATCAAATGAATACTTGGGTCCATAAGGAAATTGTTAACAGGACTTTTGACAATAACCAGAAGATAGGCTTTATAAACCAAATTATTGTGTTTTAGTGGTTAAAAGTTAAAAACTAGGCATGGGGATATACTCCTCTTCTCTGATATTTATCTGATATGTGTCCTGAAAAATTTTCTCACAAATGAATGCAAAACTTTATTGTATTTTGGGTTTTTGATTGTTTGAATTCTGCAGATTGATTTTTTATTGGTTAAATTGTTTTGGAAATGATAATAAAATATGTTTTGTTTTGAAAAAAAAAAACATGAATCAATTTCTTAATCTATGTGCATAACCCTAAAAGTACACTTATTAGAGAACAGAGGGAGTAGAAAGCGTTTAAATTTTTTTAAATTTCAGTTGCTTTTTCCGGTTCAGTTTGGATTTTTCCGAGTTTTTCAGTTTTTTTTAGTGTTTTTTTCGGGTTTCGGGTTTTCGGGTTTAAAAATACAAAAACCACTCGGGTGTTTTTAGAACTTTGATTCTGGTTCAGTTCGGGTTTTGACGGGCATCGACGGAGTGCACAAAGCCTCATAAAACATTTGTCTTGGCCCCAAATTTTTTTGTTTGTTTATTAGTATTACAAATAAGCCCCACAATTTTGTTTTATTTATAATAATGGCCCCAAATTTGTAAACATTTAACACTTGTTCTCATTTTTTAAAAAATATATCTGTAAAGCCCTTATTTTTTGCTGGAGCCCCCTAAATTTCAGGGTCTGCCCTAAGTTCAGTTTCGGGTAAAAGTCTCAGGCCTAGGCTTAAAACCATTATGGGGTTACAAGAGTAAGGATTTAGGTTTTTTCCACTGCAATTGTAGATGCCTTCAAAAACAATTATAGAACAAAAACTATCTAATATAGTAAAAAATCCCAAACTTGAAAAAATTGTAGGAAGCTTATTATATTTCTAGCAAAAGAAAACATCTCTGCTGCAAAGAACGTACATTGCTTGTAGACCAAACTATCTAACTTTCCTTTCAAAAAAACAATTGTAGAACAAGAATCTATCTAACATAAGCTAATATACAACAGTTTATATATCTCTCTCTAATCCCAAAATTTCTCCATCTTGTTATACACTTTTTAACGAAAAATTCACCGGAACAGATCTTGGAATGACCACATAATGAATCTTGCAAAGATATCAGACTCCAAGAACTCAATATGAGCAGCTCGTCCTATGAACGAGTTCAGGTTACGTCCATACACCGTCGTGTCGAAATTAACATCGCACCGCATGAACACCCTTTGCTGATGAGGCGCTTCAGGAGCCGGTCCACGGATCTGGTCCATACAATTATTCAGCATTTCCAAGAAGGCGATTCCACGTTTCGTGCTGTCGAATGAAGCCGGTTGGCACGATTCGATTCTTGCTGAGTGGTATGGAACATAACCATCCTGCAAATTACATAAACACAACACATTCAAGAAAAAGATCTTTCATTGGCTTCACTAGGCACTCAAATTGCTTCATACCTGAGGAGACGACAGGAGAATTATATTCTTGAAATTCTCCAAAGTCTTTTGCTGAAAAGAATCAAAACCGGAATTTAGAACCAAACAACAAGAATATATGTATGCAAGAACAAGTTGAGAGATTGTTTCTATGTACCTTGCAGAGGTTGTAAAAGAAAGTACGACGAAGATCAGGATCATCTGTGAGTGTAAGCTGATGAATAACCTGAGTACTCTTTAACTTCTTCAGTAGCCAAAGCCCGGAGTTAAACAGAGAGTTTGTGCTGTACAGATAGCCTAAGTGAGGACCGGAAAGCGATAGATATGTGTGTAGAAGCTTCCTGTATGGTTCCATTAAACTATCTGAAATAATACAAAGATTTCATGAAACAAGAGAAACAAAACTGAAAGTTATTCAAGATTTACTAAGAATGTGAATTTTACCGGCGATGGCTGTTCTGATGATAACGTTACCAATGGAATGTCCAACGAAACTCAACTTGATGCTTTTCAAATGGCCGTGTCTGGCGTATTTATCTTTCTTCCTCTTGAGGAAAGAAACAACTTCTTCTGCGAGCCTCTGTCCCATTTCCCTGAAATCTCCATGTGTTTTCTCCTCGTTTGCCTCTGACATGAGAAACTCTATCTTTGGATCTATCATAAGCCACTGATTCCTAACAAGCCTTAAGTCCAAATGATGCCCCTACGGTAAGCAAATACGAAACAAAATTCTATCAACTGAGGTGAAAACAGATCGAAGAGGAAAGGAAACTGTTACAAGATACTTGCCTGGAAGCCATGAACGAAAACAACGATCTTTAGCTCACGGGGACTGTGCTTGGAGTTGGTAGCTTTTGCTTTCTCCGTCTCATCACTGTTCAGATTGATCATATCAACATGTCTCAAGTAAGAGTTATCACTTAGAGTGCGTCTTGGTGCATTCAAGACACGTTCCACTATAATAATAGGAACTCGCATAGGATCTCCAAGTATATGCATGTCTTGTATTGAACGGTTGTTGATCTGCACATAAGAATTGCATTGACACATTGAATCAATAGCTTATCAAAGCCAAAGAGAGAGCTAAACCGAACAGAGAGAACAGAACAAACCCTCATCTGTGCAATACTTCGACGGTGAAGTTCAGCACGGTTAGCTGCAAGTTGAGCAGGCTGCATGCATCAGAGCAAACATCAGATGAGACAGTCAAGCTTTGGTAAACAGAGAACGCAACACTAAACTTACATCAGTCAACTTCAACACACTTGAGGCCCTTTTGTGTGCACTGAGGTTTATGATATCACTCATTCCACTGTTTATGAAATGATGAGGCATTTCAACTTTAGAGTACACCATCCATATCGACCATTCCGCTCTCCGATCTCTAGTCCAGATATCACAAAGATATTCAAGTAATTTCGTGTTATTATCCCTGTAAAGGACACATGAGATAAATGCCTAGAATGTTTATCTTTTCATATAGTCTTTCAAGAGATTGCTTAGAGAACGATCAATGAAGTACAAAAGGAATTACCGGTGAAATCCGAGGAACGTATTCCAAAGATAATGCAGCTGGGTGCCGAGTAAGTTGAATAGACGAGATAGATGATCTTTTGAGAGTTCGTGAAGCCAATCATCATTTGCTGAATTAGATGTGATGTTTAACTTCTGTTCCAAAGAAAAATGGAGAAATAAGCAGAAGAAGAAGATGAAACAACATGATCAATAGAAACTAGTTCAGCATCAAAATAAAAGCAAGGACCTCAAGACTGTTTTGTTCCTTGCCTTGTCCTGAACCGCCGGCAACTGCTAACGGAACATTGTTCATTTCCGATAGAAAGTCTGACAAGTCAATCGATTGACCAACTGCCTCGCTAAGTCTTTTCATTTCCTCGAGTAGATTATCACGAGCTCCAAGTAACCCTTTAACGAATGACACCACCTTCTTGTCAGCCGTAGCAAGCAGACCAAGTGCCTAGTTGAATTAACAAATCAATAACATGTTTTCAAAATGTAGACAAAAAGCAAAAAGATTAAAGTTACTGAATCAAAGTCACATACTTTCTTGAAAGATGGAGCATTGTTGCCAGTCACATTTTTACCTACGCCACTGCATCGAAACACCTTGAGATATCAACTTAAGCAGAGAATATAGTAAAATCATAATGATATAATGATACCATTTTTCCTCACAGACCTTGAGAGACTTGCAGGTCGTCTATAAGCAGCAGATTTTAGTATACTGATGTGGACACTCATATCTACAAGAACCGCATGGAGTGTATCAAAATGCACAGGACAGTATGAATGCAAGCCTGTAAGAGCTTTAGGTGGAATACGGAACTCATGAATCGCAGCAGGCAAAGCCTCTAAATGCTTGTTAGCCGAATTGTCCATACATGGAGTATACATGAGCTCAAATTTCAATATAGCAGCTGATGTAGCTGTCCCCTGCATACACCCAAAATCCAAAATCATTTCACAACTCCATAAACACAACTTTCGAATTTGTTAGAATACATAACAAGTAGAGATTGCTACCTCATATCTTGGAAGTGGCAAAGTAAATGAGACCATCATACAGAGACGAATATCTTGCCTTGCGTATTTGATCCGGAAAGGCTGTGTTAGGAAACTATTATCTGTATCATCTATCCTCCACACTCCATTATAGCCTGATTCAGGAGCTGTAACAAAAAAAAAACAACTCTCTCTTATCTAATCATACTCAAAATAGAGACTCTCTGATTTTCAAGAAACAGTCTAAACAAAAGAAACTATAACTACAGCTGAAACTATAATTACCTTCATACTGAACGACTCTTGAAGGAATACCACGAATTTCGTCATCACCATCCTCCCATCTCATGGTGATCTTTATTTGATACCATCTGATGAGTTAAAAGGAATTATAAACTTTTGAAGTAAAGTGTTGAAGCAGATAGAAATGTGAGAAGCTCTCAACATACCCTTGCTGGAAGAGATCAAGGTTGTGAAACCTGTGGATATAAATCGCAATCTCTTGAACCGTGTCGACCATTAGTACAGGCTTAACCCTCGAAAGGTAAGGTCTTGCAGCAAGCGTCTTTGGTTGCCTGAATCTTCTGCTCCATCCAAATAACCATCCAAGACGGCGTAACATATGTGAACCAAGAAAACTTGGAAGAGAAATTATCACATCACTTTTCTAAATCTTTGATATCATGAACCCAGAATGGTCAATTAGCTCTTTGAAATCTCATGTCTCTCTCTCTGTGTATCCCTAAGATCCTTAATTTATTCACTCAATGTTAAACCACACAGCAACAACACCTGCACAAAAAGTGTTATTGGAGTTAAATGCAATCGTCTCATATGAATGTTAATAGAATATGCAAACAAAAAAGTAATAATTGGATCATCATCTTCATAAAGTTTCAAGTTTTAGCAAAATAAGTACTCAAATAAAGAATTTTGGCAAGTTTCTAAGTCATTTTCTGGGTTTAATCTTCATCTTAGCTGATGAATTTGCAAGGAACAAATCATATCAAAATACCCAAATAGGTGCAAAAACATTTCTTTAAATATAAGAATAGCAGAGAAAGAGAGAAACCCAGAAAGCAACAAATTGAAAAATGGAAACTTGATCGAGACCCATTATTTATCAGAGCTAAAAATCATCGAAATGCAAATAAAATCGAGCTGAAACAGAACCTGTAGGTCTCGGATCACGATCTGACGATTTACAGAAACGGAAAAAAAACCCAGATTTTTAGGGCTTTTTAATGTTGATTTCTGGGAAAGGGAACAAATTCGATAAACACTGAAGATAACAATGTGAAGAGATAAAAACAGAGGGAAAAAGGATCTGGGAAAGCTACAAATGATGATGGTACTAGAATAAAATTTTGTCGATGAGCAATTCAATGAGTTTAAATTTCTTTTTGTTTTTGGTAATAAAATTTGATTTAAATTTGTCGGGTGGCGATGAATGTGTTCTTTAATTTTTTTCCGATTCGTAACAGTAAGATCTGACCCGCCAAATTTCGGGTTTAACTTGACGGTTTTGGGCTTGCTTAAAGGCCCATAAAGAAAAAAGTTCAAATTGTGACACCGTAGTCTAAAATCAAATCTAACTCATAACTATATTCTGATATTGGACCGTACTTTTTAATGGAAATGAATAGTATTTATTTCTATTCTTGTATTTTTCAGAAGTTTTTTTTTAATTGGGTAGATTTATGACTTTGAAGATTTGAAATGTATTATAAATGCAAGTAGTCTTTGATTTTATTTTCTGATTTTATTTTTTTTGTTTTATTCAGATGCAGAGGCTGTTGCCACTGAATTTGGTCTAGGTGCAGAAGCCGTTGCCATAAAAAAAGTTTTATTCACATTTGATTGGTTATCTAAGAGTTTTCAGAGAATTTCATCTCTTTCTTACTAAATTTGTTCATTCACTCATCAGTTAATCGATATCCTATGATAAGACAAGGATTAGATATTAAGTATTAACAGAGCATCAACAGAATTTTGCATGTTTATTTTTGTTTTCGGTGTTTTCTACCAAAAAAAAAAAAAAAAAAAAAAAAAAAAAAAACAAAAGATAGAACAAAAATTGATCAAACATTTGTATCCCAGTATGGCAGTATCTCAGAATTTTTATTTCTTTCTAAAACTGCATGAAATGAGTATTAAACAATGAAATGAAAAATGTAAAACATTTCGAAAATTTCCACACCTACATGATCTCTTGAAACAATATCATAAGATCGCAAATAACATTCTTGAAAAAAAAAAAAAAAACAGAAAGAAAGTGTTGAGTTTTAAACATTTTACAATGGTATATCGGCTATATCAAGTCTATAAAGCTTTTTTTTTTTTTGTTAAAAAGCTTCGTTTGATACTAGCATAATTTCATGGCATCTACAAAGGCCAGAAGATTAGATGTACCGTGTACGTGTACCCGATGTCCAAGAAAATTCTGTTTTATCCTAAAATTAAATATCTATGAAATCAATATGTATAGTATATGAATTAAATGTGTACATGGACCATTGTAGATTCCTTCACAATTGTAGGCAAACGCATCAACCCATTAAAGAACAAAGTTGTTAGAAAGAGACGCATCTTTTTTTTTCTAAAGCTAAATGGAGAAGATCGTTAGCATCACGAGTGGCATCTTCATTTGTTTCTCAAGTTTGGTTTAGCAATATAAAGTCTTACTGTTCTTTTCAGACAAAGATTCTATTGTTCCATTAGGATGATTTCCTTATTTTTTTCATTTTGCTAATATTAGTAGATAAGGATGTGTATTAGATAAGAATGTGTATTTGGTATTGTATTTTGTTTGTCTTCTTTATGCTCAGGAGATTATACCATGCATGTATAGGAAGTTTTGGCTTTTGCATTCATGGGAATGAGAGCCTTCCATTATGGTACAAGTGTACCTTTAGTAACAACTTCAAATTTTGAAATAGTCTCTTAAAATCCCACATGTGTGAATTCTGTTATTGGGAAATTTAAATTAGTTATTTTCCTCACACAATTACAATCTTGGCTTGCATTTCGTACATTTTACTGATGTCAAATAAATTTGATACACCTGTAAAAATCATGATTGTTGTTTAGCATGAATGTTAAAGTCTAGGATCTAAAGTCATTGTCTATGTTGATTTAGAAAAAAAGACATTATATTGTTTGTTTATCCTTCAACAAAACACGTTGTACTTCTACGTATACCACGTTTCTAAAAAATTAATATCATTGTTAATGTTAATAACGAGCATCTAAAACTAAGCTAGTAAAATTTAAACTCGAAAGTCGAACTTAAACTCGTTAATCCTTTCTAAACATTCTAATTTGTCGTTAGAACGTCATAGTTGGTCCAATGGTTGGACAAAACTAGTAAACGTAAATTTTATTACGATGTAGTATTTGTAAAGTTTAAGTTACAGGTTGCATATATGTTTTACTTATATAGCTGAAACTATTTTTTACAGGCTAAAAGCTAGAGGTCAATTTGAGAGAACCTATATTGAATTATTGAGACCTCGTTAATGCTTTCTTGTTATTACATTAGTATAATAATATAGTCTTACTTGCTGCGGAAAAGAAATCAACTTTCACTAGCTAAAACTCAATAATTAGTTAGATCCGAGTTTATTTATCATCTCTCTACATAGGTAGACGCTACAAGATTGGTAGCTGGTTATAAATAGTATACTATAATCATATATCTAATGAAAATCGTGAAAATTCTAGGCGCTGTTTTTGTTTTTAACTAGTCAATGTTTCTTTCCAAAGAACTATATATAAACTATAAGATAGCCATTGAATTGGTTGTGTTGTTCTTGTATTATTGAGTGAAAATTCGGCTGTAGTAAACAAACAATGGGTCTATGTGAGTCAGCGTTTCTTTCTGTCTACTTCTGGCAATGAAGTGGCACAGCCTGAGCGACAACATTTTCTAATCCGAAAATCCAAAAATAAATGCGACTGAAAACTGTATCTTCCCAAGTTAACTGAATACTATATTCAGAAAATAGTATTACATTTTCAGAACGAAAAATGAGCTAATTTATATAATGATACTATTTATTTCTTAGTTTAAAAGGTAGGTTTGCCAAAACAAAAGGTTGGCTAAATTCTATAAATGCATCCAACAACATCTCTCTTACATATGATATATGCATTATCATTTATCAAAATACATCTTTAACAAAAACAAATATGGTCCTCACGTTTTTAAATTGAATTTGAATATATGATTTTTTGTTACTACTTCGAAATTATTTTGAAATCAATTTATATGATATTTTAATAGAAATATAAGAAACAATAAATCAATCAATGTCAAAGACCAACATGAACTAAAGTTTTTCATTTTTTTGTTAGTCAACGAACTAAAGTATTATTTGAGTCGTCTTTGAACTACTCCGGTCATTACTCTGACTGATCATTTATAAATCGGGTGATAAGACTTGAAACGGAATCCGAGAACTACTTGAAATGGTAATATATGGAAACCAAATTTATTATCTAAATTAATGCTTTTATATTGTTTTATGACTGTTGTTTTACCTTTTTTAACTTTCCAAGAAGTCGGCACTAAAGGTTCATATAGCATAACGCGATACACACCGTCCATTCATAACAATAACAGTCTAGTATGTATGCATGTCAGTCTAAAAAGTATATTTATATTACTTATTTTTGTCTCTATAAATGTATTTATCTTTAATCATATCTTTTTATCAGTTGGATTTTTCAAAGATGGTTTAGATAAAGAAATGAAAATTTGATTTTCCTAAAATAAGTTGACTTTCAAATTCAGTATCCTTTTTTCCATTCTCGAAATCATTGTAAGTTGATAATTTGGAACCTTTTTTGTGGGGTCTATTTGATAGGCCAAACTCTTTCACGTGTCTTTGAATTTGATAAACTATATCATATCCTAAAGTTTTTTTGTAAATAATAGGAACCTCCCACGTATATTATAAGAGCTAGTGAAATAGACATTGCACTAGATAAAGTAAGAAGAAAATTCGTTTGATCATATTACTTTACCAATACCAAAACTACTTTTTATATTAGCTTTACCGATATCGCCGAACATCTTTCTGGTATATATATTGTGACGTGAGACTGATCTCCCATACCAAGATGGCTAGATTTATCTTCTCGAATTGTGTCGTCGATTCAGTAGATAGTTAATGTCTTCCAATGATTTAATGTCGTTGTACAATACTAGTTTAATGTCTTTTGTCTCCAAAGTAACCACAAGCACGTTTTTTGAAAAAACGTAAGAGAAACTGACCACAACTTGCGCACTGAATAGACCACAACTTGCGCACTGAATACAAAGATAGAGGGAGAAGTTATTGCAGTTGAAACTTGAATATACAATTTAAAAATGTATTATTAATCTCTGTTGGTGTACATCATAGAATGTGTAACACTTGTCTCAAATTCTTGTCTAATAATCCAAGAAAATAGTCTTGTGGCTCTAAAAATGACAAATTAAGATGGACAAGAGAATAAAGATCAATCAACTTAAAAGACTTGTGTTATCTTATGAAATATACTCACGATAGTCAGATAAGTAACATATCACACTTATCTTAAGCTGACAACCGCGTATGGCAGCTTCTCTGTCACCAACTTATCACATATAATTTTTCGAACGTAGAGAAACTGTTATATGCCATTTATATGCCAGATCTTCATCATGGTCCAGTGGTTTTCATTAGCCGGGTTTTCATCCGTAAGAACCGATTTGGATTCTGGAGTATTGCCACTTTACCTGCGTATCTCCAATCTCCTCTTGTACTTGCCTCTCTCCTTGATGGAGATCGACTCTAAACGCTCCTCATGAGCTATTCGTCTTGTTTGCGTGCTTTTTACAGCAAAAGAACTTGAGATTGTTTTTAAAACGATCATAAAAACCCTTTTGAAGAAGCTTCCAGTTTTAATCTTTGATCAAAACTGTATAACCTATCCTTTTATTGCTTTGTATTTCATTTCTGCATTAAGCTGTTTCTACTCTTTGGCAAAGGGTCCTCAGCTTCCTACTTTTGTAACCGTAATTTAAGTTTTATTCTAATGAGAAGTTGTTAAAAAAAAAAAGGTCCAGTGGTTTTCAAGTTAAGGTGAATTGGCCTTGGCCACCTTCGTCTTTGTTATTTCTATATACTCATCAACTGATAGACATTTTTTGCTTTCTTGAGTTGTTCATTGGTTTGTTTCATATGACCACGAGAAGGTTTTCAATACCAGTAGATCGAATGAATTTTTCCAAATTAACAGTTCAAGATAACTATAATTTTTTTGAAGATATTTACAAACGTTATAACCAATAACACCAGATAGCAGAACATTTTATAATATGTACCCCTTATAAAGGTATAGTTCCTTCGCTTTCATTTTCTAGAACTATGATGGACAAAGTTCATATATTTTTACATCGACTTCAAAGATGGCATCAGTCTACGTTGAAAACAGACACATAATATATAGACATAATATATAGACACATAATATGTTGAAAGCCTTTGGATCACCCACGGTTATAAAAAAATAAAAATAAAAATATATATATATATATATATATATATATATATATAGTTTCGTTGAAAACAAATCTCAAATGCCGGGAATTTCAAATGCGAGGGATTTTGATGACATCACATAAATCATTCGTTTGGACCGTTGGTTTTGCATTATTTATATTAAAAAATCTTACCCAACCTAACTATCATAATTAATTATTTAGGCTTGATTATGTTGCATGAACCTTATGGCACTTGCTGTCAGCTATTTTAAGTGAAGATTCACCACCACAAGTTTGTTTTAAGGCAAATAACCTCAGATTCTGAGACGTTACAAAAAGGACCTGTCTCCATATGCCATTTGTTGAAAGATTCAATAAATGCCATTATTGCTTAGTTAAGTTTTACTTAGGTCTTCAATCTTTCTAGAAATTACGGATTAAAAAAAAACCCATGTGATTATGTGAGTACACCTAATACGTAACAGGAGACAAAGAAGTCAAACTTTCACATAAGAAGTCTTTTGTTTGTTTTTTTCTTTTGTTTTTTTTTTTTCTTAAGAAGTCTTTTGTTGATCATTATAAAAATATAACTAGCATTTGTTATACGATTTCAAAGACATATTGTTCATTCGTTGAAATAGTTTCATTGAACAATCGAAACAACTTGTCTCTTCAAAGGTGTTAGAGCTATGTGAAAAATTGAGAAGTCTCTTGGGAAAATTATAAGGTTTTAACTTTTGTAACTTAGTTCGCTTACTCATTATTGTCTTCTCTATCATAATTTTAGTAGAATGATTTTCTATGGGCAAGTGTTTTTCATTCGGGCTATTTGAACATAAATGATTTGTCAATTTGTTATTTTCTTCAGTGAAACTACTGTATGGAGTCCTTATCTATAATTTATATTGATCGCTAATAAAAGAAAGAAACAAACTCAACTCTCCTTTTACTTCTTTCCTCATTTTGTAGTGAATGAGAGTCCCCATTTGCTTCTAAAGAAGTACCTGAAAGTAATAAAAAACAAGAACAAAAAGACGATGGATCTGTGTAACGGTCAAACATTGCTATTGTCAAAGACTCAATGTGCATTTGTATTATCTGACCTGATTGAGAGAAGAGGAGAAATGTAACATCCGCGGACCAGAAATCTAGAAAATGGCCGAAGGAACTGGTCCGGGAAGATAGTTTTGGCCGAGGAAAATGGAAGAATCCGAATGTACTGAGAAATTTGAGCTGGAACGACTAAGTGTCGAAGGAACTGAGCTGGATCAGTCAGCTGGCCGAGGTAGTGAGCTGAGTGGCCGAGCTAGCTGAACTTGTCCGAACGGATTGGTGAAAATTCGGACAAGTCTTGTCTTGTTCGGACAGGACGGTTATTCCTGTCGGGACGGAAATGACTTTGGCCGAGAGAATATTATTCCATCCGGGAATAATACGGCTAAGTGTCTGAGCGCGGGAACGGTTATGGGTTTGGCCGGGACGCGCAGAAGGGAAATGCGCGGGAACGGTTATTTCCCTTGTTCGCGAGCGCGGATAATGAAATAGGCGGGAACGGTTATGGCCGAGAGCCAAAACGCGTGCGTTTCATTAATCCGACGGTTATGGACGGGATCACGGGTTAAAAGACTCGGGGAGAAGGGATTTCTCATTCATTCAGACTCAGAAATATTTCTAAGTGTCCAGAGAGAAACGGTTATCGAGAGAGAAAGCGGTTTCCGAGAGTTTTCGTCTGTTCCGATCGATATCGACCGTATCGATCGTCTGTTCCGACCGAGAGCGCCTGTTTCCGATCGGTGGTCTGACCGAGAGCCGACCGTACCGAAGATCCGAGAGCCGAACGTTCGACGATCCGTCCGAGAGCGTCCGAGCGACCGTTCTGTAACCGTACGAACCTCCGTACGCGACTGTTCTGTTTACCGAAGGGAATCCGATTCCCGACTGACTGACTAAGGTGAGTGCGTGACCGTGTAGTCATAGTGTATGGTCGTTCTCACGGCATAGATAGATTCAATGGTTGATGATTGCTTGTTAATGTGTCTGATTGCTTGTCGTACTGATTCTGATGGCTTGGTCGGAATGGTCGGTCTATTGGCGAGGGTTACTCGGCCGGGTTAGATAGCCGACCGTTCGCGATAAGCGACTGTGGTTAACGGCATGACTGATTATTGAACTGTGTGTTCTGATTGCGATTCTCTGTACTGTGGCTTAGTGGGCGGGATGACCGCATTCACTAAGCAAACTTGTTTGCTTATGCCTCATTTTAATGTGGCAGGAACTGATCCGACCATAGGTGATGGCCGGACTGACTGATCTGGACGCGAGACAAGGCCGGGAAGGAAGGGATGGATAGGTCTGGGTAGACGGACTAGTTTAATGATGTAATAGCCTATAGCGAACTCACATTGTTGCTAGAACCGAATTTGTATTTCAAGTTTCTGCATTGTTCGTTTAAACAAGATGATTTAATCTAAGTACTTCAAGTTTCTGTATATTCGTTTGTGCATAAATGACTAAGTGTGGGAACCTCATGCAACTGGAAATGCTAAGTAAAAACCGGACCTAAAATTTGACTAAGTTAAATTTATCAGGAAAACCGGACTAGGGTGCTTCAAGTTGGTATCAGAGCATGGTCGGTTCTAGGATAGTCTTTATGCATAGACGGGTAGTGGGTTTACATCCATCCTTCCAAGGCAGTCTCGCGGATTATTGTATGTACTGTTTGCCTGGGAACTAAGTTAGTCGTGCGGCTAACTTATAAATCTGAACTTGCAGATGGCTAAGAGTAAGAGTACTAGAAGGAATGTGCAAGAGACTGGGGAAAACTCAGGCGTGAATGATCCGAATGGTCGGAATCCTGAGGTGGATGCACCGAACCTACTGAAGCGGCCACTGAGGCGCTGCTGCTGCCGCCGCTGCTGCCGCGGCTCCTCCCGTTGGGATGGAAGCCCTGTTGGGACTGCTCGCCCAAGTGTTGGAGCGTCTGCCCGTTCCTCCCGCTCCCGCAGCGGAACCGGAAGTGGTTGAGGAACCGGTGGAAGTGAATGTGAATGTGGGTGTGGAAGAGGATCCGGGAGAAAGGGTTCCATCGTATCTGCGGATGATGGAGCAGATGCAGAAGCTGGGAACCCGGTTCTTCTCCGGAGGTGGATCCAAGCCGGTTGAGGCGGACCAGTGGATCACTCGATTGGAGCGGAACTTTAGTTCCATCCGTTGTCCCGGACAGTACAAGAGGGACATTGCGATCCACTACCTGGAAGGGGATGCGCATACTTGGTGGGGAGGTGTAGTTGCTCGGAACGGAGGTGTTCAGAACTGCACTTGGATGATCTTCCGTGAGGAGTTCACGAAGAAGTTCTTCCCACCAGAGGCGTTTGATAGGATGGAGATGGCGTTTCTGGAACTGCGCCAAGGCAGTAAGACCGTCCGGGAGTATGAGGCGGAGTTTAACTCTCTGAAGAAGTTCGCTGGGCGCGAACTGGACAGAGAGAGCGCGCAAGTCCGTAGGTTCATGCGCGGCCTTAGGGCGGATATTCAGAACCGTTGCCAGATCCGTAGCTTTCGATACTGTTGCCGAGTTAGTCGAGAAGGCGGCTCAGCAGGAGACTGGAATGATCGAGGAGATGAAACTGATGGGAAAGGAACTCCATGTTCAGTCTAAGAACATAGTCGGGAAGAACCCGAACGCTTCCGGCAAGTCGACTGCGGGACGCAGTGCATGTCCGGAATGCGGAAAGAATCATGCTGGCCCGTGTAGGAAGGCTTCTGGTGCATGTCTTCGCTGTGGAAGTCAGGACCACAAGGTTCGTGACTGTCCAGAGGAAGATAAGAGGCCGAAGGATCAGGCTAAGGAAGGCCGAGTAGTGGTCTGTTACGGATGTAACGAGACGGGACACTACAAGGACAAGTGCCCACACAGACAGACAACTGGGAAGCGAGCAAGTGAGGGACCGGACTCGGGTGCAAAGAGGCAGGCGGTCACTCCTCGTCTGTACTCGATTGGAGATGCGGCCACGGACCCAAGCTCATCTCGTCCGATCACTGGTTAGTCCCATCACTTAGTTGTTTAAGTGTCTGTGTGAATAGCTAGGAGTAGCTAGTTGCTTGTTCTGTGGAAAGATAGGTTCTTAGCATTCGGATGAATGTGTAGGGACCTTAATCATGGGTGGCGTGGCGGCCCATGTTCTGTTTGATTCGGGTGCATCGCATTGCTTTGTACACCCGAGTCTGGTCGGCACTGGCGAGTTCCGCAAGGAACCCGGTGAAGACCATGGGATGGTTCAAGCGGCTGGTGGCCAAGTTATGTTTACCTTGGGGAAGATCAGGAACGTGTCGGTTATGATCGGAGAGGTAAACATGCCAGCTGACTTGGTGATTTGCGAGGTGAAGTCTTATGATGTGATCCTTGGAATGGATTGGCTTGGGAAGCACAAGGCACATCTAGACTGTCATCGGGGAAGAGTGTGGTTTGAAACCGAGAAGGGTAAACTGAAGTATCAGGGAGTTAGACCGACAGCGGGAAGCTTGATCATCTCGGCGGTCCAAGCGGATCGGATGATCGAGAAGGGCTGTGAAGCGTACTTGGCCGCGATCACTACTACGGAAGTCGGGAAAGACGCTAGCCTTAGCGAGATTCCAGTAGTTAGTGAATTCGAGGATGTGTTCCAGGCATTGTCTGGACTGCCTCCGGATCGATCGGATCCGTTCACGATCGAACTGGAACCTGGAACCGCCCCGGTGTCTAAGGCATCTTACCGGATGGCGCCGGCTGAGATGGCCGAACTGAAGAAGCAGCTGAACGACCTAATGGAAAAGGGTTTTGTTCGGCCAAGTAGTTCGCCATGGGGTGCACCTGTTCTGTTCGTGAAGAAGAAAGACGGAAGTTTTAGACTCTGTATAGATTACCGCGGTTTGAACCGGGTAACAGTGAAGAACAAGTACCCTCTCCCGAGGATAGACGAGTTGTTGGACCAACTCCGAGGTGCTACTTGGTTCTCAAAGATCGATTTAGCCTCGGGCTATCATCAGATTCCGATAGCAGAGTCGGATGTGAGGAAGACCGCCTTTAGGACGAGGTACGGTCACTATGAGTTCGTGGTCATGCCGTTCGGGCTGACCAATGCACCGGCTGCATTTATGAAACTCATGAACAATGTGTTCCGAGATTGCTTGGATGAGTTCGTTATCATCTTCATTGATGATATACTGATTTACTCTAAGAGTCCGGAGGAACATACGGTCCATTTGAGTACGGTGATGAAGCGGTTGCGGGAGCATCACCTATTCGCCAAGCTCAGTAAGTGTAGCTTCTGGCAAAGGGAAATTGGATTCCTAGGCCATGTGGTCTCGGACAAGGGAGTGTCCGTGGATCCGGAGAAGATCAAGTCGATCGCAGAATGGCCAAGACCAAGGAATGCGTCGGAGATAAGGAGCTTCTTAGGTCTGGCCGGATATTACAGACGGTTCGTGAAGGGATTTGCGAGTATGGCGTCGCCCATGACTCGACTCACCGGAAAGGATGTTTGGTTTGAGTTGTCGGCCGAGTGTGAGAAGTGTTTTGGGAAGCTTAAGGACATGCTTACCAGCACTCCGGTCTTGACCATACCGAGGCCGGATGAGCCGTATACGGTGTACACAGACGCATCTAAGACAGGACTTGGGTGTGTACTGATGCAACACGGAAGTGTTATTGCCTATGGGTCTAGGCAGTTGCGGAAACACGAGTGTAACTATCCTACACACGATCTGGAGATGGCCGCGGTAGTGTTCGCGCTGAAGATTTGGAAACCTTACTTGTATGGTGCCAAGGTTCAAGTCTTCACGGATCACAAGAGTTTGAAGTACATCTTCACTCAGCCAGGATTGAACATGAGACAGCAAAGATGGATGGAGTCCATTGCTGATTTCGATGTGGATATAGCTTACCATCCGGGTAAAGCTAACTTGGTCGCGGATGCCTTAAGCCGGAAGAGAGTGGCTAAGGATTCGGACAAGGATATGTCTGGTCTGGTCGAGATGATCGGGACATTAAGACTGGCCGCCTTGACTGACGAATTGGAACCGTTAGGTCTTGGTGCGGCGGACCAGGCGGACTTACTGACTAGAGTCAGATTGGCTCAGCAGTTGGACGAGGAGTTGGTTAAAGCGTCCAAGAATGAGCAGACTGAGTATCAGGTTTCTAAGAATGGAACGATCGTGGTGCACGGTCGAGTGTGTGTTCCAAAGGATCAGGAACTGCGGGAAGAGATCCTTAAGGAAGCTCACCATTCAAAGTTTTCCATTCATCCGGGATCGACCAAGATGTATCAGGACTTGAAAAGATACTATCATTGGGTCGTGATGAAGCGGGATGTGGCTAAGTGGATAGCCGGATGCCAAACCTGTCAAATGGTTAAGACAGAACATGAAGTGCCGGGTGGATTGTTGCAGAGTCTACCTATCCCAGAATGGAAATGGGATATGATCACGATGGACTTCGTGACCGGACTGCCCGCGTGCGGAAAGTTGGATGCGATATGGGTTATAGTCGATAGACTGACTAAGTCTGCGCATTTCCTGGCTATCAGTAAGAATGAAAGGCGGACTCATTGGCTAAGATCTATGTGGAAGAGATCGTTAAGCTACATGGTGTGCCGGCCAGTATAGTCTCGGATAGAGATGCGCGGTTTAGTTCTTCTTTCTGGAGAGCGTTTCAGAAACGTCTCGGTACTAAGGTACACATGAGTACGGCCTATCATCCTCAGACGGATGGCCAGTCGGAACGGACTATCAGAACACTCGAGGACTTGTTGAGAACGTGTGTTCTGGACTGGGGCGGCAAGTGGAAGGATTACTTGCCTTTGGCCGAGTTCTCATACAACAACAGTTTTCAGGCAAGCATTGGGATGTCGCCATATGAGGCACTGTATGGTCGACCTTGCCGAACACCGTTGTGTTGGACTCAAGTGGGGGAGCGGAGTCTCTATGGTCGGGACTTCGTGGAAGAAACCACTGAACGGATTAGAGTCCTGAAGCTGAAGATGAAAGAAGCTCAGGATCGGCAAAAGAGTTATGCGGATAAGCATCGCCGGGAGTTAGAGTTTCAGGCCGGAGACATGGTCTTCGTCAAGCTGATAACCTTTAAGGGAAAGGATAAGGCTGCGGCGACTGGGAAGCTAAAGCCGAGGTACATGGGACCGTACAAAGTCCTGGAAAGGATTGGAGCTGTAGCGTACAAGTTGGAATTGCCACCAGCCTTGGTCGCGTTCCATCCGGTCTTTCATGTATCTTTACTGAGGAGACGCGTGACAAACGGGGATAACGTTGTGTCCGAACCTCCGCCCGACTTACAGGAGAATCTGACGGTCGAAGGCAGACCGGTTCGGATAGTAGGTCGAAGGGTCAAGTCAGTTGGCCGGAAGAGAATTAAGATGGTGCAAGTCGTTTGGGACTGTGAAGGAGAAGAAGAAACGACTTGGGAACCAGAAAGTAGGATGGAAGAGAAATTCTCTAAGTGGTTTGAGAAGCAACCGAAGGCTCCACCAAAGCCTAAGAAAGGCAAGGATTCGAGGGCGAATCCAAAGTGAGTGGGGGAGACTTGTAACATCCGCGGACCAGAAATCTAGAAAATGGCCGAAGGAACTGGTCCGGGAAGATAGTTTTGGCCGAGGAAAATGGAAGAATCCGAATGTACTGAGAAATTTGAGCTGGAACGACTAAGTGTCGAAGGAACTGAGCTGGATCAGTCAGCTGGCCGAGGTAGTGAGCTGAGTGGCCGAGCTAGCTGAACTTGTCCGAACGGATTGGTGAAAATTCGGACAAGTCTTGTCTTGTTCGGACAGGACGGTTATTCCTGTCGGGACGGAAATGACTTTGGCCGAGAGAATATTATTCCATCCGGGAATAATACGGCTAAGTGTCTGAGCGCGGGAACGGTTATGGGTTTGGCCGGGACGCGCAGAAGGGAAATGCGCGGGAACGTTATTTCCCTTGTTCGCGAGCGCGGATAATGAAATAGGCGGGAACGGTTATGGCCGAGAGCCAAAACGCGTGCGTTTCATTAATCCGACGGTTATGGACGGGATCACGGGTTAAAAGACTCGGGGAGAAGGGATTCCTCATTCATTCAGACTCAGAAATATTTCTAAGTGTCCAGAGAGAAACGGTTATCGAGAGAGAAAGCGGTTTCCGAGAGTTTTCGTCTGTTCCGATCGATATCGACCGTATCGATCGTCTGTTCCGACCGAGAGCGCCTGTTTCCGATCGGTGGTCTGACCGAGAGCCGACCGTACCGAAGATCCGAGAGCCGAACGTTCGACGATCCGTCCGAGAGCGTCCGAGCGACCGTTCTGTAACCGTACGAACCTCCGTACGCGACTGTTCTGTTTACCGAAGGGAATCCGATTCCCGACTGACTGACTAAGGTGAGTGCGTGACCGTGTAGTCATAGTGTATGGTCGTTCTCACGGCATAGATAGATTCAATGGTTGATGATTGCTTGTTAATGTGTCTGATTGCTTGTCGTACTGATTCTGATGGCTTGGTCGGAATGGTCGGTCTATTGGCGAGGGTTACTCGGCCGGGTTAGATAGCCGACCGTTCGCGATAAGCGACTGTGGTTAACGGCATGACTGATTATTGAACTGTGTGTTCTGATTGCGATTCTGTACTGTGGCTTAGTGGGCGGGATGACCGCATTCACTAAGCAAACTTGTTTGCTTATGCCTCATTTTAATGTGGCAGGAACTGATCCGACCATAGGTGATGGCCGGACTGACTGATCTGGACGCGAGACAAGGCCGGGAAGGAAGGGATGGATAGGTCTGGGTAGACGGACTAGTTTAATGATGTAATAGCCTATAGCGAACTCACATTGTTGCTAGAACCGAATTTGTATTTCAAGTTTCTGCATTGTTCGTTTAAACAAGATGATTTAATCTAAGTACTTCAAGTTTCTGTATATTCGTTTGTGCATAAATGACTAAGTGTGGGAACCTCATGCAACTGGAAATGCTAAGTAAAAACCGGACCTAAAATTTGACTAAGTTAAATTTATCAGGAAAACCGGACTTAGGGTGCTTCAAGACCAACAACGAAGAAGTGATTAATAATCATCAAAATTTAATAAGACAACCTTGTCGTTATATAACCATTATTTAACTTCTGACTTTCACCCTTGATCAAATTCAAACAATTTTTTTTTCCTTTTCATGCATTACATTAATACAATATATTCATCAATAATATATTCATCAATAAGTAATATTTAAATATTTCAATCAAATAATAAATCTACTTTGTCATTTATTACTATAAAGTTGAACATCTTCAGAATTATATAATTATATATATATATATAAATTTTGGTATATAATTTGCTAGATACAATATAATATTATGGAAGGTTTTATTAAGATCTGTTTTAAAAATTACATCTTAAATCACTGGAATGGGTTCTACTAACTTTGGAGAGTAAAAAGCAGAAAAATCTATTATGAAGATTATGTGTATATTATATACTAAAACTAATTTTTTTTTTTTTTTGTTAAAGGATCTTCACACTAAAATTAGTTCCATTAGTCTTCTTGTCATTATTGTCAAATTTATATCTTTTTAAGAGTATATTTTTCTATAATTCACTATATTGATATCGACAAATCAAAAGTTGAATAATTATTTAAGAATCTTGTTACAAAAAAAATTATTAAAGAATCTGAACATAAAAATCATCCCCCCATAGGTGTGGGCTCAAAGCCTCAAAGTCTAGTCGAGAGAGTCGCACATCCCAAGCAATATTAAAAAGAAAACATTAAAACCATTTATATGAAAATGAAAGTTGAATTTTGAACACGTATTTACGTATACGTCTCGTTGGCATATATGCTCTCAACATTATATTATATACACATATTATGTCTATATAAATGGTGTTATGTAGACACAAATCAGTTGACTATATTTAGACTCCTTCATTTACTCTCTCTGACTTACACATTTACTTATCTTCTTCACCTCTTTCTTCCTCTTTGCTTATCTCTCTCTCTCTCTCTCTCTCTCTCTCTCTCTCTGTCTCTCACTATGAAGAGTTTCAACACAGAACACAATCACTCCACGGCGGAATCCGAAGACGTCTACGCCGTGTCCGACCCCGGAAAGAACGTGGATGACGACGGAAAAGAGAAGAGGACGGGGACGTGGCTTACGGCGAGTGCGCATATTATCACGGCGGTGATAGGCTCCGGAGTTTTGTCCTTGGCATGGGCAATTGCTCAGCTTGGTTGGATCGCAGGGATTTTGATTTTGATCATTTTCTCTTTCATCACTTATTTCACTTCTACCATGCTCGCCGATTGCTACCGTGCGCCGGATCCCGTCACCGGAAAACGGAATTACACTTACATGGACGTTGTTCAGTCTTACCTCGGTATGGTTTCTTGTTTGTTTCACTATTTTTACCTTTTCTTGCAAAGGTTGAAAAAATCGACGCGCTTTTTCACCAACTTTATTTTCTTGTTCAGAAAAGGTTCTTTACGAAATTTACATTTTTGTGTATAATTTTTTTTTAATTATTTTCAAAATTGAAGGCTTGGTTCTGCTTAGATATAGTAGTTTGTGTGGTATTTATTTAGCTAGGATGATGCTTGTCGAAAGAATTATTGTGGTTAGAGAAAAATCTAATATGTTAAAATAAAAATTGAAGGTGACTAAAACCAACACTGTTATTCATGAGTTTGACATAAAAGAAAATTGGGTGTTATGAATTAATTTCTCATAATTGATAATATTAATTTTGAGAGAAATATGTATTCATATAGGAATGATATCTTTTGAAGCAATCTAAAAAAGTGTGTTGTCGGATTGGTTGTAGTTAGGATTGCACATGTAGTAAATTAAATTTTAGATTTTTTAAGTGTTTTCGTCTAACTCCCTGCAATTTTAGTTTTACATAAAAAGAAAAAGTGTACAATATTGAAAGTCCTACATAACTATTTTAAGGAAGCAATGACATAAATGTAAAAGTGTTTGTAACCGTCCTTTAAGTTTCGATCATAAACTACGGTTGTTGAAAATTATTAATTAGGCTAAAACTTGTCTTCAAGTCAACAATATCTTCAACGATTACTAATTAAAAAATTTGTTCATAATGATCCAAAATTGTGTAACCCGAGGAAAACAGAGATTAAAGAATATTTTGACATATGAGGCAAACATTTTTGGTAGTATTAGAGCATTATTGTTGGTTTTGGATGTTGATGGATATTATATAGAAATCGATATTATATAGTTCCGTGGAGTGTTTTGTGTTTGCTTTATGTAACAGAAATACTAAATAATAGCTTAAAAACATAAGTGATATAAATAGTAATAATAGACTCTTAATAATACTTTGCAATTATTGTAAAATTGACAGGTGGTAGGAAAGTGCAGCTTTGTGGAGTGGCACAGTATGGGAACCTGATAGGAATCACTGTGGGTTACACCATCACTGCTTCTATTAGTTTGGTGTAAGTCAACTTTCTGTGAATATCTTATTTACTTTATAACCGTTACCAAATGTACAGTAAATTTTCTTGTCACATGGTTAAAAGTTGTGGAAATATTGATGTGGTTGATATGGTTATTTTGGGCAGAGCGGTCGGGAAATCGAACTGTTTCCACGATAAAGGTCACAAGGCGGATTGTACAATCTCGAACTATCCATACATGGCGGTTTTCGGGATCATTCAGATTATTCTTAGCCAAATCCCAAATTTCGCCAAGCTATCTTTTCTCTCCCTTTTGGCTGCGGTTATGTCATTCACGTACGCAACTATTGGAATTGGCCTAGCCATCGCGACTGTCGCAGGTACATAACAATTCTTCAAAGATTTGATTAGTAGCAAGTTTGGAATTATTAACCATTTCAATTTTTAAAACAATTTGACTAGGGCTAGTGTTATATGGCCTAACAAAATTACAAAACTAACGGTGGATAAATGTCACATATAATGAAGGTGGTCAAGTTGGTAAGACAACTTTGACCGGCACGGTGGTAGGAGTTGATGTAACTGCGGCTCAGAAGATATGGAGATCGTTTCAAGCGGTTGGAGACATAGCTTTCGCATATGCTTACGCCACGGTTCTCATCGAGATTCAGGCAAGTTAATTAATGTTATTTTTGAGTATTATTTACTTTGAATATGAACCTCTTGATAAGACTGTGGTTGAATATTATTTTGACAATGACAATCAATTCCCTATGGACCACTTTTGTTTGCTTTACTTTACTCAAAAGAGTCAAAAAGAAGAGAATCTGTCTTTTAGCTTAAAGGTATAACATGTGCATATATTAAGGACAAGGCGTCGCATTCAAAGATATTGTCAATCTCTTCTCAACAGCAAACATATGATATAAATTCTTTGGCTAATTGAGTTGACATTACAACGCACAATGTTTTTGTCTCTTAATGATCGTAGTTTTCACCATTTAATGTGTACGGTATTTGGTACCATAGAGTAATTTATCGACTGGAGATAGTGACGGTTTAGTAATAAGACTAAGTTTAAAACCCATGAGAGGAAATTTGAATAAAAGTGTATGAAATGTGGATTTGCATACACTAACAAGCTTGATGTTTTTTTATTTTTTTTCAGGACACATTGAAATCTAGCCCATCAGAGAACAAAGCAATGAAAAGAGCAAGTCTTGTGGGAGTATCAACCACCACTTTCTTCTACATGTTATGTGGTTGTATTGGCTATGCTGCATTTGGAAACAATGCCCCTGGAGATTTCCTCACAGATTTCGGATTTTTCGAGCCATTTTGGCTCATTGACTTTGCAAATGCTTGCATCGCCGTCCACCTAATTGGTGCCTATCAGGTAAAACCTAGAACCTTAAAGAGAAAGTTCTTTTTTTGCACATTTTCTAGGTTTTTAGCTAATAGATCAAACCATACACTTTCAGGTATTCGCGCAGCCCATTTTCCAGTTTGTTGAGAAGAAATGCCATAGAAACTGGCCTGACAACAAGTTCCTAACGTCAGAATATTCAGTAAACATACCTTTCATTGGAGAACTCAACATCAGCTTCTTCAGATTGGTGTGGAGGACAGCTTACGTGGTGTTAACCACTTTGGTAGCTATGATATTCCCTTTCTTCAACGCCATCTTGGGTCTCATTGGAGCAGCTTCTTTCTGGCCTTTAACGGTTTATTTCCCGGTGGAGATGCACATTGCACAAACCAAGATCAAGAAGTACTCTCCTAGATGGATTGCGCTGAAAATGCTATGTTGGGTTTGCTTGATAGTATCACTCTTAGCTGCGGCTGGATCCATCGCAGGACTGATAAGTAGTGTCAAGACGTACAAACCTTTCAGGACTATGCATGAGTGAGTTTGTGAGATCCATGCGAGATATCTCAAGAGAGTATAAAAGAAATGTAGTAGTTTGGTCTTTCTTCTAAGCTATGTGGTGTCTAAATCCTATGAAAATACTTTATTAGCTGGAAAGCTACATGAATCTCTATATATCCACAGCTTTCAAATATATATATATATATATATATATGAGCTTGTCACAGCTCCTTCAAAATTTGTTTGATCATATATAACCATAACAACTCTTGCAAATTTCTTTTAACAAATTCAAATGATAAATATCATTAAGATTTAAAAGTACAACCGAAATCAAAGAATTTGACACAATACAAAGTAACTTGAATATTCAGCTGACTAACCACTACCAGTCAGCCAAGGCCGGTAAAATAATAATAATAAAAAACCAGTAAAAAGTAGTAATAATAATAATAATAAACCAGCAATAAATAAATGATAAAAATGCAAACCACCAAATTTTATATAGGCAAGCAGAAGATCTACTTTTCGAGGGCTTCTTGATGCTGAAGGAAGTCGAACCAAATTCTCTGAGAAAGAAGATATAACACAAATGTTTGAACCGAGCCAACAAACCTCATCTTTCCCTGGATTATATTTGAACAGCCTCTTGTGATTATCATGAAAGACAAGATCCCCTTCCTTAGTAACATCCACCGGCGTGAACTACATTTCCGACAAATAACCTATATTACATACACTAACGGAGTAAGTCTTGCTCCATATTTCTTCTTCTACGTCCATGCTCATTATCTCTAGTATCCATCGACACCCATCTACTTTCGTTACGGTTCCGGCTATGGCTAAACGTTCCATAAGATTCACTATCTGAGATAGGAATGGAATCAGTGGATCCGGAAATGAGACAACATCATGGAACTCTTCTTTGTGAAGATCAAAAGCTAGTAATTTGTAACCACTCTCATGGTATAACAAGTATAACCAGTATATCGATCCATTCACATAGGCTGATTTGGTTCCCACAAGGTCCCGATAATTAAAATTAGGTGCATTCACATCTCGGCATGTACTAGGTTCAACATCAAGAACACTACATTTCATCACACCCCATCCTTCAGTTTCAGGATAACACATCGTCACTACTTTATATCTTCCTGTAACTTTGTCTTTACCAAATCCCATTGCCCAATCTGTACAGTTTTGATTTTTTGAACTCATTAGTGCAAAAACAACAAAAGAACAAAAACTTTTCTGTTAGGGTTTTAGTAGATTACCGAGAGAAAATCTGTTGTTCTCTGGATTACGGCGGTTTAAGCAGGAAGGGAATCGATGGAATCGTCTGGTGGAAGGGTTTAAAACGTTGATCCAATCTGGTCCAGGGAAGCAGACTAAACCGTCGCAAGTCATCGAGAGTCGTGCGGCGTCGCAGGGCACAAAGACGATCTCTTGGTCACCTACGAACTGCGGCTTGGAGCGGAGACTTGGCCACTTGCGGCAAGCGGCCAGGATTTTCCGATGGTTCTTTTGGAGACTCATACGCTTCTCTAAGAAAACCTTCGATTCCAGAATCGATCTCCATTGTTTTGACACGGTTTTGAATCTGAGGATTGATTTCGCGGGCAGTCGAAGTAAAATTTCTTCAAGTAGATCGGGAGCTAGGTACATTGAAATTGAGTAAGTAGAGTTTTCATTTTTTCTTCCCCAAGGAAACTTAAAAACATTCATTCTGTTTTGTGTTCTCACTGTCTATCAGAATTGTGTCATCTATGTATAGTATTATTTTCGGTGAGATCTCTCATTCAATCTCAGATTTGAAATGTCTAATTGCCATTAATGAGAATTAATATTTATTTATTTATTAATTTATAATTTACTAAAAAATATTAGATATAACTTTAACCAAAAAAAATATATATATTAGATATTATTTTCTTCTATACTACTACTCCCTCCGTTTCACAAAGAATGTCATTTTAGAGTTTTGCTTTTGTATTATAAAAAGTATCACTTTACATTTCCAATGCAATTTTATTAATAAAAAATTCAGTTTTACCTTTGTTAAATTAGTGTATTAATTAGAAAGAGATTATTGTTTAGTGTATTTATAAAGGGTAAAACAGAATTTTTATTGGTTTTCTTAATATGTGTGCAAAAACCTTAAATGAAACTTAATATGAAACATATGGAGTATTATACAAAGTGATTTTGGAGAATGAACCTCTCTCATTCACTCTCAGATTTGAAAAGTTTAAATTGCCATTAATGAAAACTCTTATTTATTTATTTTTTTTCCCATAATCTATAAATTATTAAAAATATTAGATATCACTTTAACAAAAATATAAATAAATATTAGATATTATTTTCTTCTATACTATTACTTACTAAGTGATTTTGGAGAATGAAGCTTTCTCATTCATTCTCAGATTTGAAAAGTTTAAATTGCCATTAATGAAAATTCATATTTATTTTTATTTTTTCCATAATGTATATTCTCTCCATTTCTTTAAGATGAATTTTTTAGTCTTTTCTAACATTAAGAAAAAGTAAAAGTTTAATAATATTTCTAAACTAAACAACTTTAAACCAATATTAATGGAAGAAAGACATTGGAATCTGGTCTTTTTAACTTTAATCAATAAAAAGTACATTGAAAACCTATAAAATTTATCTTTAAGGAAGAATATAAAATAGTTAAAAAAATCATCTTAAAGAAACCAAGGGAGTATTTTATTTTAATTTAATCAAGAAAAAGTACATTAAAAACCTATAAATTTATCTTCAAGGAACAACATCGGAGCAGCTTCTTTTTGGCCTCTAACCACTACAAGAAAACAGTGGTTTTTCCAACGATCATAACCATCGTTATGTCGTCGGAAACAGCCATAACAGATGGATTACCGACGGACAAAATTCGGCGGGATTATCATATCGCTTATATATTACTCCCTCTGTTTCAATATATAAGGGGTTTTAGAGTTTTGTTTTTGTTTCAAAATATAAGGGGTTGTACAAAAGTAAATGTGTTTTTATTACTTTTAATTATTTATATTCTGTAGATTTCTTTTTCATTGGTTGAAATGTTTTGGAATTGATGATAAAATATATTTTATTTCAAAAAGTACAAAAATTAAATGGGTTCTTAATCTGTGTGCAAAAACCTTAAACCCCCTATATATTGAAACAGAGGGAGTAATATATTATCCTCGTAAATCCATCAGAAATTTCCGAACGATTTGCGAGAGACCCATTTTCCAACGGGTTTCCAAGGACATTTATAGCGTTGGTTTTCCGTCGTTAAACTGTCTGTACACATAAGTGAGAGAATTTTGACAAGTGGTTTCGTCGGTTGATTCCCGACAGATTGAAGATGCAACTGGTTTGACGCAGATCGTGAATCAGTCAAGAAGTGCATCAGGACGTATGGACGGACATGTAGCGGAGCTAAGCGGAGCTTAACGGAGCTAAAGGATTGATGCTGAGCTGGATGCGAGCTTGTAGCGGTTAAGGACGAATCCAGAAGAGGCGGTAGCTGAGCTGGATGAGGAGATTTGGAATTATCAAGACAAAAGGAATATTTCCTATTCTTAGAGAAAAATAAGGAAAGGAAATATTCCTTGGAGATTTGGAGTAATCACCAAGACACAACCTTGTAGGGTTTGGCGGTTCGTCTATTGAGGATAAATAGAGGACCTTGGCTGCTTGTAAGCGGCTATCACAAATATTGAGAGCTTTAGACTTTGGGTTTAGATCATCTTGTAAGAGAGCTAGGACAAAGGGTTAGGGCTTGAGAGGTTCGAAGATCGTGGATAGATCTGAGAACAGAGTGTTACTAGAGCAATCAAATCGTGGATAGATTGTGGTTGTCAATTCGTTTAAGCAATACTTGTAAGTTACACTTAAAGAATTTCTAGTAATATATTTCTTTGTAGAGAAATCCCTTGTGCCAATTTGTGATCTATTTCCATATCAATAGCCCTTGGTTTTTCACAGATTACCAATCGTTTAATTATCGTCGGATTTTTGAGAGATCATTTACCAACAGATTTGCAACAGAATTTTTATCAACCGTATATCGAGGGATTGTTTCCCAACAGATTTGACACCAAATTTACTCTTGATGGAATTGAGATGGTTTTCCGATGAAAATTTGTAAACTTTCAAAAAAAATATTTTTAAAAAAAAAAGTATAAACCAAAAGTTTAAAACCAATATATTTCAAGCATCTAAATACGGAACTAGATTAGATAAGTCTTATCCAAAACCAAAACATTAGTGTACTTCAAAGCATTCAGATTACACTAGACTAATGCCCGTGCATACGCGCGGGTTTTGTTGTTGTTAAAATTTGAAAAAAATGCTCGAAAATATTTTTAGATTTGCGATTAATATTATAAAGTATAATCCAATAATATCCATATTTAATTCCTATTTGTTGGTTAGCGACTGACTTTCAAACATATATTTTTCTATCATACCATATGTCTATGAACCATTAACTCTCTTTGTTTACTCAAGACCACATAGAACGGACTCTGATTTTCCGCCATCGATTTTGCTAAATCCATTTCTCCATATATTAGGAGAATTTAGATGTTTAATAATAACTTAAGATGGAAGCCGAAATGTAAAAGTTTTGGATTAATAGAGTGATTTTTATTATTATAAGTTGAAATGTATAAGATTTAGAGTTATTGACTGGAAAGAAGAGGAAAAGTCATGCCACAATATTAATTAATGGAGTGTTGATACAACGTGGAAGGTGAAAAACTGACGGTTTTGAAACCTATTATAACTGTAACGACTAAGAATGCGAAGAACTACTCTCTTTAAAAGTTTTGCAATATGTTATATGTTAGTCATATGAAAAGAGTTGGTCTCAATTCATATATATAATATATTAGAATTATGGCATATCCGGCCACTTACTTCTCATAAACGCATCCATTTTTGAGACTTGAGTCTTTGTAGTGGTGAGCTCCTCTTGTGTACTAGACAGCCTCTCTTCTGTTTCTACTTTGGAAGCTTCTAAAGCATCAACTTTGGCTTTAAGCTCTTCGTTCCTCTGAAGGAGGTCTTCATTGTAGTCTGCGAAAAATGCTGTAGTCGGATCTGTTTCTGCAATCTTACCCAGCCCTAGACGACGACTTTTGCAGAGAGGAACCACCTGCAAAACCAAACCAAGACAAGTAACTTAAAATTCTTAAAGTAAGTTACAAGACAAGAGACAGAATATGAACCTAAGCTACAAAATCAAAACAAAACCAAAAGTGAGAGGAAAAATTGGAAATTAAAACGAAACAGAAACAAGTCGTAATCATAAGAGACATAATATGAACCTAAGCTACAAAATCAAAACCAAACGGAAAGTAAGAAGAAAAACCCAAAAACAAAAACTAAACAGAAACATGTCTTCAACGCCATAAATAAGAGACAGCATATGAACCTAAGCTTCCAAATAAAAACCAAAACTAAACACAAACAAAAAAAGTTTCGTTAAAGAAAACCAGAAATGAAAATCAATCACCAAATATTCTTGAATGCCAAGTGTTAGAGGAAAAGGACAAATTGAAAAAATTATCTTGATCACAAGATTATTGATCTGGATCCGAGACAAATCTTCCATAGAGGACGGCTTGAGAGAGCTGAGTAAGAAGGTCCATCTTATTCACCTTCACATTCTCTACAATCTCTGAGATGACACCACCTTGAATCACACCCGTTTTCTTATTGGTGTGGTATCTCTCCAATCTCCATCAAATCCAGGTGGTTTGGAGGAACACCACCAGATGCAGCATTAACCATTTGAACGTCCCATAAGATTTCATCTACTTCCGGTGTTGGTTCCGCTAATCTAACCGATCTACCACCTAGCATATCCGAAGGGCTACCATAATTTTGAACCATTAAATTGGTTTCTCCATGAGAATATCAAACCTTATAACCAGGCATAAATTCATTTCTACACAAACGATTCCATACTTCTCTAACAGAAACTAGTCTAAGATTCCGACATTTTACACAAGAACAATACGTTCTACCGTATTCAGATGTCATGCTATTGTTTGACGCCAAAGCCATGAACTCTTCAATGCCTTGTGCAAATTCATCCGTCAATTCACCGGTTGTCGGATTGTATCGAGGTTTATCCATCCAAGAACGAAAATAATTGTAAGGATTTGAAGAACTCATTTTGTTTTCTTAACTTTTCCATTTTGAATGAGGATGAAAGGATATTTTTATTGGTTTTCTTGCGTCAACCGACGGCTTCTCGACCATTCTGAAAAAAATGGCTATAAAACAGCTATGTCAAACGGTAATATAATGGATATATTTACCTCGTGAAACGGACGATAAGCTGTTGGAAAATATATCCATCGGGATATATCCACGGATTTCCGACGGATGTTTCAAATTTCAAATCGTTAATATATTTGTCAAAAATCCATGGATATATCCCAACGAATTTGCGACGGATGTTTCAAATTCAAATTGTTAATATATATGTCGGAAATCCATCAGGATATATCCACGGATTTCCAACGGATGTTACAAATTTCAAATTGTCAATACTATCGATCGAAATGGCCTTGCAAATTCGTTGGGAATTGCCGACAACTAGGGTTCCATCGGTAACCGGTTGGTACTTATCAACAGAATTTTCGACGAGTCATTTACGATCGGCAATTTGCGACTGATTGCCGACTATATTTTTTCCCTCTGTATTACATCGGAAATCCGACGCAAATTTTCAATAGACAATGATTCATCGGTATTTCCGTTGGAAAAGCCACTGTTTTCTTGTTTTCTTGTAGTGAACGGTTTATTTCCCGGTGGAGATGCACTCATGCACATTGCACAAACCAAAATCAAGAAGTACTCTCCTAGATGGATTGCGCTGAAAATGCTATGTTGGGTTTGCTTGATCGTATCACTCTTAATTAGCTGCTGCTGGATCCATCGCAGGACTGATAAGTAGTGTCAAGACATACAAACCTTCAGGACTATGCATGAGTGAGTTTGTGAGATCCATGCGAGAAATCTCAAGAGAGTATAAAAGAAATGTAGTAGTTTGGTCTTCCTTCTAAGCTATGTGGTGTCTAAATCCTATGAAAATACTTTATTGCAGAAAATCTACATGAATCTCTCTGTATCCACAGCTTTCAATCTTAATATATATATAGATATGAGTTTGTCACAGCTCCTACAAATTTGTTTGATCATTATAAATAACCATAACAACTCTTGCAAATTTCTTTTAACAAAGAATACTATTTACATCGATCTAAATGTTAATCAAAAGAGGAAGAGTATCAAATTCACAAAACAAATATCATTAGATTTAAAATTAACCGGAGTCAAATAATTTGACACAAAACCATAAGATCTTTATTCCGCAATATTCAGCTGACTAACCAGTCAAGCCCGGTAAAAGAATAATGATAACCCAGCAATAAGTAAAAATAAAACATAAGGTAGAATCAAAAGTACTTTATGAAAATACAAACCGGCAAATCCTAGATCAGGGCTTCTTGATTCTGAAGGAAGTCGAACCAAATTCTCCGAGTAAGAAGATATAACACAAATGTCTGAAGAGAGACAACAAACCTCATCTTTCCCTTGATAATATTTGAACAGTCTCATGCGATTATCATGAAAGACAAGATTCCCTTCCTCAGAAACATTTACCGGCGTGTACCACGGATGCTGGTATTCCCGCCAAACATCTATATTGGATAAACTTATAGAGTAAGTCTTGCTCCATATTTCCTCTTCTACGTCCATGCTCATTATCTCTAGTATCCATTCAGACCCAACTACTTTCGTTGTGGCTATGGCTAAACGTTCCATAAGATTCACTATCTCAGCGTCGTATGGTATCAACGGATCCGGAACTGAGACAACATCATGGAACTCTTCTTTGTGAAGATCAAAGGCTAGTAATTTGTAACTATGAGTCCCATAGTAAAACCAGTAGATCGATCCATTCACATAGGCTGATGTGATTCCCACAAGGTCCAAATAATTAGGTGCATTCACATCTCGGCATGTACTAGTTTCAACATCAAGAACACTACATTGCATCACACGAGCCCGTCGTCCAGTTTTAGGAAAACAAATCGTCACTACTTTATATCTTCCTGTAACTTTGTCTTTACCGAATCCCATTGCCCAATCTGTATAGTATGGATATCCTTCTGTACAGTTTTGATTTTTTGAACTCATTAGTGCAAAAACAAACAAAAGGACAAAAACGTTTCTGTTAGGGTTTTAGTAGATTACCGAAAGAAAATATTCTTTTGTCTCGACGGCGGTTTAAGCCGGAAGGGAATCGTTGGGATTGTCTGGTGGAAGGGTTTACAACGTCGATCCAATCTGGTCCAGGGAAGCAGACTAAACCGTCGCAAGTCATCCATCGTGCGGCGTGGCAGGGCACATTGACGATCTCTTGGTCACCTACGAACTGCGGCTTGGAGAGGAGACTTGGCCACTTGCTGCAAGCGGCCAGGATTTTCCGGTGGTTCTTTTGGAGACTCATACGCTTCTCTAAGAACTCCTTCGATTCCAGAATCGATCTCCATTGTTTTGACACGGTTTTGAATCTGAGGATTGATTTCACGGGCAGTCGAAGGTAAATTTCTTCAAGTAGATCCGGAACTAGGTACATTGAAGAATTAGGGTTTTTATTTTTTTCTTCCCCAAGGAAACCTAAAAACATTCATTCCGTTTTGTGTTTTGACCATATATGTGGGCTTACTAAGAAATGGGCTTTAGTGGGTCTACTAAGAACGTCGTTGTATTGGGTCTTTAACATTCTACAATGTCAATGCATCGTGTTATCAACTTTTAAAAGATTTCTAATCCATCGGATTGAAAGATATAGAAACCGTTGGAGTATTTTAGAATTTCGCTTCGGGTTTTTTCGGGTCCGGGTTGGTTTTCGGGTTATACATGAAACCCAAACAGTTTTTTGGTTTAGCTAAATTCATATTTTTTCTCATTTTTTGGGTTTTGAATATTATTATTTTTAGTTTTAGGTTTAGAGATATATAAACCGAATGAGTATTTTCGAATTTTGGTTCAGGTTTGATTTGAGGTTTTCGGGGTAGGGTTTTGGGTAAAATTCCGAGACCTGGTTCAGGAGTTCTATAAATATTTTGATTGGCAAATTGGGTGAACACGATAGGGTACTCATGTCTCTATTAATATATAGTTTTCACTTTACACACTTTAATTAGAAAATTGTTAAAATTAGGGGATGATTGGTAAGGGCTGTGGTTGCTCTGCACAGCCCTAAATCTCTCTACAGCAATACAAAATTACCAATCACGCTCTCATTCCATCTCTTTCCATTTTTGAAACACAGAGCAATTTTTTTTATTTATGGAAGTTCCGTGGTTTTGGAAATCAATTTTTCTAGAGCACCAAATTAAGTGCTCTTAGAATTTTCTTTTTTCTCTTTCCTTATTAATCTTTCAACATTTATTTTTTAATCTATTATTTCTATATCTTAACTTTTTTGTTTTAATGCTATATTTAATGACACAATCTACAATAAAAAATCTTACAGCACTAAAATCTAGAATCACAGCCAAAATTTCTACAGCATTAATTCTACAGCAAAAAAGTAAAGTTACAGCCACAACCAATCAGGCCCTTAGTGATACTAGGTTAAAGCCCGCGCTACGCGCGGGTAGTATTGTTACTTTTTTCATTTAATTGTTTTTCATTTTTGTAATTCATTTTTGAAAAATATATATGCTAATGTCCTTGACGCAATGTTTTGTTTAGTGTCCATGGCGTCAACCTCTGATTATTTGTAAAATATTATTGTATTTTAGTCCTAAATTATCTTTTATCTACTATACTTTGGTCCAAGTCTTACTGAGACACTTTGTGCCTATTGAAAATATTGTTAAATTAGAGAGAATTTGGACAGTTCGTATAGCACTATAAAACTAATAAATACATGTGGATGAAAAATATAATATATAAGCAAAATAAAAATATTGAGAGGTTACGGTGGTGATAAGATTGACTAATGTTGAGCCTATAGCAAGAGAACACCTTCCCCTTAAATGTGACAAAGTATTATTGCATGAATGGAACACTGGATATCTCCACAATCAATAAGAATCTATATATCCTGGGTTTTGTTTTTTAAATATTTGTTCCTTTGGAAATTAAAACATATAAACATAGCACATGCAGAACGGAAACTAATGTGGAAAGTTTGAGAAGTAATCCTTGAGCAAGATTGAGATCTTGGAACTTCCAATGCGCCTGAAATAAAATCATATTACTACGCCACTCACAAGTCACAACTTAGAAATCTCCACTTTATTTGCCTCACACACACGCAAAAGGGGAAGAGAAGATTCAACTCATCACAACTAACAAATCTTCCACTCTCTTTGCCTTTTAAACAATTTCACTTTAGTTTTTTTTTTTAATTTGTGTGAACGAAAAAAGATTTGGTATATTCTTACTTGTTGTCTCATGTTTCGATGGCAGTTCTGTTTTGGTCTTTCACTTCTTCCTCTTTCCACGTCTTCTTTCGGCTTCATTCTCCGTGACCATAAGGTCCACAACGTGAAACTCTGATCTAAGCATGTCTTGTTAGTCGTTGATATCCTTCGAATTTCTAATGCTAACAGTCTCCATGATCACTTCTAGAGTCATTGTGAAGCCTAGATTAGACAACACACCTATGGCTTTCCCGATTCTGCTTATACATGTCGAGTGTGAGTCTCGAGTGGAGTATGGCTTTGCTTTTTTCCCGTGTTCTTGGTGGACGTCTAACTTCGACGTGTTCCCCAACCCATTTGAAGCCATTTTTAGCCCATAATCAAATCGATCGCAAGACTATTTATGTAACTAAAGTGAAGCTTTTCATTTTACCTGTCCACGACCAACTACACAAACCTCTTGTGTGGTACATATCGAACCAGATCCCATACCAACTCTTAACCCATCAAACCAGCTTGAATCAAATTCTGCGCCTGGTCAATCGTCACAACGTTACCACCAATCACATCCAATTCAGGGTATCAAACACTATAGCATTAACCCAGCGTTAACCAAATGCTCAAGCCTATCCTTGTCTGATTCCCTCGTCCCTATGCCGCGCCAACGATCCACTCACCGTCTGGACCTACAATCCCTGGTCCTGACTTTGGATATCCTTTAACTCTCTCTATATCGTCTTTTGTCACCACGTTCACAGTCTCACCATGTCTTTCAAGAACCACAAAGCCTTTTGCTTATCTTTTAAAAGAGCCTCAATCTTGTCAAGATCAATGTCCCATGGTGCAGAGTAGTCACTGCCGTCGCAGCTCTTCATGTAATCGTATATCTTCATCTCCCTTTACTCGTAATTCATTTTCGTCCACTGAGAATTCGTGACGTAGCCTAACAATTTCGGAGTCGTCATTGTTCCTGATTAAATCAATCAAAAAGTTTAGCCAGAGCTCATGTCAAATCATTGGAACAGTGATAGATTCCTAGAAAGGAATATGATTCGTACATGTTTGGGTGACAAAACGAAGGCATCCAAAGAAGTAATCTCGTACTCCGGGAATTTCACGCCGGCGTCGGAAGCAATCGGATGTCTGAGAGATTTGGCTTGGCGAATTATCGATGACCTGAGCGACGATTCCGATCCCTCTAAGAGAAGCCATTGCGGCAGCCATGTGAGACTCGGAGACAGTGTCCATCGGTGAGGAAACGCAAGGTATCGAGAGAGGCACGCGCCAGCTAAGGGAGATTTGTTCAGGCTGATGCAAAGCTTGCTAGAGAATTCTGAGATTGGAAATGGCCGATTTTTGCGTGGAAGAAGTATGAAACGAAACTGGGTCGGGGAAGAAAATAAATAAACCAAACCGGACCGATTACGTGGCTAAGTAAACCAACGAAAATGCTGACTAAGATTAAATGAAATGTTTCCATTGGCTCTCTGATTTTAAAAAAGTTTAGCTATCAACACCTGGAGAGACACACAGAGATTTTTGCTGTGTTGATTTATAATATATATCCAATTAAGAAATATTTAAAATTAGAAACCGCGTGAAGGATACTAAAATTGTTAACATGATCAAACCGCGACTTAATTAGTGTGTATTTTATTCCCATTGGATAAAGAATAAGGGAGAGTAGCATACGCGCATCTGTATCTTAGTGTCGAGGAAAGTATTAAAACGACTAAGAAGTTTAAAATGATTTAGCTCCGGATTTGAATTTTGATTTTCCGACCTTCACGATACAAGCAAAACTATAGATGACTATAGTCATGCCAATGAAATGGATATTAAAAAATGTGTAGGTTGGCATTGAGGATCATGCCACACACATCTTATCTTATACACAGTCAACATAAAGGACAAAAGAATTGATACGTATGTATACAAACTCACCTTTATAATTTAATGGTAAATAACGATAACTGATAACGATAATTGAAAAGTTTCCCAAATATTTTTGGTTATATATAGTTAGAAGAAAAAAAATGGTATTTTTATGTATGCATGCTTTCTTTTTTGTTAAAGGATGCATGCATGCATGCTTTCTTTTCTCCAATATGTAGATTCATATTTATAAAAAGGGTCTTTTAAGTTTCTCATTATCTTGTATTGTTACGAAATTTATCATTTTAATTTTAAACATGATGGTAGTACACGAAACCAAACTACTAAACTTGTGTTAGATAGATATAAGATATCTATGTCATAACATTTCTAAATTCTAATTAACTATCCTCGTGTTTAAGTTTTAATGTATAATGTCTTAGTATTTAATATTTCTGTGTAAACCATTCTCATGTTTAATTTTTAATATACGTGTGTACTGTGTACAGTAAGTAAAGAAAGAGGACAAAGCATCTAAATAAATCTATAAAACGGAGAAAGCATATAGTTCGTAAAGAATCTCTATCTCTCTTCTTATTATTCTGAGCTCTGTTCTTTTTTTTTTGTCAACCTATTCTGAGCTCTGTTCAAATCTATTATTTGAGTCTTGATTTGAGTTATGAAAATGGAGGGAGAGAATAGTAGTATCGAGAAAGGATTATTATTGGTAAACAGACAAGAAACATCAGCAAATACAACTCCGCTTCTTGTCTTCATCATCACTTTCATCATTGTCTCTGCTTCCTTCAGCTTTGGCGTTGCCGTATGTTCCTACATCATTGTCTCTCTCTCTCCCGTAGAGCATATGAGTAATTCTCTTTTTGTGTTTTTACTGCTATATATAGTGCACTCTTTTTATATATAAATCATATGGATATGTATTTAGATGTTCAGATTGGGGTTTGCTGTTTGCAGATAAAAATTTGATGAATAATATATTTTATTTAGATAGGAAATTCATGAATTTAATTATGTATGTGAGAATCAGTTAGGTTATACTGCCGGTACAATGTCTTCTATTATGGAAGATCTTGATCTCTCTATCGCACAAGTAAGTCTCTGTTATACAAAACATATTTCCGATAATCGTAGTAATGAAATTTTATTAAGTTTAAAATATATATTTCACAGTTTTCGTTATTCGGCTCGCTATTGACGTTTGGAGGAATGATCGGTGCAATATTTAGCGCCACAAGTGCAGATATGTTTGGTCGTAAAATGGTTATATATTCATTATTTATAAATCAACCCCATACTTTCAATATTTATATTGATGGTAACTGTTAACCTCTAAAACCTTTTAATTTTTTTTTTTTATTCTAAATTGTTTTTTAGACTTTGTGGCTAGCCGAGGTATTCTGCATAAGTGGATGGCTTGCAATTGCAGTAGCCGAGGTTTCTTCACAAACTATCTAATATTATTTATTTGTATATTATATTTGTGGAACTCCATACATCAAGTTCTCGGTCGTTTGGTCTTAGAAGAAAAACTTCCCCAGCAAATAATAATTTTGTGATCCTTAGAAAAATAAATGAAATGGCTCAGGAAGGAAACTGAGCTCATTATTTCAACAACTATTATCAACTAGCTGCTACACCAATGACTCTTAGTGACTAATCTTAAAACAGAAAATATATTTGTAGCCTCAACCCAATATCTAATCATGGACTGCCTTAGCCGGTCTTGAAAGTTTATAAGTATTCTCCCTAATCTTGATCAATTTATCTTTCCAAATAGAATATTATTTGGCTGGACTTCGGACGGTTCTTTGTGGGAATTGGAGCTGGTCTCCTTAGCTACGTGGTAAATTATTTTCTTGTTAATTTAATTTTTTGAAAGATTAATAATTACCACAGAAAGTCCCGTTGTAATAGTCCTAGTTTTTGTTTTTGGTAGGTTCCTGTATATATCGCAGAAATAGCACCCAAAGATGTGCGGGGCACTCTTACATTTAGCAACCAGGTAATGTATATAGATATAAGTAGTTTATAGTCAAACTTAAAATTTATAGAGAACATACATAGATGTACGTAACGTTTAGCTAATAACTTTCACCTATTTTACAGCTGTTGCAAAACTGTGGGGTCGCAATCGCATATTACCTTGGAAATTTCATGCCATGGAGAACGATAGCCCTAATCGGTGAGTTTTCGCCAAATACTTTTTGTTTTCTGTCTCAAACTTAATCTCATTTTTCCATATATATTACTTGATAAAGGCTCCATATATTACTTAGTTGATCATTCTGTTTATTTTCTTGTACAAAACAATTTTTATTAATCAGACTTCCACATCTTCAGGCATCATTCCATGCTTCGTGCAGTTCGTTGGGTTGTTTTTCATCCCGGAATCTCCAAGATGGCTGGTTAGTCCTATGAATCATATATGTTGTATGTTTTTGGAATTTGTCTTAACTTCACAAAAAAAAAAAAAAAAATTACATGTAATGAGTTTAGGCAAAAGAAGGCCGCGACGAAGATTGTGAAGTTGTTCTTCAAAAATTAAGAGGAAAAGAAGCTGATGTTATACAGGAAACTCGTGAAATACTGGTATGCATACGTATAAAAATAACTCATTACGAGCATTTGATTTGAACATACATTACGCTTAGTTATATGGTTATATCTTATTACCATTACGTTCAGTGTTCTAATTTATACAAGTAATTATTCTTCTTTTCTTTTTTTTTTCCGAAAAAGGCTATTTGTACAAGTAATAATTTTTCAGAAAACGGGATTTCATTTGGCAAAGATACCGATAATTTATATTTTTCTTCATGGAAAAAATGTTATTTATATTTTTAACAATTTTGCAGATTTCAGTTGAAGCTACAGCGAATATCAGCATGCGAAGTCTTTTCAAAAGGAAATATACTCGTCAACTTACAGTAAGAAAATGGGTGTTTTTTCCATTACCAACAAATATTATAATTATTCAAGTAACTAACGAAATGGTTTTTTTTGGGGTTAATAATACTTAGATCGGCGTAGGTTTGATGCTTCTGCAACAGTTTTGTGGAAGTGCAGGAGTGGCTTATTACGCAGGCAGCATATTTGACCTCGCCGGTACAAATCATTAAACACAAAAAAAATATTTAAATTTTACCACTAAAATCATTTTTAATGGTTTTACAAACGGAACAAGTATTTGCTTATAACTAACACAATTAATTATTTAACTATAAAGGATTCCCGTCTCAGATTGGAATGACGGTGTTGTCTATCGTCGTGGTACGTACATGTCAGTGTATTTTGTTCGTTATTATTTACACTTTGACCACTGGATGCATCAGTGATTCGATTGTGGACCCATCAATGAACATGATAGGTACCAAAAGCAATATTGGGTCTACTAATTGTGGATCGATGGGGAAGACGACCGCTTCTTATGGTTTAAAACATTTTTCTTGACTATCGTATTTTCGTTTGATCTTGAACAAAAAAAAAGTAGTTTAGTTTAGTTTTATATGAACGTATACAATTTTGCAGGCATCGGCACTCGGGATATGTTTAAGTTGTATCTCTCTTGCATTAGCGTTTGGATTTAAAGGTGTCCCTGGGATTGGAAATTTTACTCCCATTATGGCATTTATAGGAGTACTGGTAAGTGATGTCCACTTCGTTTATTTGAATACTTTGAAAAAAAATCTTCTTGGTTATTCTCAAAACTGTGACTATTATTTATAATGCAAACAGGGATTCATTATGATGTTCGCAGCTGGACTAGGAGCGTTACCATGGATTATAATGTCTGAGGTATATGCACATATATTTATTGCTAATTAGGCAAACTTTTTTAGTTTCGTAAGTTATTCAATTTTTTATAAGTATCATATATTATGCACATATATTAGTATCATAATGTTACTTATTTATTTATTTTTCTGATAGATATTTCCGATGGACATGAAAGTAGTAGCTGGGAGTTTAGTAACAATAACGAATTGGTTTTCTGGTTGGATAGTCAGCTACTGTTTCAATTTTATGTTTATTTGGAGCCAAACCGGTACGTCAATACTACTTTCTAACATAATTTAGTTCTTCTTTTTTGCTTTGTATAAAACTTTATTAACCAAATGAGAGATTCGTCACCAAAACCGAATTCTTTAAGATTCAAGGTTCAAACGACATCTAATATCTTAATTTTTTCTTGTAAATTTTAATTGCAGGGACATTTAGTATATTTGCCATGATGAGTGGCTTAACAATTTTATTCGCATGTTGTTTGGTGCCTGAGACTCGAGGATTAACCTTAGAAGAAATTCAACGTCCAAGTGGTAACTCTTTTAGTTGATGATCCCAAGTATCTGATACACAGATAAAGCGATTATTGTCATTTTACCAAGTATCATGGATGCTGATGTAGCGCAAGACACTGTTTCCATTTTAGTTTGGTTCTGTTTCTTATTTTCTTGTTTTTCTTCTTTTGGTCGATAAGGCAAATTGTGCTTCGCTTATCAACTTGGTTTTTCCTTTTCTTTGGATTTTCATGTGTTAACAAACTTTATGGTTTTTCATTACATTTCATTTGATGAATTGATTAATAAACTTTCTCTTAAAGAAAAAACTCTTGCAAAAAACTCTTGATCCTTATTTTCAGGCATTCTCTGAGAATTCAACGGATTTAAGAAAGCTAGGTTAACAGGCATTCTCAGAATTCAATGTTATCCATGCGTTATTGTTACTTCCGTCAGATGCTATCTGTAAATATGTTACCTTGTCGCAATCATCAATTCACGTTTCGGTGGTTGTTCTGTTTGTGGCAAACATCACTCTGGCCTGAATGTGCATAAACATTTCTATTTTAACACCTTTTGAAATTCACTGAAGCATGGGGCAGTTTTATTACAAAAAAAAAAAAAAAAAAAAAAAAAAACACAAAATACTTAAGATCACCTAATCGAAGCAGTTAAAAATAAATTTTCAACCTTAAAAATCTAGTTGCATTTATTTTTTTTGGTAAGGCAACGGGAAATGAAGTTTCCCGCTGAATTTATTAAGACAAAACAAAAAAAAAATACACAAGAACATCTCTAGGATGCGAAATCCCAATCTCATCCTCCCACCGAACATGCTCGGGTGATGGAGGGACAACATCAAACCAATGAAAACCTAAAGGCAGTGAGAAGGCAAGATTCGCTAAACCATCCGCTAATCTATTACCTTCCCGGAACACATGCACGATTCGGACTGTCCAGTCCTTTGATAAGAAGCCATGGCACAGTCGTACCAGGAACGCGAGAGAATGTGAATGACTAATCCCTCTCTGTAGAAAACCAGCCACCATTTCAGAGTCCACTTCCAACTCTAGTTGAGGGATCCTTTTCTCCCAAGCCATAACCAGTCCGTAATACACTCCCCACAACTCCGCTAACGGCGCAGAACACCAACCAATGTTCAAAGCGAACCCACTCACCATCTACCGTCTCCATCTTTGATCACACCACCGGCCGATGCAGCTCCTGGATTCCCGTGTGAAGCACCATCTGTGTTCAGACGTAACCAACCCACAGGCGGACCTTGCCACCCAATCATCCGCTCCACTCTTGGTCTCTTGCCACCTTTCAAACCCAACGCTTCAGTCGCCTTCCACACCTCCGCACCAAGAGCGATGATAAACTGGACTTAGTCCCTGCACTTACGATTCTCACCAAACACATTACCACACCGCCATTTCCATCCCCATCACACCGCCATTACAAAAGTAGTGGACCATGGAACATTCGCCACTATGACATCCGCCTGTAAGTTGTCGTAAAGCCATACCAACAAAGACTGACCAAAGAACGCTTGACGTTTCCGGCCTGGAACAATCTTATTCCAAATACCTGCCATCGCAGGATAATCTCGAAGGATGTGAATGATAGTTTCGAAATCACCTTTACACACTGAGCATACATCTGAATAGCTTATGTGTCTGCGTTTCCTTTCCACATTGGTCATTATCACCTGATGTGACACCAGCCAGATGAAAAGACGAACTCTCTCGGGAGCCACTACGCTCCATATTCGATCGTAAAACAAGCTCATATTCTGCTTCGGATTGCCATCCCTGGTGATCAATTCATAAGCAGATGTCACCGAAAACTCACCATTCGAGCTATCCCTCCAAGCCAAGTGATCCTTCGCTCCCGTAACGTGGTCAAGGACTACAGCCCTCATCTCCAGTTTAGACTGCTCTGGAAGATAAGGATCAACGATAGAAAAATCCCAGCCCTCTCCATCTCGCCACACATCTTTCGTTGACAAAGCTTGAACATTTTCCGGAGGCTCTAACAGGGCAGAGTTCAGAAGTGGCTTACCTGAGAGCCACACATCCTTCCAAAAATTCACCTGACTTCCATCTCCGATGGCCCATCCATGCCCCGGTACTATCACCTCTCTCAAACCCTTCGCTACACCCCTCCAGAGCACCGACCAAGTACCCTTAGGCGTTAACCAACTCCGATCATGTAGATTCCCTACCTTGTATTTCTTACGCACAACTCGAGCCCACAGCGAGGTCTCATCATTTAACAGACGGCATCCCACTTTCGCCACCAACGCAAGATTCATGCTCTTAGAAGAGCGAATTCCAAGCCCTCCGTCTTTCTTAGGGAGACACACTGCTTTCCACGAGAGCAGATGTTGCTTCCGATGCTCCGGGCTACTACCCCACAAGAATGACCGAGATATTCTATCCAAACTCGTGAGAGTTGATTGTGGGAGCATCAGCGAGCTCATTGAGTGGACCGGGATTGACGACAACACTGCTTTAGTAAGGGTCAATCTCTCTGCCATACTGAGAACGCAGCTCTTCCACCCCACCAATCGTGATGAAACTCTTGCTAGAGTTTCCCCAAAAGTGTCCTTATTCATTCGTTTTTGCAACACCGGCATTCCCAGGTACTTCCCCAAATCCCGGGATGATTGAATCCCACTCGCGTCACTTATCTCCTTCTCCAACTCTCGAGACACGTTACTAGAGAAGAAGATTTTCGGTTTTTCGAGACTTACTTTCTGACCTGAAGCTCTGCAGAAGGACTCAAGAACCTTCCTCAACACCCGAACTTGTGCCACTGACACCTCAGCAAATAATATCAAATCATCAGCAAAGCAGATATGCGAAAGCTTCGGACCTCCACGTGAGAGACTAATAGGCTTCCAATCTTTCGAAGCGACGGACCGCTCAATCATGTGGCACAAGCGCTCCATGCACAACACAAAGAGATATGGAGAGATAGGATCACCTTGGCGAAGCCCCCGTGACGGACTAAACCCCTCCGTTTTCTCACCATTCCACAACAGATTCATTACTGGGCCCGAAACACAACTCATGATCCAACGAACCCACTTCTCTGACAAGCCCGCCGCCACCAGAGTATTCTCCAAAAAATCCCAACGAATCCTATCATAGGCTTTCTCTAGGTCTAACTTCAAAAGCATCCACCCTTGTGGACCCTTCTTGCGCCTCATCGAATGGACCGCTTCCTGAACCAACACAATGTTATCCGTACTCAGCCTCCCTGGTATGAAGCTTGCTTGCGCTGGTCCTATCAGTTTAGAGATCACCGCTTTCAAACGCTCCACCATCGTCTTCGTAATAGTCTTAAATAAGACATTACACAAGCTTATGGGACGAAACTGTGTAATTCTTTCCGGTTTGCTCACTTTTGCCAATAAAACAAGCAACACATCATTCGTCTCCGGTGGCATCTCTCATGTGGTAAAGAAATCCAACACAAACCGGGTGACAGACGGGCCCACTGTCTCCCAACCACTTTGATAGAACACCGGCTGGTATCCATCGGGTCCTGGAGCTTTGAATTTTCCTATACCTCGGACTGCCGACTCAATCTCTGAGGACAGAAACTCCTTATCCAAGTGCCGCTTCTCCTCCGGTGTGAGCTTCTCAAAGCCATCCTGAGGTAAAACCTCCATCGCCTCCTCTACATCCTCTAGAGTACAGCCGCTTAAAGTATGCGACAGCGAGTGCCTCCATCTCTGGTCCCTCTGTGATCTATTCTCCCTGCTCATTCCGAATCATCTCAATCCGGTTCCTCCTCCTTCGAATCACCGTCGATGTGTGAAAGAAGCGTGTGTGTTCCGATCCCCCAAAGGAATCCATTTTCACGAGCTTTCTGAAACCAGATCATCTCCTCTTGTTCTAGGACGACGTCTAACTCCTTGGTCAAATCTTCCTCCCGTACCAATAGAGCATCCAATGGCCCCAGTAATAGCTCCTCCTGAACTTCTGCTATAGCTCGCAGCAGCCTCTCCTTCCGTTTCATAACATCGCCAAACACTTCCCTATTCCAGCGAACTAGAGTCCTGCGCAACATAGATAGTGCCTCCATAGTACACAGTTCTCCTTTCCAAGAAGTTTGCAGCAGCTCCTTGAAGCCTGGGTGTTTCAACCAAGCCGCCTCAAACCTAAACGGTCTCCTTTTCGGATCCCTTACTGCCACCGGAGCCAACTGTACATACAGAGGCGCATGATCTGAAGACAAACGGGAGATGTGTTACCCTAGCCTCCTGCCACTTAAGCCTCGTATGAGCGCAACACAAAACCCTGTCAAGGCGCTTTGCCACAAAGTTTCTTTCCTCTCTCCCACGCTTCCATGTGAACTGGTTTCCTCGAAAGCCCATATCAATAAGCGATAAGTCGTTAATCCACTCACCAAATGCTACCGAATCAGGTGACAAACGACCATTCCCTCCTGCCCGCTCGTCCACTCGCAATATCGTATTGAAGTCACCATCCAACAAGAAAGGCCCATCGAGCTGACTCACCACATCATGCAACTGACGTTTGCCCGACCCAGACAATTCCAGGTCCTTTCCCACTGGCCAAAAATCAATCCTCTCGCGGGTGGGCTTATTTTGGGCTTCCAACGCGGCCCACTACGGATCGGGCCCCTCACTGACCCAACTCGCTTGTCTTTCCTTCCTACCCCTAGCCCATTATTCAAATCACCTGAAACCCCGCGTAATCCTTGCTTGATCCGGCATTCTTACCAAAAACCACCAACTCGACTTGAATAGAGTTTTCCTTATCCACCTCCTTTCCACAACCAACTTCCTCTAACTGATTCGGATCCGTATCTTCCCTTAAACGATCAAAAGCTTTCGATAGCGGAATATTCCCAACTCCCTGATTTTGCGGGATTTCCTTTAGTGCACGCCGTTGTGTTTCCACCGCCTTCCCCGCCGCAACATTCTCCGGTCGTCTACGAGCTCCGGTCGATTGTCGTGACCCTCGTACAGCCGTAAAGCCCCCTTCTACATCAGCCTGAACCTGCGCCACGACCAATTCTCTGGGGCCACTGCCGGCACCGGATACGCGCTTGGGCACGAATGCACCAGGTGGCCATAAACATCGCAGCCTGAGCAGATATTCGTCAGCCCTTCATACGTAACGTAGTACCTCTCCCCATTAATCAGCACCGAACCCTTCAAAGGCTGACGCAGATTCACCTCAACACAAACCCTCGCGAAGCCCTTTCCAGGTTTAGCGTTGTTTGATCCACTCGCAACGGTTTCCCTAAACCCTTAGCAATCCCCATCAAGATGGAACGATGGTAAAAGTTCACGGGAAGATTCGTCAACCGGATCCACACCGGTGTCGTCACGATCTCATTCCTCAACGGATCAAATTCGGGAGACCAAGCTTGGACCAACAGGTAACTCCCAAAAGCTTTCCACGGACCCCCCGTTAACGCCGCCATATACTCCTCCTCGACCCCAAACCTCACCATAAAGAAACCACGAGGTAGATCCAGCACTGTCATAGATCCACTCGGCTTCCATAACTCCCGTAGTTTCCTAGAAAGCACTGCAATCGGAACGCTCCTCCCCAAGACCTTTACGATCATGCACTGTTTCCACAGACCATTCATCGCCTCCAATACGTCCTGCCCAATCGTTATTACCGGCTCTCCATCATCACCATCCGGAAACTCTACCCTCAACCGTTCCACTACAAACTCATCCGACACCAAACTCTTCGGAACCAACCGTCCACCAGCACTTGTTCCCATCACCATCGAAGCCCACGTAGTCCCACCGTCCGGCGGCTTCCCTGGTGGCGGCCCCTTCCCCGGGATATCTTCCATAATCCATCATTCGTCTCCAAAACCCTAGCGCCGTCAGAGCTCTCCATTCCCTTCTAAAAAAAAAAAAAAGGTTTTAACTACTTGATGACTGATGTTCAATCTAGTTGCATTTATTAGTAACAAATTTCTTTTCCAACGTACAGTACCTTAAAATACCACTAAAATAAAGCTTTTTCCAAAAATACCACAAGGTTTTGTTTTTTAAATATTACTAAATCGATTGTTTTCAAAAATACATCATTAAAATAATATTCTAGGGGTTTATAATTTAATCATTTGGTTTGGGTTTAGGTTTATTTTGAAGAGTTTAATATTTTGTTTTGAGGATTTAAATTTTGAAAATCAATTATTATGGTATTTTTGAGAGTTTTAGTTTTGGTTTTGTGGTATATTTGGAAAATCAGTTATTATGGTATTTTTGGAAAATAAAATTCCGATGGTAATTTTGGAAAAAAAAAATATCATTCTTCTACTAATAAATCACTCATTTTGTAGATAAAAGGGGATGTATTGAAAAATGGATTTTAAAGATTTTAGGTGTTTTTGAGTGATTTTGTATTTTAGGTGGTTTTAAGAGTTTTTAGAAGATTTTAGGAGATTTTTGTGGGATTTAAGATGATTTCAGAAAATGTCTTGAAATTTTGGGTGATTCTTATGGGATTTTATGGTGAGTTTTGAATGATTTATCATGAAATAAAAAAGCCACAAATTGTAACGAGATCTTCTTCTCAACGAATAAGATCGTAAGATAACACACATAAAACCTGTATTTCCATTCAAAAACCTGCACAACAGAGTTGAGAACAGAGAGAGGATAACACACAGCCACAACAAAGTTGAGAACAGAGAGAGGTAACTGCAGGATCGTTCCTTTCAAAAACCTGTATTTCCATTCTTCTTTGTTCTTCGAAAGTCCTAACTAGTATCATAATACCATGTACTACGATATTGCCATCAGCACCACTTTAATATACTTAACAATGGATATAGCAAAGTCGATAAAGCAACCAAAACTCACACAAAGAAAAATAAAAAAACCTGCAATCGAATTGCATGAGGAAGTTTTTTTAGATCCAATTTTTTCAAATCCAGTTCAGAAACACAATGAGGAAAACGTGCGAGCCTGGTCAGCCTACAGGTGTTGTTCTTTGCGCTGTCTCTACCACTTGGCTTCCCTTTTCTCATCTTCAAGTCTTTAATCTCCTCCACGATCAACTTCATCAGGTAATCACCAAAACCACACTTTTCTTTCTGTTATGAATCTAGTTAGGGCTTAAAGTATTTGAATCAATTTTGATTTTGTTTTCTCTTTGACGTTGGAGGTTATGTTCAATGGAAATTCACCACATGAAGTTGCACACATCGCCATTGGTTCACATCCTGGAAATTGCATCTCTCTTCTTCGAATCAATGTAAATTTCAAAGATTGAAACTGATTTACGATTTCAGAAGAATATTTTTTATAATAAAATTTAAATTTTGGATTTGTGTTTTGTATACTGTAGAGCTGATGCTACAAGAGAGCTGCATCGATAACTCCGGCAGCTTAATTGTGTACTCCTCCGTCGGCGTGGACTCGATCCAGCACGCGACGAATGGAGAAGATCCTTCTACTATTTTGATTTTGCCCCTCGGATTCTCGGTTGTCCCGTGAATGCTCCGGATCGTGTTTCCGTCGATTCACCGCCGACGAATTTGAGGTATTTGATGCGTTGGTGAGGAGAAGCAAATGGTTTCCATCGATCTTCATACTCGTACACAGCAACTCGATGGGAATGAGAGAGATGAAAACAGATGAGTGAGTTTTGGAAACGATGACAGCTTCGTTATGTATTTTGTCCTTTCACTTTTTTTTTATAATAATCTTCTCCAAATCACACCTCAATGGGTGTTATTTTCGTTGGCCATATTTTGTCATAAAAATAGGTGTTAAATCTCCTAAAAATCATATGACAAGTTTTTCTCCAAATAGTTGTTTATTTTGAATAACAGTATATTTGATTTAAGATTCATGACTAATTCAATAACAGGGTTTGGTAAGTGATTTTAAATAATCTTTCTAAAACTCCATATTCAATAACACTGAATTTGAAATGACATTTAAAAATACTTATTTGAATAACAGGGTTTTTTAAAACGACCTCAAAATCACCTAAAATCTTTAAAATCTATTTTCCAATACACCCTCCAAAGCTTCAAAAAGATGAGTCAATGTACTAAATTACTAGTCATTTGAATAAGACCATGGTCAACTAACTTTCATCCTAGGATTAGTGTACATAGGAATAGTTTGCTTCCAATCCAAGTTATCATCCAAGCATAAACAAATCGAAGAAATTAGCAAGTTGGAATCTCTTAGCCGATCTTTAAAGTTTTGTTCTTCCTCACCTCGTTCCTTCTTTTTCACAACCAAGTTATCATCCAAGCATAAACATTTCGTTTCTTGCATATTGCATAACAAATTTTCCTTTAAGTCATCAACTAAATTAACAATCAGCTGGCCCGCTTAATAGGGTTGATAGATTAGATGAAATTAGCAAAAAAAAATTGTTAAAGGAAATTAGCAAGTTGGAATGTTTTAACCAATCTTTCAAGTTTTGTTCTTCCTCGTGATGATAACCTCCTACCTTCTTTTACACTTTTTGTTTCTTGCAAATTGTACAACAGATTTTACTTTAAGTCATCAACTAAACTAACAACTAGGGCGACCCTAATATTTTTGGTTGATAGGCCAAAATTTTCAATTCGGATTGGACTCCTAGTTTGTTTTGTTTATAAAATACTGTTACACAAAAACATTTACTTTTTACTTTTTCATAAAAACTGTTAAATAGTGCCACTTCAACTACATGTTGGGTTTGTTAAGCTTTTGTTGTAAGTTAATACGTAGCACACAGTTTTTACCACTTTGTAATTAGTTATTTCATCATGGGTTAATGTTTTTCAAGTAAAAGAAACGATTACTGCACATGGATGGATATATGACTGAAAGTGATCAGCTATCCACCAGATTCATCATTCTGATTACAAAGCGTGTACGGCTATGTAAAAATGACCTATCGCACATAAGTAATTGTTTGACAACTTTAAATCTTTAATGGTTTAACATTTGCATATATATTTTTTAAATAATTTTTTGCTAAAAGGATAGTACAATTCACACAAACACTATTAGATGTGAATTTGTATTACTAGGATACTACCACCGAACCACACGATATTCATAATCACAAATATCACTAAATCTTTTAATAATTACCTCCGATCACTAGCCAAGTAACCATGACAGTAAATTCAGCCAAGTCTATTTTTGTTCTTCACAGACTCAATAGTAAAGAATATGTTTTGTTGGCATTCTCATAGTTAACCATGTGTCCCACCATTCATAGAATGGATATAAAGACTGAACTGGACCTAAAGTAAAAACAAAAAAATGGCATAAAGCTTAATTATAAATTATATTTAACCGTATAAGTTACTCTCTGCCGTATTTAAATGATTTAATTGTCTTTTCAGCGCACAACCTCCAAAGAAGGGACAACATAAAAACCCAGGAAAAACTGAACGCTGATCTGTTCTTCAGGTTTAAGAGTTTTTAAGAAAAAAGAAAATTAACAGAATTTTGGGTTGGTTAGCTGGTCCCGCGGTTTTCTTTCTTTCTTGGAGTTCACTTGAATCCTTCGATCCAAAAAGCACACAACAATTTGATCTGATCTCTGTCTCTATATAATGAAGAGATTCACCGTTTGCTGCTTCTCAAATCGTATCCACAAGACAAGAAATCGAAATCCAGACAAGGTATTTATATCTTCTCATTTATTAGTAGAGTGAGTTATGACTATTCTTGACTTGTCTCTTCGTATTCATCTGTTCTTGAATTACTCTTGACTAGTCTCTTCGTAATTTTCGCTTCTTAAATTGCCTCTTAGTTTGTCCAAAAAAAAAAAAAAAAAATTGCCTCTTAGTTTTCATTAATTGTTTTGTGTATAAATCACATTCTCTACATTTTATACAAAAAGGTTGGATCTTTGTGTGTTTTCTCCAAATTTTCCGGTGACCCTTTTGCTAATTTGTCTTGCTTTGATTCTGTTCTGTAAGAAACTAAGAGAAAGCATGGAGGTTTCAAGAACCGACAATGAAGAGGTTAGGCTTTTCATGAATACATATTTTTCACAAATTAATTATGCTATTCTTTACAATTTACACAAAAAGGTTGAATCTTTGTGTGTTTTCTTCAAATTCTTCTGTAACCCTTTTGCTTATTTGTCTTGCTTTGATTCTGTTCTGTTAGAAACTAAGAGAAAGCATGGAGATTTCAAGAACCGACAATGAAGAGGTTAGGGTTTTTTTCTCTCTTTATGTTCCATTCTTTGGAGCCAAGTCTTATTCAACTTTATTCACACACTTTCTTCATTTCTAAGCTAAACTTTTTATTTAGTCCTTAATCTGAATCTTTCTCTGCTTAATCATATCTCTACCAGCCGACAAAGCAGAACAACAACAATGTGACATCACCTATCTCTTCTGATCACACAAATGTGATTGTGAATCATGACTTCTCTTCCGGAATGCAATCATGGCACCCAAATTGCTGCAAGGCTTTTGTTGTCACCGCAGATTCTGGCGTCTCTCACAGTGGTTTAAACCCGTCATACGTAGCTGTCACGAACCGGACACAAAATTGGCAAGGCTTGGAGCAAGACATCACAAGCAGAGTGAAACCTTCTTGTCTCTATAAAGTTTCTGCAGTTGTTTCTGTGTCCGGACCTGTTCAAGAATTGGTAGAGGTCAAGGCAACTTTAAGGCTCGAAAACCGAAAATCCTTTACAAAGTATCAGTCCATAGCAAAGTAAGAACTTTTTTACACTTTTAGAATTGTGTAATGTTCACAAAAAAAAACAATCTTTTATGGTTTTGAATCTTGCAGAACTTGTGTCTTCAAGGAGAAATGGGTGAGACTAGAAGGAATGTTTTCGTTACCGATCTTACCAGAGAAAGTTGTTTTCTACTTGGAAGGTCCATCATCAGGGATTGATCTTCTCATACAGTCTGTTACCATCCACTCGCTTCCGCCAGAGAGTGTTACCTCGGTAGATGAAGAAAACATCGTAGTGAATCCAAACTTTGAAGATGGACTAAACAACTGGTCAGGAAGAAGCTGCAAGATTGTGTTGCATGACTCAATGGCTGATGGTAAAATAGTACCGGAATCCGGTAAAGCTTTCGCTTCTGCGACAGAACGGACGCAGAACTGGAACGGTATCCAGCAAGAAATCACCGGGAAAGTTCAGAGAAAACGTGTCTACGAAGCAACCGCTGTTGTTCGTATATATGGAAACAATGTGACAAATGCAACTTTACAAATCACTCTTTGGGTCCAGAATTCAAACCAACGAGATCAATACATTGGCATTACAACGTTAGTTTCTTTTCTCAATATCACACTCTATCAAAATCAAGAATCATTGTTAAAGGCTTCTTGTTCTTTAAAAGTGTGCAGGTAACAGATAAAGAGTGGGTACATGTTAAAGGGAAGTTTCTCCTCAACGGTTCTGCGTCACGGGTCGTCATTTACATCGAAGGACCGCCTCCGGGAACCGACATCCTCCTCAACAGCTTAACCGTTAAACACGCCGAGAAAGTTCCTCCTTCACCACTCCCACCTATTGAGGTTAGTCCAAAATCCAATGCATTTACCTGTAAACTAAAAGTTTCAATCTTTTTTGACTTTTATAAATTCTTGATCTGATTTCTTGTCATTTCTTGAAGAATCCTGCTTTTGGTGTAAACATAATCACAAAAAGTTTCAATCTTTTTGACATTTCTGAAGTCTTAATCTGATTTTCTTGTCATTTCTTGAAATATCCTGCTTTTGGTGTAAACATACACACAAAAAGTTTCAATCTTTATTGACATTTCTAAAGTCTTGATTTGATTTTTCTTGTAGAATCCTGCGTTTGGTGTAAACATACTCACAAACAGTCATTTGAGTGATGGTACGACCAATGGCTGGTTCTCATTAGGGAACTGTACGTTAAGTGTCGCGGAAGGCTCGCCGAGGATACTTCCTCCGATGGCACGGGACTCGCTTGGGCCGCACGAGCCACTAAGTGGACACTATATGCTCGCCACTAACCGTACACAAACATGGATGGGTCCAGCTCAAATGATCACAGACAAACTCAAGCTCTTCTTGACATACCAAATATCAGTTTGGGTCAAAGTTGGTTCTGGCATTAACACTCCGCAAAACGTTAACGTCGCGCTTGGTATCGATAGCCAATGGGTAAACGGAGGACAAGTCGAGATCAACGATGATAAATGGCACGAAGTCGCTGGTTCATTTCGAATTGAGAAGCAGCCTTCAAAGGCGTTGGTTTACGTTCAAGGCCCTTCTCCTGGCGTTGATCTCATGGTCGCTGGCTTGCAGATCTTTCCCGTCGATCGACTCGCCAGAATCAAGCATTTGAGAAGACAATCTGATAAGGTACATACACAAAAGACTCTGCTTTCAGTATTCTGTTATATACACAAATACTCTGTTTTCATTACTGTTTTATATACAAAAACTCCGCTTTGAATACTCTGTTATATACACAAAAGAATCTGCTTTCATTACTCTGTTGTGTACACAAATACTCTGCTTTCAATACTCTGTTATACACACAAAAGACTCTGCTTTCAATACTCTGTTTTATACACAAATACTCTGCTTTCGTTACTCTGTTATGTACACAAATACTCTGCTTTCAAGTTTATTGCTCTGTTTTATGCAAAATTACTCTGTTTTCTTGATTTACAGATCCGTAAAAGCGATGTTATCTTGAAATTCTCCGGTGCTGATTCAAGCATATTGGCCGGAGCAACGGTGAAAGTCCGGCAGATAAAGAACAGCTTCCCTGTGGGGACATGCATCAGCAGATCAAACATAGACAACGAAGATTTCGTCGACTTCTTCCTCAAGAACTTCAACTGGGCGGTGTTCGCGAACGAGCTGAAATGGTACTGGACGGAGCCGGAGAAAGGGAAGCTGAATTACCAAGACGCAGACGACATGCTCGACTTGTGCAGCAGCAACAACATTCAAACCAGAGGACACTGCATCTTCTGGGAAGTCCAAGCAACTGTTCAGCAATGGCTCCAAAACATGAGCCAAACCGAGTTAACCGCCGCGGTTCAAAACCGGTTAACCGATCTTTTAACCCGGTACAAGGGGAGATTCAAGCATTACGACGTGAACAACGAGATGTTGCATGGATCTTTCTACCGAGACAAGCTAGGCAAGGACATACGAGTCAACATGTTCCACACCGCGCACGAACTAGACCCGTCCGCGACGTTGTTCGTGAACGATTACCACATCGAAGACGGTTGCGACCCGAGATCTTGCCCGGAGAAGTACATTGAGCAGATTCTTGACTTGCAAGAAAAGGGTGCACCGGTTGGAGGAATTGGGATTCAAGGACATATCGATAGTCCGGTTGGTCCAATCGTATGTTCAGCTCTAGACCGGCTCGGAATCCTCGGTTTACCGATATGGTTTACCGAATTAGATGTTTCGTCGGTTAACGAGCATGTAAGGGGAGATGATTTGGAAGTGATGATGTGGGAAGCGTTTGGACATGCTGCGGTTGAAGGTATTATGTTGTGGGGATTTTGGGAGCTGTTTATGAGCAGAGAGAATTCTCATTTGGTTAATGCGGAAGGAGATGTGAATGAAGCTGGGAAGAGGTTCTTGGCTGTGAAGAAAGCTTGGCTCTCTCATGCAAATGGACATGTTGATCAAAACGGTGCGTTTGCGTTTAGAGGGTACCATGGAAACTATGCTGTTGAAGTGATTACTAGTTCGTCTCAGAAAGTTCTTAAAACGTTCGTTGTTGAAAAGGGAGATTCTCCTCAGGTTGTTGCTGTGGATCTTCAAGGTTTGTGATGTGTGTTCTATCATGTATGTTAAAATTTCAAAATGTGTGGTAAATTTGGTGTTTCTTTATCGTCAATAAAATGTTGCTTTAGCACAATAAGACATTGACAAATCGTTATTTCATATTTTTTAATCTAAATACTTCTTTCTACAGTTTTGATTTAACAATCTTTTAACATACGTTTTTATATTATTGTTCTAAAAGAAATGAAATTATTGTAAATTTCTAGTTTATTTCCTTGATATTTAAAAATAGAAAATTGATCAAAATGGACCAAAATGGCATTATAAAATTTTTAAGACCAAAATGTAATAAAACTCAACATTAAAAAATCAATGTCTATACATTTTTTTATAATAGTTGTTGTTGATAAATCGTTATTTTATATTTTTTAAAATATAAATACTTCTCTCTACAGTAGTAGGATTTAAAATTTTGATATTATTATTTTAAAATAAATGAAATTATTTTAATATTTCTAATTTATTTCCTTGGTAAAGAAATTATTGATATTATTGTAAATGATAAAAACAAAATAACAAAAACAAAAATTTAGTAAACCGGGAAAGATCAACAAAGAAAGGCCCATATTTAGCTGACAGAAGTTCTAAAGAACCCTAAAAGCCCAACAATACTTTCATTTCTCCTCTCGAGGAACCCTAAATAACCGTATCTTCCTCAAGCGCCGCTTCCAGTCATCTCTCTTGAGGCAAAAACCATCGGAGAAGAAGCTTCTCAGCTCTCTGCATTTTCACTCTAAACTAACTTTACATCGACAATGGCGGAAAGAGGTGGAGAGCGCGGCGCAGAGCGTGGCGGTGACCGTGGAGGTTTCGGGCGTGGATTCGGCGGTCGTGGAGGAGGACGAGGCGGTCCCAGAGGCCGTGGTGGTCGTCGTGGAGGCCGTGCCACCGAAGAAGAGAAATGGACTCCGGTGACCAAGCTCGGCCGTCTCGTGAGAGAAAATAAAATCACGAAGCTGGAGCAGATCTATCTCCATTCTCTCCCCGTGAAGGAGTACCAAATCATAGATCTCCTCGTCGGACCGACCTTGAAAGACGAGGTGATGAAGATCATGCCGGTTCAGAAGCAAACCAGAGCCGGTCAGAGGACGAGGTTCAAGGCCTTCGTCGTCGTCGGAGATGGTAACGGACATGTTGGATTGGGAGTGAAATGCTCAAGGAGGTTGCGACTGCGATTAGAGGCGGAATCATTCTCGCGAAGCTCTCTGTGATTCCGGTGAGGAGAGGTTACTGGGGAAACAAGATCGGGAAGCCGCATACGGTTCCTTGTAAGGTGACCGGAAAGTGTGGATCCGTGACGGTGAGGATGGTTCCGGCTCCGAGAGGTGCTGGGATTGTGGCGGCTAGGGTTCCGAAGAAGGTTCTTCAGTTTGCTGGGATTGATGATGTCTTCACTTCCTCCAGAGGATCCACCAAAACCCTCGGAAACTTTGTCAAGGTCTCTTTCTCTTCTTCTTCTTCCTTTTAGCTGAGATTTGAATTTTGTGAATTTGAATATGCAAATGTGAATTTAGCTGGAAATAGGATTGTTAGTGTCCACATTTGCTTGCTTGTTTTCTGTGATAATGATGTGATAAAGACTTGAAATTTGCATTTTGTATGATTCGTAATTAACATTACATTATGTAGTTGTAAATGTCAATTGGAATTTGTACATTATTTTAGAAAAGATGTTCTTGATTATGTGCAACACTATTGCTTAATGATTTTGTTATTAATTGCTTAATGGTTGTGTTGGTGATACTTCGTTGCAGGCTACATTTGATTGCCTACAGAAGACGTATGGGTTCTTGACACCAGAGTTTTGGAAAGAGACGAGATTCTCCAAATCGCCATACCAAGAGTACACTGATCTCTTGGCTAGTAAGCAAGTCGCTGCACCCAAGGCTATCGCCGACGCTGAAGAGAATGCTGCTTAAGATTACACAAAATCTTCATGGGATAAGTTTTGTTGTTAGAAATGCTTTTATTCAGTTGTCTGTCAGATTTTGATATTGGAGGTTTTTGAGTTATGTTTTGGATTGTTTTGGTTAGGTTGTTTTTTTATGCAAGATTCAATGAAATGGGCAGTTTTCAATAGTTCATTACTGGCGTACAATTTAATCAAGGGACCTAATTTAGCATAATATGACTTGTATCACTTCGAAACTGTTAAATCTTAAATAAGCTTTAATCTTGTTTTTGAAATCCAAATTTGACCTTACAGAAATGAATTCCAAATATATATAATCTTTAGCCAATATTACAGTAATTGACTGTTTTGTTTTTCAACTTAGTTTACATAAGAAGCAAGGAAGATAAATAAAGAGAGTCTTCCCCTTTTGTTCCCTGTATATATACAAAAACATTCACAACCGCTCTCTATGGCTCTGCTCTGATGTAATGATGAAAATGTACAAAAACAAAATCAGGTCTTGAGGACCATTGCCTCCATTTTTCTCTTCCTCGCAGCATGTTTTAGTTTCTCCAGCGCCACAAGCCCAACCTGCCTCACTCTCTCTCTTGATAATCCTATCCTGAAAACATGTCAAGAAGAAGACAGTTTAAAGATGTTGTTGTCTTGTTGATACAACAATGGCTTAAGATTGTATACATACCGTTTGCTAATGTCTTCCCATGTGAGACATTCTCTGTCTAGACCATAGTATAACCGAATGATCTCCTTTTCCCTTTCTCCAAGTGTTGCACTTATAAGCTTGCTTACTTCCTCCTGCATATATATCATCAACATCCTCAAACTTAGAGACAACAAGCTTCATAAAAAAGTGGCTTCACTTATGACTTTTTCTTTGGTTTTTATACCTTGAGTGCCCACTCATCATACTCGTGCCACGGATTGTTCTCCAAACGATTATCAGCTATGTACTGGAAATATTGAAAACATAACAGCCAAATGTTATATGAAACTCAGAAGAGACTGTCGTTTTGTTGTAAAACTGAAAGAAGAGACTCACACTGTGATGAGTTTCTCCAGGGAGACCGTTCAAGGAAGGAAATGCATCTCTGTCTAAGGAAAATATTTTGCTCACAGCCTGCATTTGTACACACATAAGCATTGGTTCCATGAAAACGAAAAGGGACATGAATTTACAATTAGTTTTCTTTACCTCTGTTGCATTTCTAACTTTCTTCTGTGACATGTTTAGAGACTCTGCGATCCTCTGAAAAGAAACAATCATTATAAGCATACAAAAGGGGAAACCAAAACAGAACCGTTCCAAATGTTACAATATATGCTTACGTCAATGGAAGGTGTGATTCCTTTCTCTTGAAGTCTAAGCTTTGCGTTTCGTATTAAACCTAACCGCTCATGCAAGTGTGTAGGCAGCCTCAATGTTCTTGAATTGTCCACTAATGCTCTTGACACACCCTTTTTAGAAAAATTTGAAACATATTAGCAAACACAATATACATCAAACATCTGAGGTTTAAGCAACATCCTCACCTGTCGAATCCACCAATATACATAAGTTGAAATTCTGAAACCCTTGGAAGAATCAAATTTCTCTATTCCTCGCAAAAGTCCGATAAGGCCACCCTAGAAAACAAAAGTCTTTCTTACATAAACGTCTTTGAAAAGAAGGCTATAACAAAAAAGAGTGAACAAGATTTGGAAAATCACCTGAACAAGATCAGACATTTCTGCACCCATATTATCATAACGCTGAGCAATGGACATAACCAAACGCACATTGCTCATAGCTAACTTCTCTCTCGCCAAATGACATTCCATTAACCATGCCTGCAGCTCGGCCCGAGATATCTTCAAGGATATTGCAAGCTCTTCATCAGATGGCTCACATCCTAATCTATCCTTCAATCTACAAATAATAATTTTAGTCTTAACATTATTAATATTCTCCTCACCATTTTCTAATGTGTAATATGTAATAGGCCTGGGACTTTTAACCGAAACCAAAACCGACCCGAAAAATCTGAATTGAACCCGAATCGATTTTTTTTTTTTTTTTGACATCTCAAATCCAAAACCGAAAAAACCCGGAAAAACCCAAAAATATCAAAACCGGAAATTAAAAAAACCCGAACGATTTCTATATCTCTAAACCCAATACTCCGACCCAAACCCGAACCGAAACAGAAGTACTGGCCTCATATGTAATATTTTACCTTGACTTATGCTCATCAAGACGAAGGCCGGATTTGATTTTCTTGGACAGACGCACAACTTCAGCGATGAAAGCTTCCATTGTTTCTCTAACATAGACTTCTGTAGCAGTAACAGTGCCTCAACAGAATTATCATCAACATAGCTGTCCTCCTCTTCCACAGGTAACCATGGCTGCTGCACAGAGGAAGTAACAACATCCACACTCTGTTTTAAAGCCTTGGCAGATTGTGTTTTACGAGTCGATGAAGGTAAGCTGGGACATGATGATGATGATGATGTCTTTTTCGCAGTTATTCCACTTCTTGTTGAAGCAATATAGTGTTGTGATGAACAATGATCATTTACAGATAGGAACTTCTCTGTGACATCTGAGTAGTAAAATGATGAACTCAACAGTCTTTTCCCTGCGTTAAGTCCTATTACAGCTGCTGTAGCCATTTGATAGTAACACTCCTTTAGCTCAATTCATCAACCAAGAAAACACACTCTTTTGCTCTTCAAGATTCTGCCAACAAAAACAACCCTTGAGATATCATAACAGACACAATTTAATAACAAAATCAACATTAAAATCTCATAACAAAGTATATTCCACAATTTCAGGAGATTGCTTCAGCCTTCAGGATAACCAAATTATACTAACCCATTCAAACCCAATTCGAAAAGTCACATTTTTTTTTCTGGGGAAATCCACAATCAAGAAGATGAACAAGAATAATTGAAAATTCAATCAAGAGAGTGTTTTCAAAACTTTGCATTGACAGGTAAGATGCCAAAGATACAGAATTGGGTGTGAGTAATTGGAGCAAATCCTATACTCGATGAGAACAAGAATCAAAGGCTCAATGCAGAAGAGAAGAAGAAGAAGAAGAAGAGAAGCAGCTGTCGAAAGAAACAAAAAACAGAGATAGAGAAAAAGAAAAACAGAGAGATATTGTTTTACGAATGACTAACCTTTTGATGGCGCCAAGGAACTCTCCTGTGGAAGAGAGATGGTTTGATTAACAATGCCGAATCCTCGTGAGGAAGAACGGCCTTTAGTTTCTGAGATGGAAATTCTTATCTTTGTTTAGATTTCATGCAACTTGTGATTGTCTTATTGGCTTATTGTACATACTTTTCATCCACACAACTCCAATAAGTGGACCTTATATTTTTACCATTTAACATAAGAGAGATGGTTTGATTAACAATGCCGAATCCTCGTGAGGAAGAACGGCCTTTAGTTTCTGAGATGGAAATTCTTATCTTTGTTTAGATTTCATGCAACTTGTGATTGTCTTATTGGCTTATTGTACATACTTTTCATCCACACAACTCCAATAAGTGGACCTTATATTTTTACCATTTAACATAATTTTTTTTCTATTTTTAAAAAATATTAAAAAATAACATAAAATATTTTTTCATGCTAGCAAGTCTTCTGATTCGCTTCTTGATGCCATTTGTTTTTCCAAGTTTTCCCCTTTGAAAAGATATGTTTAAATTAGCCCTGGCCCTGGGCATAATCACCGAACCTGAAATATCCGATCCGAACCGAACCGAAATATCCGAACCGAACAGAACCGAAAAATTTAAAATACCCGATTGGGTCTAAATTTTTAAAACCAAAATACCCGATACCCGAAATACCCGACCCGAACCAAACCGATACCCGAAGTAGACCCGAAGTAACCCAAATTTTTGAAATATTTATATTTATAATACATATTTTATTCATTTTTATACATTGTAAAACTCTGATTTTCGGATAATATAATTATTTTCGGGTATTTTTGCAAGTTTTGGATAGTTTCGGATAGGTTTGGTTATTAAATAACCGATCAAAATTGCACCCAAAAAAGTTCGGGTAAACTTCGGTTCTTTTGTTTAAGAACCGATATACCCGAACCCGAACCGAACTGAAAATTGAAAAATACCCAATTAAGTCTAAATTTTTAAAACCGAAATACCCGATACCTAAAATACCCAACCCAAACCGAACCGAATACCCAAACGCCAAGGGCTAGTTTAAATTATAACTTATGCGTCATAAACAATGTTTTCCTTGATAACTTCAAAACAATATCTCACCATTTTTAAAAAGAGACAAACAAATTGAGTTTACTTTGTAGTTTAGTTACTTGACAATCAACTCCATTCATATTATTTCAATTATTCCAAATTTTGCAAAACCTCGTAGGGGTTAGACAAATTCAGAAAAAATTGATACGCTTTGAGGTTTATATAAGTTATTGGATAAAATGTACTTAAAGTAAAAACAAATTGATTTAGTCTCAGTAAAATAAAATTTTCACTACATGATACATTTAACCAAACTTAAAAATGTAAATTATTCATACAAATAAAATTAGGTTTTTTTTTTTGTCAAAAGGATCTTCATACAAATAGAAATTTAAGTTAGAAATGTACAACTAAATATTAACACATATAATAAGAAATGTCATAAAAATATAGTTGAACATAACTTTCAATTTTATATTATTCGGTTTCATATTTTTATTTGGTTTAGCCTTATATACTGTGTTTTTTTTTTTGCCTTTCTTGGTTCATATTCTTCTATTTCTTATATGATTAATTATTTCTATCGAAAATGCAATGTTTATATAACGCCCCCACTGCCCCTCCCGGTAAGGCCCATCTCGGCCCGTGGGCCTCACCCCTGTCCGACGGTCGGTCCGTTATTTTTTAAAGGCTCTACTGACTTGTTTACTATCCCTGCAATCAACATCCGACATTTCCTCGTGTTTTGGCCTCACTCACACGGTTTCAGAACTCATTTCCTGGAAGGTCACCTATCCTTCCACTACTCCACCCCAACCACGCTTAACTCTGGAGTTACTTATGGACCTCTGACCGAAAAGGTAAGTGCACTTTGTTGACATAGGTAGCCAAATCAATTCTCTTAAACCTCTCCACAAACCGGGATGTTACAATCTCGTTGTGCTTCCCAAAGCTCTCCTCACATTCCGACGACCAAACAAAAGGAACATCCTTCCCGGTCAACTTCGTCATAGGCTGCGCCATACTCGCAAACCCCTAGATGAACCTCTTGTAGTAGCGTGTTAAAAACCAAGAAAACTCCTGATCTGTGTAGCACTACTCGGTCTAGGCCAATCTCTGATAGCCTCAATCTTCGCCGGAGGTGCAGAAACAATGTGACCCAAAAATCCATCTGCCTCTACCATGCGCTTGCTCAACTTAGCGTATAAGTTCTGCTCCCAAAACGTTTCCAACACCAATCTCAAGTGAGTCTTATGCTCCTCAGGACTCCTCGAATACACCAGAATGTCATCGATGAAGATGATAACAAGCACGTTCCAATACTCCCTGAACACGTCGTTCATCAACCTCATAAAATCTGTCGGCGCGTTAGTCAAACAAAAATGCATAACCACAAACTCAAGATGCCCATAACGCGTCCTGAAAGCAGTCTTCCTGACATCTGCCTCATCTATCGGGATCTGATGATACCCGATGCCAAGTCAATCTTGGAGAACCAAGTAGGCACCCCTCAACTGATCAACAACTCATCAATCCTCGGGAGAGGGTACCTGTTCTTCACAGTGACTCGGTTAAGCCTCTGTAATCGATACAAACTGAAACTCCATCCTTCTTCTTCACAAACAACAGGTGCTCCCCACAGTGAAACACTCGGTCGAATAAAACCCTTTGACAAAAGGTCCTCTATCTGCTTTTTCAGCTCTGCCAACTCAGCTGGCGCCATTCTGTAAGGCGTCTTCGATATCGGTGCTGTCCCCGGCTCTAACTCAATCGTGAAAACGATCGGACCGAGATGGTGGTAATCCCTTCAGCGACCGAAACACATCCTGAAACTACTGAACAACCCGGATATCACTAATGGCAACCTCGCCTAATGACTCCGACATAGAAATCATCACCAGATACGCCTCACAACCCCGCTTTATCATCTGCTCAGCCTAAATAGCAGATATCACAATACTCCCAGAAGTCGGTCTCACTCCCTGAAACACCAACCTCCCTACATCTCGCTGAAACACCACTCTGTCTCTGTAGCAATCCAGATGAACTCTGTAATACGCCAACCAGTCCATCCCCAAAATAACATCATACAGCTCCACCGGACTGATAACCAAATCTGCTGGCATCGACTGCCCGCAATCTGAATATCAACTCCTCTAGCACGGCCCAAAGTATCCAAGAATCCACCTCCAGCCACCTTGATCATACTCGAACGCTTACCAGTGCTGTTTGGGATGCCAGTGCGCTCAGCCCTCTTCGGAGTAATGAAGCAATTCGATGCTCCAGAGTCAAACAACAAGTGGGACTCAAAACTGCTCACTAACAAGGTCTCTACACAATTTCATGAGTTGAGAACCTCCATAACTATCATAGATAAAAATTAACATCAAACGGCAACAACGGCAATTCTACACTAAGAATTTACTAAATCTGAGTCCAAAGATTTACCTGTGATTTACCCGGACTGACTAGTCTGGCCCATCTCCGCTGAAGCGTACACCCACGGGGCCGGTTTGATCTGACCCACTGGCTGAACCGCTGCAATCTGAGCCACTGGTGTCGCTCCTAACGGCTGAATCGACGCGACCGCCATGCTCCGTAACTTGGGACACATCGGCCTGATATGTCCCGACTCTCTGCAGTTAAAGCACACTCTCGGCTTTCGCGCTACATCCCTCTTGGGACAACTTGAAACAAGGTGCTCCGTGCTCCCACAACCATAACATGCACCACGAGGAATCTGACTACCTCCAGAAGACTCCTCCCATCTCCTCTTCTGGTATTGCGCAGGCTTGCCACCTCTGCCATAACCATAACCAGAACCGGAACCACCTTTGCGCTGCTTACTCCGAGGTTGGATAGCAGGAGCAACGGCAGCTGAAGCGACAGCTAAACCAACCTGCTCGCGCTGATCCTCCTCAATCAAAGACGCGAACTCTACTAAGTCTGCCCTTGTAACATACCTACCACCTCTACATTGCGTCATAATACTCAACCGAAGTCCCTGAAGGAACATCTGCAAAAACGCATGCTCATCCTCCATGCCTTGGCCAATGTGCACCACTAGCCTGCTAAACTCTGCGTCGTACTTGCGCACATAACGCTCACCCTATATGCAGACGGTCTCGCGCCTCCTGAGAAAAGTACTTGGCATTGAACTCCTCAAGGAATTCGCCCCAAGTCCACACTGCCCTCCGTCCCTCAATGGCTCGCCACCACAAATGAGCATCACCACTCAGATAGTGGACTACCAACTCGACCTGGTACTCCAATGGACATCTGATAGACCGGAAGTTCTGCTCCAGTCTTAAACGCCACTCGTCTGCCTTCTCTAGCTCAGCTCTGCCCTCAACGAACGGCGTAGCTATCCTCTGCATGTGCCCCATCATCTCTAGATAAGGCGGAAGACCCACAACCGCAGCCCTCTGCTGCGCCTCTGCCACTGGAGGTACTCCCAGAGCCCCATGTGGAACCGCTGGCGAAAAACGTGCCAACATTTGTGTCAGTAACCCCACATATAGGTCATCACGACCCTGAGCAGGAGCAGCACCCAGCGGAAGTCTTTAAAAAATTAACGAAACAGTACTCAGCGGAAGTCTTGAATTAGATCAAATAAACAAACAACTCAATCCAACGATGAATCATGATATAAATTAGCAACCTAAACATCAGATTCTATCAACTTAAACAATTAAAACAATAAGTTCTATCATCCCCTTCTTCGGCCTTAATTCCGCGATCACATATGTCTTTTACTTGCATCACAATATGAAAGAGATATGTAAATAATATCATAAATACTTAGTGAGACGATCATCCCACAGTTACGCAAGACACTAGACAAGCAAGCAACCGACAAACAGCAAACAAAGGAACAGCAGCAACAAAATTAACTGGTGTTGTCTTACGTTTCTTTCCCTCCAAACACAATGAATGGTAGCTTGGAAAGCATACCTAGTGAGGAAGAACGTTGTACGTGGAAGGTGGTTTCCGGAGAGAGTTGAGGCGAGAGCATCTGGTTCATAGATTCATAAGTATTACGAGTGAAGAAGTAGACATTTTCATTCTTCTGCTGGACTCTGACATGGAGAAAGAAAATATCTGCCATGTTCCAGGTTTCATAGATTGATTCATCAAGAATCCAAGTTACAATAGAGTGGTCTTATATGATTAAAATGAAGGAAGAAAAGACGGGAATGTTATCGAAATGTTTTGAATGCTGCAGAACTGGATATGACGTGAGACATTGATTGGCTTTGACGGCATCCGAACTGGATATTTCGGTTTGCTATATCCAAATCTTAAGACCTGAAGGTGAATTGCAGACCTTGGAGGCTGAGAATTCAACAATAGGAGATTAACTTCCTTCCTTCAAATCGATTCATTGGTTTTCACCTTTTTTGGCCATTGATAATCTATACTATATAAAAGTTGAGGCTATAAGCCTCTGAGAGCGTCCACATAGGATTTAAAGACGATCTCATTGGTCCACGTAAGCATCTTAAAGATTAAGAAAGTTTCCAAATTTTAAAAGACCAATAGTATAATTCCACATCACCATATAAAATAAGGTAATTTCTTTTTTCTTTTTCAAGAAAGTTTCCTAATTCAAAAATAATATAGACTTTTTGTATTAAAGAGTTTATAAAATAAAATATATATTTTTAATACCAAGCAAAAAGAAACTAACTTAACATGTTTAATTTTTTATTAACTATAATATATATAACAACAATCAAAATATAACAAGATTGGAATTAAAAACATCACAAATAAAATCCAAAGATTAAACAAAATTCTTTGATTTTTGTTAAAAATTGACGTTGATTTAATAAATAAATTTGAAAGATTTATATAAAAACATTTGGAGAACTACAAAATTAGTTATGAAGAATTATATAGATCATGAGTTAGTTTTTTTAATCACAAAAACGAAAGTTACACCATAATAAGGAGAATTGTTCATAGCGAACTTAACAAATTTTGTAAGTGGATCACCTTACATAGTCTAAAAATAAAATAAAAGAAGATAAAAAATGTCTCATGTCATGTAGAAAGACATTTTAGCTCATATGTAGTTTTTTTAGATGATGAGAGAGATCAACTTTGAGAGTGTCATTATTACATTAATGGAAGTAAAACATGCATCTAGCCCACTAGATAACACTTTGTTCATCGCAAAAGTTTCAACAATAATGGCCAAAGAAGTAAACATTATACTTGCATTGCTTTGGAGAAGAGTAGATTTGATCATTCAGTTCATACCATATGTTTATGAGAAAACATTTCAAGTTGCATGATCAAAACAAAAGTTTTGTTCGAGAGATAATGCCGACCAAATGGACAGGGAAAGGAGAATCTGACTTATTTATAGGCATCATTCACAGTGTTAACGAGGATTTCATCTTAATGTAAATCACAATTCTTTTTCAAATAAGAAGAGATTACATGCCTTTTACATATGTCAATAAATTTAAGAGTAGATGTCAATAAACCTATTGATACAGAGTAATCATCTTTGTTGCACATTGAAGGGGTTTCAAAGAGGGATGTTCGCTTGCCAAAATTTTGTTGAGGAAAGGGTTAACTCCTAGACGTACTTGGACTGTAAAAATGAAGATATGGAGACTGTTTGTTTGCTGGCACATCGTCTTCAAAAAGTGTTCGCAACAATTCTATAAGAGACCAAAGCTTGATCCACCGGCAAAACCTTTGCCATCGATTCCATTTTTTTGTGATATACAAACTTGGCGAAATAATGCGAGGATTAGAAACGGACAATCTTTGTAAGTGATATAAGGTGAGGTAATGACCAATTTTTCAATTAAAGAAATTCTCACTGGATTATGCACTTTTTTTTAACAAATATGTAACTAAAAATATTTTGAACAAGAATATGTTCTCAAAACATCAACCAAATATTTCTAAATAAGTCTAAGATGTAATGAAAATAGAAAAATAACGCATAGAAAAAACGTAGTAAATTCATTTACAGAAAATATTAACATTAAATAAATAATTATTTAAGGTTTCTCAAGGCTATAAGAAAATAACATAAATTATTTATGTTTTATTTATTAACATTGAATCAAAGTTTATAAACTAAAACATGTGTTAAGTTAAAATTATTGATAAATTAAACAAAAGAGCATTTGAAGTTTTAATACATATAAAAGTTCATTTTAATAATTTAAAATAATAAATATGTTAAATACAACTATTTACTGATATCTTAACATTCATACAAAAAAAAACGCTTTCACGATATTTAATTTTAAAGATTTCTCTATACAAATTTAAAGAAAATATTTGCTAATATTTAATTTAAATATTTCTATATACAAACTTAAAGAAAATGTTTTCTTTTTATAATAAAATTGACACTGTTAAAACAGCTCACAACTTATTCCGCAAGAAATAATCATCAAAGAAATTAAAGAACAAGAAGAAAGACGAACATATAGGAGAAGTATAGTAAGAGAATGAAACCGAAAAATGATTTTTTTCGGATGATCATTACGGAGAACTATCATGATCATTTTTCACCTTTAGGAGAAGTACGTAAGAGGATGAAACCGAAAAACAGGGAAGATGGAGATACTAAAGTAGGAAGAAAAAAAGAAAGCCAAAGAAGAACATCGATGAAGACAGAAAAACCGAATAAAAAACAATGAAGATGAAACTGAAAAAGAAAAAAAAAATCAAATAAGAATGAAAGAGAAGAAACCAGACAAGAAAGAAAATAGGATGCAATACGAGTGGAGAAGAAAAATAGCAAAGTAGAAGACAAGTAGATCAGTGAATATGAAGAATAAATCGAATAAGAATGACGCAAAGAAAAAGAAGACACCGACTAAAAAAAAAAAAAAGAAAAGAACTTCAAGCATAAAGAAATCAAATAAGAAAAAAAAAAAAAAATATATTAAAGAAGAAAGCAAGACGGATGAATAAATTGAATTTCAAGAATGTGTATTTTTTGCTTTTCTTCAAATGAAGTTCTATTTAAAGTATATTCGAGATCTATCACCGAATTTAGTAATTTCAAATAAATAAAGATGATTATTTTATAAAAAGTGATGCTACTAGGGTATCAAAAGATCTATACTAAAAACATTTAAAAATAAATTATGAAACAAATTGAAGTTGATGTGGTCTAAAAGATAATTTATTTTTTGTCATAAACAATACAAATTAATTGAATAGGTTATTCTCAAACAAAGTTAAAGGCTGTTATAATCTACAATATTAAAATTTTATTGGTTAGTAAAAACAAGACAAACTACAAATTTGTTGTTCACAACTTTCTAATTCAGTTCATTAAAAAATAATGTTTGTTTAGGCCGATCATGTTGTCATATTGTTGAAAGATCAAAGTTTATGATATGTTCTTATGCCAAATTTTGTGAAGCAATGGACAAAACATATAAAAATATTTATGAAAATGTATGTCGAGTCATGTCTAATGAAGACATCTAAGATTTATACATCCAATTTTATGATGAGTTTTGTCAAACGACGATATCTAGGATTCTAATCATAAAACAAAACTGATTATGGATTTTTGTACGAAAGTTTAACACAAGATAACAATATATTAAGGTTTTAAATCAGTATGTTGTGTTAAAGATATCCGCTTGCCCCAAAATGACCCGGCCAAATAGGGAAATCCCAATTCATTAGGCCCATTTTCAAAATTCGAATTGAAATATACTAATTTTTATGCAGGTAGTTGACAATTATGAAAGTAACTATCAAATTATTTTTTAAAGATTTCAGAGGTTCCTACAAATCTCCATAGAATATTACAGAAATCAACAAAGATTCTTTACTGAAATTAAGTAAATTAGTATTTTAGTGAGGTAAAATTATTGGAAAGTTGCTAAAATGATCTATGAATTGAACTCAAAATCAAATGTAACCCACATTTATCCCTTTCAATTGCTTTATTATTATTATTCTTAAAAATATCTATAATCTTATAAAAGAATAAAAGGAGGAGAAAATAATCAATTCTTTTTAAGTACATTAAAAAAAATGCACAAGATTTGATAATTTTAAAGTTATTAGTTGATTAAATAAAATTATTAACCGAACCCGCGCGTGCGCGGGTTAAAAACCTAGTATGAAAAGATTGATGAGTAGTTAGTAGAATTTCTAGAAGCAGACCAGATGATGAGATCGAGCTAAAGCAGAAGTAAATTCGAAATATCGTACTGAATCAACTCTGGAATCAATGGAACAAGTTGAAATGAAGCTGAACCGATAAACCAAAGGGAAAACAGAGAAGCTCAAATAGCAAGAAAACGAAACAAACCAATGATCGAATGATCGAATAAGATGTGTTTCATCACACAAACAAGCACACATATATATAAAACATATATACACACAGTATGTTTTGTTCATGTCATGATGATACTCGAACAGAATCCTTGTGTCTGATTTGATTATCAAAAAAGGAAGTGCATAGAGTTTATTTATTATCAAATATTATTGTTATATTGGCATATTGCAATGCTGACGCCCAAACGTTGATGAGGGATTCCCTTCATAACAGATTCATCTACAAAACACAAGATTAAAAAGAAAATCAAATAAATTCAGTATTCATTTCTAGAAAAAATGTCATACTAACCTGAGAATCAAACAGAATATATATATATATTCTGCCATTTTCTGGACAATATTGTGTACTTAATATTTACTTACAGAAAAATAGATAAGAGATTTTACCTGTAGTTTCACAGACTATCATTCCGAAATTATTATACGAATGTAACGGAAGGGATGTGTTCCACTTTGTAATAGTCTGCTCCTCCTTCCGATAGTTTGTCCTTCCATTCCACTCCCATATATGCAACACGCAGCTGCTTTAAGGAAGTGATAAAGATCATCCCATCAGGAAGTTCCTTTAACATCTGACAGTCGTTAATTTCCAGAATATGAAGAAGTGGCATGGACCCTTCTTTGACTACCCAATCTTCCAACTCATTCAGTCTGCACATTATAAGCATGTACAATTTAAGAAACCCACCGCCCGAGCAAACCATGCTCCTCCCAATGAAAGCTGCAGTCTTGAATTTAATCTCTTTCAAGTGTAGCAACTTCTCTAGAATTGGCATGGGATCCTCCTCCAAACAACAATCATATAGATCAATGGATGTAAGTTGAGCAGGGAAGTGTACTTCATCAGATAATATGGGCATCCATATATTCAACTTCAACTGTTTGAGATTAATGAAATTTAACTTAGTTTATTTTTCTGTAAGGTTCTTTTAAAGATTCTCAAAGGTTACGAACGGGCATCACGACAAAAGATAAATTTTGATAAATCTTCTATCCAGTTCGGTCATACAGTGGACACCACGGTGTGTTCAGAAATCCATCAATTATTGGGGATTCATAAGGTTGGAGGTATTGGAAATTATCTAGGCAAAGACAAAGATTTTTAGCTTTCTCATCGATAGGCAACAAAAGCGAATAAACGGATGGACCTGGAAGACTCTGTCCAAAGGGGGCAAAGAGGTGATAGTCAAGTCAGTTTTATCGGCGATGCCTACACACATTATGTCATGTTTTCGGTTGCCCAAAGGGGTAACTAATAAACTCACAAGTTCGGTAGCAAATTTCTGGTGGAGCACAAATTCTGAAACTCGGGGAATGCATTGGCTGGCATGGAGAAAGTTGTCTCGTCAAAAGAGTGATGGGGGTTTAGGCTTTCGGGTTATTGAGGATTTTAACACAGCTCTACTAGCAAAACAGTTATGGCGTCTACTGGACAAGCCGAAATCACTTTTTGCAAGAGTTTTTAAGGGGAGATACTATCGGAATTCTACTCCCCTAGATCCAATACGATCTTACTCCCCGTCATATGGATGGCAGAGTATTATCTCAGCTCGATCTCTGGTTCATAAAGGGCTCAATAAAAGGGTTGGTTCCGGATCTTCCATCTCCGTATGGTGTGATCCATGAATTACTGACGTTCGCCCGAGGTCAGCTATTTGTGCGGGAATTAATTACTATTCCCATCTGATGGTGAGCCAGTTAATTAATTCCATCAACATGGAATATTCCACTATTACAACAACTGTTCGAAAGTGCAGAATTTGCTCAGATTACGAGCATTTCAATTGCAATCGGGTACAAACCAGACACTTGTGGGTGGCTGTTTACAAAAACGGGACGTCACACGGTTAAATCGGGGCATAGCACTTTACAGGAATTTTCAGATGAGGAGGTGCCTCAGGTCTTTGGACCAGATGCCAGGAGGTTGCAAGCACAGGCATGGAAAGTAAAATGTACTACCAAGCTCCAACATTTTCTTTGATATATCATGGTTTTTATGGGTTTTTGCCATGATATAAGTCTTGTATATAGAGTCTTTTTGGTATTTTTGGAGTCTTTTTGAGTCTTTACAGGTCTAAGTGTTTTGGAGCAATTGGAGATTAATTGGAGTTATTTGGAGCTATTTGGGAAGCATGCTGGAAAACAAGACAAACAGTCGTTCAGAGACTTGTGTCGACACCAGCAATCTGTGTCGGTCGACACCCTAGAAAGACGAAAATCCAGACTTTTGAAGATTACTTTTGGCCCAGAAGTTCTGCACTTATTTACAAGAAGGCCCCAAATTCGTGTTTTAGACATTATTTTAGGTTTTTAAAGCCATTGTTAGGCTAATACTTTTCATACTTTTATTCTATTGAGACTTAGAGAGAGATTTGTAGCAGAGCTTTGGAGAGATAGATCAAACTCCTTCAGAGAAGATTTTGAACTCCTTTATCTCTATTCTTATTTCTTTTATGCAATCTATTTATTCATGATGTTTGTCTCAATCACCATGTCTGAGTAGATTCCTTGTTAGGTTTAGGGTTTTTCAAAGGTTGAAGAAGAATTGCAATTGCTTAGGATAATCATTAGAGTTCTTCATCTGGATTGTGTTTATTGCTTATTCTAGCTTCGCGACCTAGAATCTGATCTTAGGTTAATTGGTAGACACGAAAGTGTTATTGATTTCCTGAACTATCTTAGATGAGCAAAATATCTATCTGCAAAGGAATTTGGTTTAGAGATTTTGTGAACTTATCAAACCTGATCATTAATGCTTGTTTGAATTGTTGAATTTGCAAAGAAATTTGGGATTCTAAGTTTAGACATAGATAATCTCTGCAACGAAAGTTGATTGGTTTTACAATTGTGATTTGAGTTCTAGAATGGTTCTTCATTAATATCCTGATAGTTTACTCTGCAATTCGGATTCAACCTGCGAATTTCCCAAGGCCTAACCTTTGTCTCATTGAATTTAACCTCGTTAATCAATCACCTGCTACTTTGTTTTCTTTTATTTGTTTTACATTACTCATATCTTACTTAGCCTGATTTGAATCTGGAAATTCGTTGTGCAACTGATAGACGTTTGGATTCGATAAACCCTTATGATAATATGATTTAACCTATCAAGTTTTTTTTTCATTATTTTTTTGTTTAACTGAGAGCTAAAGACATAAAAACAATATATACAAACCAAATAACCACTTCTAAACAATCTCTTCTCCTTAGTTCTCTTTTCATTAAGCACAAATCCAAATCCCAAATCCCTAACCTAGTCTAACTCAAAAAGGGTGAGCTAGTTCTACATGAAAACATATCCTTGTCGTCTAAACCCAACACTTTTTGCTAACTCATTCAGAAAATAGGCCTCACATCACTCACTAGATATTGGCTTGAAAGAAGGTTTGGTTCAGGGTGGGATTAACTGTCTCAAAAATGGAGATCAGCTACTTGGACTAACAAGAGTGGTAAAAAGGAATAAGAGAGCCCAAGTATGTATATGGTATCCATGAAAACACTTTCAATGCATGAACATGATAATTGCAAGTCAGATTATGGTTCTAATAAGTAAGGAATGGTGTCAAATCAAAGCATGTGTCAGTCAAGTTGTGAATACCAATGAATTCCAAGTGTGGTGCTATCTTAACTTCAAACTCACTCTAATGCATCAAACAACTTTGAACAACCAACTAATTTTGACTCAATAAAACATTTTTTTTCAAAAACTAAAAACCAAAAACTCAAACATGTACACAATATCAGTAATACCTCCCCCAGACTTGAACAACACTGTCCCCAGTGTTATCTAGTCTGAAATTGGTTAAAAAACAATAAAAACTGACTCAATTAAGAAAAACAGAAAACTTACCTTCCTGCAGAACTCGTGTCGGTCGACACAGGACTGTGTCGGTCGACACACAACTGTGTCGACCCTGCGGATTTGTGTTGCTCGATCGTCCGTCTCGAAGTTGCGTCGGGCGACGCAGATCCGATGTTTTTTTTTTTTTTTTTTTTTTTTTTCAGAAACACAAAAAAAAAATTAGTGAAAACAAAACGAAAATCACAAAGGAATTTCACCTACAAGTGGGTTGCCTCCCACTAAGCGCTTGTTTTCAGTCATTAGCTTGACTGTGTGAGGGTTCAGGCATCTGGTGGATCAGACAATGACAACAAATGCCTCTGAGAAGAATGTCTCCTCATCCATGGTGGTGTATAAGCATTAGGTGCATGAGACGCCCAAGGAAGTGAGGAATAGCAGCAGGGTGGGATGTGAGTTTGGGTGGAACACTTCTTTTTCCTGCAGAATCATCAAAAGAAACACCAAGCTTTCTACGAGAATCTCGTTGCTTGCATAAGTGTGAAACAGCTTTTACACCTTTTAAATTGTTAATGATGATATCAGGGGGTTTGGAATTAAGTTCAGAAGTGCATACCTTTGCTTTATGGGAGGCTTTTGGTGCTATGAGGTGATCACCAACTAAGTCTCCACTCCTATCTTCCAGCTTGTTCACTTGCTCACTAGTATCCACCTCCTTGACATACCCAGCAGTAATGTCATGTGAATGCTCTCTGATTGATCTTCATCCTTAGAAATCTCCACAGAAAAACTCTGACCATCAATAGTGGATCTCCTCCTTAGTTTGTCCATGTCAAATTCATGACTAAATCACCCAAATCAAGCTCTATCTTCCCTTTCTTCACATCAATGATAGCACCAGCTGTAGCTAAGAAGGATCTTCCCAAGATAAGAGGATCTATAGGTTCTTCAGCATATTCCAAAACCACAAAGTCTGTGGGAATCAAGTGACCTTCAATTTTAAGTGGAACATTCTCTAAGACACCTTGTGGGATTCTTTTAGATCGATCAGCCATGATAAGAGAGATCCTAGTTGGCTTGAAATCAGTCATTCCAAGTCTAGCAGCAACAGAGAGAGGCATCAAGTTTACACTGGAACCTAGATCACAAAGAGAATGAGGAAACCTGCTTGTTGAGATAGAGCAATCTAGCACAAAGTTTCCTGGATCAGGTAGCTTCTCTGGAATCTTGTTCTGAATTATAGCACTGACTTGTTCAGAGACCATCACCTTCTTCTTCTTTGGGACTGTGTTCAAGAGAACATCACTAATGTCTTTGGTAAGCAATGCTCCTTCCTCAGGACTCACACCATTCACAACCATTCTCTTAACATACCTCCTTAGTGCAGGTGAAAGATTGACTGCATCAACTAATGGTATCTCAATCATCAGCTTGTCTATCATGGCCTTGACTTTTGCATCTTCAATCTCTTGTTTAGACTTCCTAGACCTCTTGGAAAAGGAATTTTAGGCTTATAGACTCTTTCTGCACCTGATTTGGACGTTTCTGTAAGATCTGGTGCAGTCTGGAATTTGCAGAAATTTGCCTGAAAATCCGAAATTTGCAGAATTTCTTCTGGCAGTCTGGTGTCGACCGACACAGGGGATGGTGTCGACCGACACTATGTGCAGTGTCGACCGACACAGTTCAGTGGTGTCGCCCGACACAACTTCTGCAGTGCGAAAATCAGTTGCAGTCTTCTCAAAATCCACGAAATTGGCTCCAGTTTCCACCATAATAGCATGACATGAATGTTTGGGATTGATATTGGTCTTTCCAGGAAGAAAACCCTCTTGTCTTTTGATAGACTCAGCACTTTGAGCAACTTGAACATCCAACTTCTTCACATGTGTGCTCAAAGCTTCAAATTTCCCATTCAAGTCTTGGTACATGGCATCCATCCTTCCATTAAAGCTCACAGTCATATTTTGCTGACCTTCTAGAAGTTGCTTAAGCAATTCGGATTCAACCTGCGAATTTCCCAAGGCCTAACCTTCGTCTCATTGAATTTAACCTCGTTAATCAATCACTTGCTACTTTGTTTTCTTTTCTTTGTTTTACATTACTCATATCTTACTTAGCCTGATTTAAATCTGGAAATTCGTTGTGAAACTATTGACGTTTGGATTCGATAAACCCTTTCTACTACATTGATTTACTGTGCACTTGCAGTGATAATATAGGGTAAAACTTAACCTATCATTAGGCGATTGCAGTTGAAAATCGAGCTAAAGGAAGAGACTTTTGAGCTTAGAGACTAAGACCGAGCTTCTAGGCTAAGGAAAACAGAAGAAAAGACTCATCACTATCGTAAATGAGCTTGAATGTAAGGTCTAGGCTCAAGAACTGACTATCGTCAGTGAACCCAGACTCAAACAAGCATTAAGCTTAGATCCAAACGCCAAAGAACCCTCCTAAACAATCGCTATCGCGAGCTAGGAGAGTAGATCCCTCGACTTAGATTATCTAACCTCTAACACACTTTTTCTGTGTAGAGAGCTTGAGATCTGAGTCAAGCTGATCAGGAAAGACCCAGCCTTAAGGGCACTAAGCGAGAGAAGCTCTAAAAGGTCATAGCTTTAAACGCAAAGCTCTCCTTTAAACTCTCAAAACCACAACGCCTAAAACAATCTAAGACTACTCACTCATCCTGTTTAACAAACCGATTCCCATAGAGGAAAGGTTGTTAAACAAGTAAGTAAGAAGAATGAACAGAAATGAACAAGTACGTGATTTAGATTAAAAGGGAAAGAGATCCAGCTTACAAAGTCTAAGATCTCAAACGAGAGTATTTCTTGGTGGCAAAATGAAAGACAAATTACAAGATGCCTAAAACTTTAGGACTTTCAAGTTTATATAGTGGAGACTCTAAAACCCTTCTTCTTTCCTTCCCCAAGATTTTGGCTTCAAAACTCAGTGTTTCACTTTGTCTTGATATGTCTTGACTAAAGTCAACTCCCTTCTTGGTCAAGGAAAGCTTACAAGGCGAGAATCGGGTTCCTGATCCTGTTTGACATCCTGATTGATCTCAGCTTTGACGTCTCCAACACTCCAATTTCCCATTTGGCTCCAAGACTCCCATAAGTACCTGATTAAGACTCAAAATGAAATGTATATGCAATGCAAGTCCAAAGAGGATGCAAGTGTATAGATAGAGATATGGGGACTCAAATGTATGCAAATGAGACTTAGATGGTGTAAATATGCATGTAAAAGTATGCTAAAATATGTTAATATATGGATATATCAATGACCCGCGAGATGTCTTAGAGCCTGCGATAACAGAAGCCCGTGCATGGGCCTCCCCACAAACGGTTCATGAAACAGTGCGGATACTCCCCGCAAACAACACCGGGACCCCGATATCGGGCGAATGGTGTCAAGTTGATGGGGCGTGCAAGGAGACAGAATGTCATGCGGGGCTTGGTTGGTATAACTTCGATCCGAGTTTAGGTTCAATTTTGGTCGGTTCCTGTAACCTCCGGCGGGGGTTATCTCCTTTGCAGACAGAATTGGAGGCTTTGGTTTGGGCGTTCGAGATTTTGCTCAAGGAGGTGGAGAAGTGCAAAAGGAAGTTCCATGTTTTCTCGTTAACCCACATTCCAAGGACGAAGAACACAAACGCAGACAAGCTAGCACGGAGTGCTCGAGATCAGCCTTATGATGTGTATTATGTAAACTCAATTCCACCGGCTACGCTCCCCATACCAAGATAGGAATTTATGCTGTCGACAAAAATAAAAAGTTGATCTTCATGATCTATCACGTTACTAAGGATGGTTAGTTGATAAAGTTTGAGTTATTAACCCATGGAGATAATCATCAACTGACTTAATTGGTCCTTGGGTTGGTTATTTTTATTCTTTTATAAAATTTCTTGTATTAACCCAGTTATCTAGTAAGGTAATTTTTTAGTTTTGGGATAGTTTTTCAAAGTGTTCAAATCATATTTCAAGTTTCTCATCTTTTCTTTCTTGCCGGGCGAGAAATCGTTATTTCAAGTTTCTTTTGTTCTGTAATACATGATTGAAACAACAACATTTAAAAAGTAAATAAATAATTACTAAACAATTCTAACGGAAGTCTTTAAAACAAATAACCATTAAATAATAAATCAGTTTCAACAAATAAATCAAATAAACAACAAAAGAAATACTAGCAAGTCTAACAATGCAAACAATAAAACAGTAAACATCCTATATCCCCTCTTAAGCCTTATTCCGCGATCACACAAATCTTTTACCTGAAACACATTGGAATAGAGTTTCGTAAGTATTATCATAAATACTTAGTGAGACAATCACCCTGCCTACAGGCCGTTTACGCAATAATTATTATAAACTCCAATAATTAATAAATTCTATTTTCCAATTATTAAATAATTCTCAATAATTAAGAAATAATTTTTTATAATGAAAATAATTAATATAATTATTTTAAATCAATTAATTAATGAAATTAACCATTAATTAGTTAAATCCGAAAATAAATCAACCAAATTAAATCAAACTATTTTTAATTCAATTAATCAATTAAACAGAATCAAATCAGTTTAAACCGCAATTAAATTCCAATCGAACCGGTCAGTCATGAAACACTCGATTCACCACAGCAACAACCAAAATACCACGAAATAACAATCAGACACATAAACTTATCAAGAACAACCACAAACCAAACCGAAATTAGCAAATCGCGGACCCACAGTCATATTCTCACCTTGACAATGGATTGAAACTGAAGGAAATAGGAAACACGATGAACAGTGCCGAATCGCGACGATGAACAGTACCGATGAACACAAATATCGTGGTTTTTTTTTTCAATCCGCAACCGCCTGCAACCGCAAACGCTTGCGGAAATGAACTTTTGATTTCCAGCGATGTAGAGCGATACAAAGTGGTATTGAGCGGTTCAGAGTAGTTGTAGTGATTGTTATAATACGTTAGTAACCGCTACCAAACGCTGCATTTGCGTTTGCGGGTGATAGCAGGAAACCACTCATCACCTAAGAAGTCCATGATTTAACCATATAGTTTCAGCGAATTCATTAAGGTGCACGTGAAATTGTTCAAAACTGTTTTATTCTTTGCTTCAAAGGAAAACATTTCGAGAAATTATATTACAAAGGTTTTAATGTTTACGGTTCATAGATTCAAAAGTAATTCTAGTGAAGAAGTAGACATTTTCATTCTTCTGCTGGCCTCTGGAATGAAGGAAGAAAATATCTGCCATGTTCCAGGTTCCATATTTTAATTCATCAAGAATCCGAGTTACAATAGAGTGTCCTATATGATTAAAATGAATTGAAGGAAGAAAAGACGGAATATTGTCGATTTTTTTTTTAATGCTGCAGATCTGGATATGACGTGAGACATTGATTGGCTCTGACGGCATTATGTTTGCTATATCCAAATCTTAAGAGCTGGAGGTGAATTGCAGACACTAAGTTGCTATAACTCGACTCGTAAAAGATTTCTAGGCAAAGCTTAGAGGTCACAAGATTGAGTGTTGCTTGGGATGAAACCAATATTACATGTTGTGGTTTTGGGCTTAAATGATGTACGGATTTCGGCCTAGAACCTCCTAATAATTTTAAAAAAAAAAGTGAATTGGAGGCTGAGATTTCAGCATTAGGAGATAATATGAAAAGACTGATGAGTAGAATTAGGTCCATTGGTAAAGACTGTCACTTTAGGCTGTGACTGTAGACTTTTGGATGTAAGAATTGTGATTGTTATTGTAACATTCTGGTTTATGATAAATGAGGAGAGGTTTAAGAGAATTAATTTCGCTAGCTATGTCAACAAAGTGCACTTACCTTTTCGGTCAACGGTCCATAAGTAAGTTAAGCATGTTTGGGCTGGAATAGTGGAAAGATGGGTGACCTTCCGGGAAGTGATTTTCACAACCGTATCAGTGAGGCCAAAACACGAGGAAAGTCGGGTGTTGATTGCAGAGATAGTAAACAAGTCACTAGAGCCTCTAAAAAATAGCCCCCCGGCCATCAGACAGAGGTTAAGCCCACGGGCCGAGAGAGGGCGTGGGTGACTCATCGGGATGGGGGTCGGGGGTCTATAGTTACTTTATATATTTTTTAAAGTCTAATTGGTAACAAAAACTTTTAAACGTGTGGCTGTTGTTTTAAAATTTCATAAATTTTCTTTTTTTCATGAATATAAAAAATATATGAAAATTAAGTTGTATTTATGATTATTTAATATTACTAATTTTTATATATTTTTAGCATTGAAAATCTATTTTAATCATTAAGTTTTTGTTTAGAGCTAATGTGCAAGGCTGCTTGACTGTCATACCGAAGAGAGATTAAATTAATATGAAATCCAGGGACAAAGTAAACGTTTTTCAAACACAGATTTGGTGTAAGAAAAACAGTGCCCTGTTGTGAAGAAATAACATTTTTTCCGGCTGGTAAGGTCACGAAAACAGGGGATATACTACGTATATCATGAAGCAAATCAATTTTCCCAGTCATATGATGAGTGGCGCATGTGTCTAGGATCCAAACAATCTCATCATTCTTACCACTTAAGCGATCACTTGTGTTCTTGATGTTGCTGGAACCAAAAACACGTTGAATTGTGCGCCATTGTTCGTCAGAAATACCACTCAAACCTTGTCGGTCTGCATCAGTAAGAGGAGTTGTAGGAGTCGCAGCTGTAGAATTTGCAGCGACGATCTGTGTACTATTTGCTCTTGGTGGTAAGCCACGGCCACGTCCAGGAGAGAAATTTCGAGAACTGGTTTTGCGTCGATCTTCCCACCAATCTGGAAAACCAACAACCTTAAAACAAGCTGATGCTTCATGACCATTGCGACCACACGCAGTACATACACGCGATGGATCACGATTTATAAGTCCACGAGAAACACCGGCCTGAGAAGTAGTATTATTACGTGAAAAACCACCGGCCTGAGACTCACTTCGAGAAACAGAGGATGTATGAGTTGTAAAACTCATAACTTCAGTATCTTTAATTACTCCTGATCGAATGGTTTCATTCTGAACCACTGTTTGATATACACTATCAAGGTCCGGCAACGGAACGATGGCACAAATCTGAGAACGTATGGCTCCATGAACAGCATCATCAAGACCAGACAGAAAATCATGAATTTTGAGAACCTCCAACTCCTTTTCACGAGCACTATTAAGGTCGCATGTGCAATTCCCACATTCACACCGTTTCGTAGTAGTGCATTCAGAGATTCCATCCCACAGCTTCGTTAATCTGCCAAAGTAATCATCAACGGAGGCACCTTGTTGTTTACAAGTAGCTAGAGCATTCCGGAGCTGCTGCAATCGAGCTCCACTTTTAACAGAAAAACGTTTTCGAATAATCTCCCACAAATCTCGTGCAACTTCACGAGTGGAGATAGATGAACGTAACTTGGGCTCAATGGTAAGTTTAATCCATCCCACTAAAAGATGATTGTTTGCAGTCCAATCCACGAGTTGTGTAGAATTAGCTGCAGGTTTTGGTATGGTTCCATCGATGAACCCGAATTTCTTGCGAGAGCTGAGAGCCATGCGTAGGTTGATAGCCCATTCATCATAGTTAAAACCGTTGAGTAGCGGCTGAGAGATGACTGCACCTGGATTATCTCCAGCAGTCAAATCGTACGGAGTGATTGTCTTGTAGGTTGAAGCAGATGCTTCTGTGATAGACATCCTAGCGGAGATAGTGGGGAGTACGTTTAAGAGAAGATAGCCGAGAGGCTGAAAGTAAGAAGAAAGCTCTGTTTTCTAAGGAGAGAAACAGAGGAAAGAGAGAATACAGGGAGATGAAGAAGAGGCCGAGAGGCGTTCTTCGAAGTAAGAAAATTAGGGTTTTAGATCGGCATAGACTTGATGCTCAAGTTATTTAGAAATCATATTTGTATATTTTCCATTTCTTAGATTTCCTTTTGTACGATTACATCTTGTATAAATATTGACCTCTTTGGTCTGTAAATGATAAGCAAATATTCAGAACCGTTTCCTCTTTGACATGGTATCAGAGCCTCGATCCATACATTCCAACCCGATCCGACCCATAGTTGGTCCAATCATCGACTATGCCCAAAATTGGTGCTGGCGATCCAAACCCGAACATACCGAGATCGATGGCCAAAAAACCATCGTCTCGAAAGGAAATATTAGGGATAAATATCCCACATCAGAAGTTGGAAGGGATCTCAAGTAGTATATAAGGGATGTGGGCCTCTTCACTCATTGCCAATTGGTTTTGAGTTGGAAGCCCATGTAACTTAACATTAGAATCTCTAAAAGCAGACACTGGTATCAAAGAAACACGTTGAAATGAACCTGAACGATAAACCAAGTATTTGTTTTTGAACATAACAAAAATGGATTTTACCAAAAAAAAAAAAAAAAACATAACAAAAATGGTTTCCAGAAGGAAAACAAAGAAGCTTAAATAAACGAAAAAGAAACAAACCAATGAGCTATCCCGTTCTGATATGATATTAATTAGGATTAGGAATGATCGAATAAGATGTGTATCATCACACAAACAAGCAAACTGCAATAATATATATGAAACCAGTTTCGACACCAACCACAAAGTATTTGTTGTTCATGTCATGATGATACGCGAACAGAAATCGTGTGCCTGATTTACTTATACAACAAAGGACAAGAATGCAAAGATGATAAGGGATTCGCTTCATATCATCTACAAGACACAAGATTAAAAAGGAAGTCAAATAAATTCAGCATTTACTTCTCTCTAGAAAAAATGCCATAGTAACCAGAGAATCAAACAGATTTTATTCATCTACCATTCTCCCGAAGATCTTGTGTACTTTATATTTCGATAAAAGAAAATAATATTATACCTGTAGTTTCTGAGAGCCTCATTCCTAAATATTTGAGAATGTAACAGAAGGGATGTGTTGGATTTTGTAATAATCTTCTCCTCCTTCCGATAGTTTCTCTTTCCATTGCTCTCCCAAAGAAGAAACACGCAGCTCCTTCAACGAAGTGATTAGTCTTATCCCATCAGGAAGTTCCTTTAACTTATCACAATGGTTAATATAGAGAGTATGAAGAAGTGGCATGGAGCCTTCTTCGACTACCCATTCTTCCAACTCATTCAGTTTCCATATTTTAAGTCTGTGCAATTTAGGAAACCCACCGCCTGAGCAAACCATTTTTCTCCCACAGAAAGCTGCATCGTTTAACTCAACATCTTTCAAGTATAGCAACTTCTCTAAAATTGGCATGGGATCCTCCTTCAAACCACAACCAGATAGATGAATGGATGTAAGTTGAGCAGGGAAGTGTAGTCCATCTACTTTCATCCTCTTAGACCCTTCATACATTATTTCAAGATTTTCCAGGTGTCTTGCTCCACTTATTGATGCATATAGCGTTTCTAAACTAGTCCCATTAGTTAATCTGATTCTGAGAATCCTCAACTTGGTCATACCATGTAGATCCTCTACACTGCTGTTCTCTGTCGATAAATAAATCAAGGTCTCCAGGTTTACTAGATTACTCAATTCCAACTTTTTCTTCTTACCCATATCCCACGGTAAAGCAAGGTATCTCAATTCTTTCATCCCCATTAAGACATTGGGTACAAATAGATATTCCTCGTATATACGTAGATCAAGATAGATCAGCAACTTCAAATTTCGTAGAGAAGAGGGCAGATTACAAATCACAGCGTCTTCCAAGCTCAAATATCGTAAGTGGATTAGCTTTCCAATGCTAGAAGGTAACTTATCTCCTTCAAACCGAACTCCAGGGAGATCTAACAGCCTTGACAGCTGTAACCTCTTAAAGCTTAATCCTGGTATCAAACACCTTTCCTGATTAAAATGCCAGACAACCAGGAGAGATCGAACCTTTGGATGGCTTATATCTCTCTCGATGTCTAATGTAGAAGGACTATGGGAGACAAATCTGCGAGATGTACCATGAAACTGAGAGTTTGCATTTAGGGAGTGGTTGCCGACAATTTGTAGGAAGTTCTCTTTTGCTTTAAACAAACAAATTTCTCTCATCATGTCATGCATATGACAAGTTTCATATCTCAAAGTTGTATCATCTCTTTCAGAAAGAACTATATTTCTCCTTACCAACTCCCCTATGTAGTTATCTCCAACATCACGAATGGTTTCCCCATCGTAATCCCTAAATAATCCTTCAGCAGCCCAGTAATAAGACAATTTCTCTACATCTATTGTATGATCTTCTGGAAAATGGGCAAGGTAGAGGAAGCAATACTTCAAATAACTAGGTAACCCTTCAAAGCTCATAGACAAGATATGGTAAATTGAACTGTTGTTACTGTCAGTGAAATTGGTTCTTCCCAGGATATGAGATCTAATATTCTGATTTAGTCTTTCCCAATCAACCACTGTGTATTTTGTAGCTAACAATCCTCCTAACACTTTGACAGCCAAAGGCAATCCCCCACAATGTTTGATCATTTGCTTACCCATCTCTTCTAGTTTCTCATCAACCTTCAAGTCTGCACAACATCATCACTAGTTTAAATGATACTACATATGGTTTACAAAAACAAGTATACAACCCAACTGGATGTGATAGACAAACACTACATGTTAAAATATGTTATATAAACTTGACTTTTATTAAATTTAATTATAGGCTAATGATCCAACAATCATTTGTTGGGTTAACCCAAAATTTTATCTAGATTGATCCCAGTTCTAGAAGTTCTCCAAATACATCCTTTATCTACTTTTAATAAAAATGTATATGAGGAGATTTTCTTGTGATCATCCCAGTATATACTTCGTTTTTTATTAGAAAAACAATATCTCATTGTGATTGAAAGAACCTTTGAAAACCATATGTCATCTCAGTACTCACCAGATGCATCTTTCTTTGGTAATGCTATCCTTTGAAAAAGTGTCCAACTATCTTCAGTAGATAGGCATTCTGGTTTTAAGTTGATATATGTTATATCTCCACGTACTGCAACATTCTCATTTCGAGAAGTAAGTAGCACTTTCCAACAACCTGTAAAACATTTAAATTTGTTTCAGAATATCCAAGTACAAAGAGCATAATGAGTATGACTTGTTTCATTTTTCTTTTTACTAGGTTACCTTTTCTCGATGGAAATATTGGCCTGATTAGATCCCAATCTTCTTCTTTCCATATGTCGTCTAAAACAATCAATGATTTAGACCTTTCCAGTAATTGAAAGACTTCATCATGGAGTGTTGATTCTGCCATCTCTGAGATTTTCTTTTCTTCTTCATTGGGTCTGAGAGACCGCAAGATTGTTTGCCACACTGATAACTGGGTAAAATCTTGCGAGACACACACCCATGCGAGTCCATCAAAATGATGTTTAACCATCTCGTGATTAAAGACTTGTCTAGAAAGGGTGGTTTTGCCAACACCACCCATCCCGGTTATGGAAACCACTTGAAACGTATCTTCCTTCACCAAATATCCAACCAGTTTCCTTACATTTTCTTCTATTCCCACAAGGTCACTTTCGGAATCCTTAGAAAATGTTTGTCGCAGCTCCCTTTGTCTATCATGTAGTGGTTGCATATAACCGCCATCAGCAATAGTTTGTTGAACTCCAAAACTTTGCATATTACTAATCACCTTGGAGATCCTCCTACATATGCCTCCAATATGTAATGCAATTTCCCTACGATCCGGAATAACACAAAGAAGGCTTTTGATACGCTTCTTGACGCCACTTGTTTTTCCAAATTTTTCGTTAAAAAGATATGTTTCGATTATATCTTCTGCGTCATAAACAATTTCTTTGATCTCTTCTATGCAATTATTCACCAACGCACTTGTATGTTTCTTTGCATCTGCATCTTTCAGAAAAGAATTTAACAAGTTTAGATCACGTTTTAGTTCAGCTACTTGATCATCAACTCCCTGAAATAGCGCATACTCTTCGCTCAGTACGTCATAAAGATTTTGGACTCCAAACGACACAAGTTCCCCAGCCATTATGGTTCCTGCTTAAGTAGTATGAAAATATGAATCAAAGCTTTGTACGTACACCATTGACGAACAGGTGTCATCGCAAGGAGTCAAATATCACAAGTTCGAAGTGGTAAACAAATCAATTTATAACTCTCATATTTTAATTAAACCTTAACTGGTAACGAGGAATTTTATATTACACACATCATTCATGGTATGTTGTTCTCATGGAGACACTAACGCGCATTGCATATGTATAATAAAATAATTTTAATGATAAAATTCACATTAAACAATATATATATATATATAGTAAATCACTGACCAAAACATATTCATTCGGTTAATTTGATCATACTCGCATTAACAAAATTGATTATTATAGATTTACATTTCAAAAATATACATTCATAACTTGGTTGCTTTGGGTAATAACCAAAAAGTGGTAATAAATTAAGAGAATAGCACCATAATTTGAATAATGTAGTGAGTAATCAGTAAGATCCAATCAAATTGGTAAACAATTTAGGGAAATTCGCATAAAAACCCATCAAAATAGTAGTCACTTATACTTTAATTCTCAAGAGTGTGTTTAATTAGTAGTTTAAACCATCTGAAAACTTTAACATACCGATATTTTTTTGAAGATATTTTTAAACTGATAACAAAATAATATTCTTCAAAAACAGTACACTGGTTCCGTTCAATTCTACATGACTTTATGCGATTTAAAACATCAAATTGAAAACTTGGTACATACAACAGATGTATTCAATAGCATACACACTAGTTAAATGTGAAAACAAAGTGTTGGTTTGTGTCTTAAAACAAATGTATTGTTGTCGGAGAACACTTTTCTCTTATCCAACTTAAAAATTTGGTAAAAGAACAATATTGGTATGCACACAAGTGTTAGATTACTAGTAGGCATGGGGAAATTATCTGAGATCCAAGATCCGATCTGATCCGTCCCAAAAATTCGGATATTCGGGCTGTCTAGATTCAAATCCGGGTAACTAAAAATTTCATAGTGGATATCCGGATCCATGGTAATGTATCTTATTATATAATATATAAAGCTGGATGCGAGCGACGTGGTTGCGACACGTAGGATTTTTATAAAATATAGGATTGCGACATGTGTCACTTTTAATGTTATATCCGTTAAGATCGTGACACATGTCTTCGGAAAAAGGAAATTTTTATTTTAAAGGGAAATTTTTAATATCTTATAATAAAAACGAAATTTTATATAATAAAATGAAAATAATGTAATAAAAAATTCCTATTAGTATATGGAATAGGTATGTAAACTAAATATCCTAAAATTGTATGGAATAGGTTATATAAACTCCTATTTAAAAAAATCCTATTAGTACATGTAATAGGTATGTAAACTAAATATCCTAAAACTGTATGAAATTGGTTACATGAACCCCTATAAAAAGAGAGCTATTGTAGTCTCTTTTTCTCATTCACAAACTCATCAAAGCAAATTCAGAAAATCTCTTTGATTCTCTTTCTCTAATTTCAAAATCATGTCTTTGAAAGTTCAAGAGAACAGTGGAGATTATTTGACTCTAGGTCAATTGGATCGAAATTAAAATTATTTGAATAAAATCCTATTAGTACATTAGGAAAAATCAGAAAACAGGAAACAAACAATTAAAAAGAAAAAATATTACATCCATTATGAGAAGTAAAGAAAAAACATAATTCTATTACGAAAAGGAAAAAAACGAAAATCAGAAAAACATGAAGAAATAATTAAAAAATGTTACATCCAATAAGAAAAGGAATAAAAAAACATATTCCCATTACGAAAATGAAAAAAAACAATATATAACAAGCTATATTTTTTAAGTTTCTTTCTCATTAAGAAATAAAATTCATGTCTTTAAAAGTTAAAGATATCAATGAAGAATATAACTTTAGATCGATACATGTGTCTAATATTTGATGAAGTGATGACATGTGTCAACACAAGAAAATTGGAAAAATGTAGTAACATAAATAAATAAACTAACAAAATAATATTAAAACAACTAACTAATAATGAAAATGAAAATTTATAATGGTCAGAGGCAAAAACGAAATTGAAAAAGAAACAATATAAATAGAAAACTAACAAAATAATTATTAAGGAACTAAATAATATTAAAAAAGAAAATTTTATAATGGACTGATCTTCTAATATTAAATAGTTTAATTTTCCATGTTTTGTTAGGTAAAAAAATATTAAAAATAAAGATTTCATCATGGAATAATCAAAGTTTCATAAAATAATGAGTCGATTAGATTTAGACACATGTAAATCTTTCTATTTCATATCATGAATTCAAAATAAAAATGTAAAAGACTACATATCTTTATTTAGAGATTTGTTATCGGGTTTTTAATATTATTTTCTTATTTTTAAAATTGATCAAATTTTGTTTAATATTCTTCCGTGATTTAAAAAAATAAAAATAAATAAACCCGCGTATACGCGGGGCCTAATCTAGTATTATATAAGAATTAGTTTAATCTTGATCAAACCCAATTATAATAAAGTTTAACGATGATTTTAGAAGTCTAAAATAATTTTAACATATAAGCCTGTTTAGTTAGCAAATATCTCTTTTAAGACTTTTTCAATGTTGAACATAGAACGGTTTTTCATCAATTATTTTCAGTTTATAGGTAAAAAAATACTAATATATATTTTGTATCTTTAATTTTGGTAAAAATGATATATACTAGTGATATAGGTCTTGTTTATATAGTTTTGTTAGTGTTTTTGGATTTTTTTCGAGCTTTTATAGGTCTAGGTGCATTTGAAGTTGATGCAGAGCAACTCTGTTTCTTCCTTTATTTTAGTTATTTCCTTTTAGCTGGGTTTTCTTTAAGCGATTAGGAATTCCTTTCTCTTTTCCTTTTTGTTTAGTGTTTTCCTCTTCTTTTATGTTAAGAGTTATGGTTCGTTTAGCTATATAGGTGATGAGATCCTCTTTGTAAAGACACCTTTGATTTGATTAATAAACTTCTCTTAAAAGCTTTTGCATAAAACTCTTAAATCCTTACTTCCTAGCATTCTCTGAGAATTCAACGTTACTCTTGCGTTATCGTTACTTCCGCTCCGTCAGAAGTTTAACTATTTGAGATTATGGAACTATTTGGAGCTTATTTGGGGAATCTATTACTAATAAAAGTTGAGCCTATATGCATTAGAGGCTGTCCACCTAGGATTTAAAAGGTTGAATTTGATTGGTCCATGTCATTATTTTTTTTTTTTGCTTTTAAATTAATTTATGTAAATTTTCTATTTTAAGTTGAGCCTATATGCATTAGAGGCTGTCCACCTAGGATTTAAAAGGTTGAATTTGATTGGTCCATGTCATTATTTTTATTTTTTTTGCTTTTAAATTAATTTATGTAAATTTTCTATTTTACATATTATTTATTAATTAATTTTCAGTAAAGATAATTTCTCTGATTTTACAATTTTCGAGAACTGAATTATAAGTTTCCTATTCATAGATTATCTAAATTTACATATATTATTAGTATTAGTTTCTTTTTTAGTGGAAAATTTACACATGTTTAAGTAATTATAGAAATAAATTTCCTATTCAGCCAAAAAGATGCTATGGTGTAGCGGTTATCACAATTGTCCTAAACTCAACAGGTATTGAGTTCGATCCTTTGCAGTCCCCTTTTTTTTTTAAACCGTTTCAAAAATAATTATATGGACATTGCCATTAGGTTACCACAAAAAAAAAAAAAAATCAGACATCGGCATCTCCAAAACGGGATCTGCTACATCTTCTTCCCCTTTTTTCTACAAACCCTAAAACTGCATCTCACAAAACTCTCTCTCTCTCTCCACCGTCAAACAACAAAAATTCATTCTTCATTTCCCAGATTTCGTAAATCGAATTGGATTTATTTTGCCCTAAACTCCCTATTTCGCATTGTTGCAAGTTTGAAGCTTCAGTACAACTTCAGTTGAGGGAGTATTAGACCAAAAATGGAGAAATTCGGAATCTATTACTAAGATAAGTCTTGTGATTTGACTGTACAATTCGGCTGCTTTAATTTCTGGCGAATATAAGATTGCTTCTTGGCATTTTTTTCTTATTTCTTCTTCCAAATTTATTTCTTGGTTTCATTATTTCGTTTTAGTCTAGAAGATTCTTGAAAAACAAATTGGATATTGTTTGATAAAGATTAGGATTTGGATAGTTCCTATTTTTGTAATTATCACTTCTCTAATTTCCTTATTGTACAATGACATTGATATACATTGATTCCTTTTTCCATTAGGAATAAGATGATCTTAAATCCTATATATATGTGGTCTTATTGCCACATGAAACCAAGTTCAGAATATACATTCACATCTCTCAATCGATTTTTATAAGCCATGGCAAATTCATGCTCTTCTGTTTCTAATCAGTTAAGCCATACTTTGGTTTTCGATGATCTAAAAAAAGGTTTCAAAATAATGATTTGCTTGTCAGAGTCATCCACTTTTGGGAGGCACGAAACGTTAGAAAAGGCGGATTACTCATGGGTGTAGAACTCCTTCTCATGGATCAGAAGGTACTTAATCAAAGGATTTTAAAGAAAAAAATTGAACCTGAAGGCTAAGGACGTTTGATCTCTGTAAAAACAAGAAAACCAAACAAAAAAGGGGTAAAGTCAATGAGAAGAGATTTCAAATATTATTAAAAACGACCAGTGAAAGGAGAAAACGCTCTAAAACTCGACAGCTATAAGTCTCAGGAACTTGCCAAAGCAATTGCCACCACCTAGAGTTATACATTTATCACCAATTCGCATCCGGACAATTAGATTACAAACAAAATACACCATTTGGACATCAGCAAAAAAAGATTGAAAATACGGAAAATCTAACCTTCATCGAAGCCATTAGCTGAGAATCAGGAGAAGAAAGAAGCATCGAAACTCAGGGAAGGGGATGATGAGATGCCAAGAACAGTGATTTTCGATGACTTTAAAACGAAGTCATTGACTAAAGC